CAAATAAAAATAAATTTCAAAAAAAACCTTCCAAAAATAAATCTAAAAAAAACCTAACAAATTCTTATACACATATAAAGAAATAACATCAGTTTTTTTTTTTAAAGATTTATTTTATTTTTATTGGAAAGGCAGATATACAGTGAGGAAGATCTTCCATCTGATGATTCACTCCCCAAGTGAGCGCAACGGCCGATGCTATGCCGATCCAAAGCCAGGAGCCTCTTCCGGGTCTCCCACGTGGGTGCAGGGTCCCAAAGCTTTCCCGGGCCACATGCAGGGAGCTGGATGGGAAGTGGGTCCGCCGGGATTAGAACCAGCGCCCATATGGGATCCCGGGTGTGCAAGGCAAGGACCTTAACCACTTGCGCCACCACGACGGGCCATAACATCAGTTTTTTATAGACTCTTCCAAAAATTATTTTGAGGCTTGTAAAATATTTATGTTAAAATGAAAGAAGGGCAGTACAGAAAAAACTACATAGCCATATTGCCCATGAGCTTAAACCTAAAATTTCAAGTAAGATATTAGCACGTGGAGGCTAATATAAATAACAGGATCAAGCCAAATGTGGTTTGTCTCAGAAATATAAATGAGGATGAGATACATTCAGAGTGGGATACAAAGGTATATAGGAAGTCCAAGAAAATGGAATTAAAAGTGATTTGTTTTGGTGTAGAAATATTTTAACTCCGTGTAGTCTTTTACGGTATACATTTTCCATGAACGTTTTTAAGATTCCCTCCTGTCCCTGCCCCCAGTTCCAAAATATAAACTACAGATGTGTGCGTCACACGAGACGATCTCAACACCATTATGAAAGGAGTTTATCTCAGAATGTTATCTACTGTGGTTCTATTTACGTGACATTCTTGAAAAGGTGAAGCTCTAAATGTTAGCTCTTAAGAGGTTAGAGGTGAGGGGAAGGGAGCACTACATAGGAAGTTTTGTGATGTGTTCTCTCACTTGATTATGGTGGTAGTTACTTCTGTATTCATAAAGCTGTACATTTATGAAAATGTCAATTTCACTTATATATAAAAAGATAAAATTTTTCTATAAGTAAATTTTCTTTTTTCTTTTTTTTGGGGTTTTTTTTTTTTATAAGTACATTTTCTTATGAAAGGCCAGGTATGATGATAAATAAGCAGTTATTACTCTGCCTCCCGTTGGGTGAGCTAAGAACTTGTAGCTGGAGCACAGACCTTGAATAAAGCCACTGTCCTACCCTGATATTTACTGTGTAGGAATGCAGACCCAGCATAGCAAGATGTTGTCATTTTTTAAGAGAAGTCAGACATTTGATTTCTTCAAATGTTTTAAAAAATACTGTGTTGAGCAACATAAGTCTGAAAACTAGACATATTTATTTGTTCTCTCATACTAGAAAATGTTATCAATACATTGGACAGTTGTCAGCAACTTAGAAAACCCTGAAGCATTGCTAGAAGAGTGATGAGGTTGCTCTGTTATGGATGAGAGAAACATGGTGATTTTTGGTATGTATGGGTTGTGTGAACTTCAAAAGAAGAATGACATATTTAGATGATAGAATGATAGTCTGGAAATAGCGCTTGAAAGGCATAAGTAAGTCAAACCTCCCTTAAGTTAGCAAATGAAAGTAATTTCCATTGGAGAAGACATATTTAGGAAGCAATATTTGTTTAAAACATTAAAGGAGTTTATATACAGTAGGAATTGTCCACAACTCAATAAATGGGTTGACAGAGCAGTGAAGATGCGGTGAGAGGGGTGTGATTGATGAGGGTCTGAGTGAAGATTTAGAAGATGAGTGCAGGAGTGTATCGGGTAGATTGTGGGGTGGGAAAGGCATTCACATGAACTCAAAGGAGTTAATGGAACAATATTCTGGTTTATACTTCAACAGTTTAATTGATATTCTTGACTATGCTCCTGGTGTTCTACTTTAACTCCTTTTAGCTTTATCCATCTAATTCATAATTAAGTTTCTGAACTCAGATGTTTGCATTTCAATCCTGGAAACCATATCCCTGGAACTCCTTACTCTGCTCTTGCCAAGATGAGATCCCATGTTACTGGACTAATAACCCTTATCTTGGAATTCACCACTTTATATTAAAATTGCTTTGTTAAGTTTGCCCTACAAGATACTATGATCCTCTGAGTCAGAGTCCATGGTTGCTCTCCCTGCTTGAGAGAGACATCCTTTATCAGCTGATTCACTCCCAAAATGGCCACAACAGCCAGGGCTGGGCCAGGACTAAGCTAGAAGCCAGGAACAATTCATTCAAGTCTCCCACATAGATGCAAGGGCTCAAGTGTGTGGCTCATCTTCTGCTACTCTGCCAGACACAGCAGTTGGGAGCTGGATCAGAAGTAGAACAGCCAGGCCACTAGCATTGTAAGCAGTAGCTTCATTCTTTATGCCATAACATTAGCCCTCAGAAACCATGTTTTAGTAATCTCTTTACTACAAGCGGATAGCACAGAGCTTATATCATTAAATATTTAACCAAACAGGAGTAGGACTATCCTCTGTGCTTTGATGTAAGAGAGTTAAGTCTCATGTCTGGACTTTATCCAACCCTTCAAGGACTAGTGGTAGCATAGGCCCATGAATTGTTTTGTTACTGGTTCAGATCTGCTTGGGACTGGAGCAAAACTCAGTGGTCAGTTACTGGTCAAGTGGTCAGTGGCCAAGTCACTGTTAAGACCAGGAATACAACCTTTGCTCCCAGTGCCTCCCGTGTTTCTAGAATGCAGTGGAAGTTTTCAGCAAGTAATAACTGGTAAGAGAGCAATTCATGACATTAACATTTGGGCAACTGGGATTATATGTGAGCCCTGCAGGGTTCTCATCCTACCATATTCCTGTCAGTTGTCTTTGTACAAAATGTTGAGTAGGGCCCGGCGTGGTGGTACAAGTGGTTAAAGGTCCTCGCCCGGGATCCCATATGGGCGCCGGTTCTAATCCCGGCAGCCCCGCTTCCCTTCCAGCTCCCTGCCTGTGGCCTGGGAAAGCAGTCGAGGACGGCCCAAAGCTTTGGGAACCTGCACCCGCGTGGGAGACCCAGAAGGGGCTCCTGGCTTCGGATTGGCCTAGTATCGGCCCGTTGCGCTCACTTGGGGAGTGAATCATCGGACGGAAGATCTTCCTCTCTGTCTCTCCTCTCTGTATATCTGCCTTTCCAATGAAAAAATAATAAAAATAAATCTTTAAAAAAAAATGTTGAGTAGATTTGGAGAGCATTGTATTGCCTGGTTCACAGGATCATTCTCATCAAGACCCAAATACATTTTGAGATTTATTTGTTTTTGTTGGAAAGTTAGATTATACATAAAGGAAGAACACAAAGAGGAGGATCTTCTGTCTGTTGATTCACTCCCCAAGCAGCTGCACTGGCCAGAGCTGAGCTAATCTGAAGCCAGGAGCCCGGAGCCTCTTCCATGTCTCCCCCACAGATGCAGGGTCACAATGCCTTTGGCCATCCTCGACTGCTTTCCCAGGCCACAAGCAGGAGCTAGAAGGGAAGCGGGGCCGCCAGGATAAGAAGTGGCACCCATATGGGATCCCAGTGTGTGCAAGGCAAGGATATTAGCTACTAGGCTACTGTGCTGGGCCCAAGACCCAGATATATATATATATATTTTTTAAATTTATTTTATTTTTATTTGAAAGGCGGATATACAGAGAGGAGAGACAGAGAGGAAGATCTTCCGTCCGATGATTCACTCCCCAAGTGAGTGCTACGGCCTATGCTATTCCGATCCGAAGCCAGGAGCCCCTTCTGGGTCTCCCACACGGGTGCAGGGTCCCAAAGCCTTGGGCCATCCTCGACTGCTTTCCCAGGCCACAAGCAGGGAGCTGGATGGGAAGCGGGGCTGCCGGGATTAGAACCGGCGCCCACATGGGATCCCGGGCGTGCAAGGCGAGGACCTTAACCACTTGCGCCACCACGCCGGGCCCGACCCAGATATATTTTAATGAATTTCTTCCTTAGCAGTTTTTCTACACAAAATATTCCAGTGACATTCCCAGAAATACATTAAAAACTAGCTTCAATTTTCCATTTTTGTGTTAGACCATTTGTTTGGCTGTCTTGTGCTGCTTTAACAATTTCTGCTGCTTGCTGACATTGAACCCTGACCCTTTCAACAATGCTAGCCTTTTTTTTTTTTTTTAATATATTACTCACTTTCTTCTCTGAGGTTTAACTTTACACTGTATTTTATTTTATTTTTTATTTCTCTGTGAGACTTTTCTCCATTGGACTTTTTTCAAAGGATGAGAGAGTCTTTTAGTAAAGATGTTAAAGTCATAGGAATGAAATGGTAATGTGATTGTTTTTTCATCTTAGCATTTCTCCTTCCTCATCCCACCTGATAACAGAGACCTAGGGACTAAGCAGTAAGGTATTATTTTATTTATCGTATTATTAGGCATATTATACATGAGTACTGTGTGTGTATAGGAATTGTGCTTAGAGTCTGTAGGAAATTTAAGGTAGCCTGTGCCTTCAAGGAGTTCCTGATCTAATTAAAATGATGACTAGAGAAACCATCTCTGAGGCTCCTCTCTGTATACATGTATGTTCATGTGCATGTGTGTTCAAATTGGATGAATTGGCTTTCCTAATAGAGCTATATCACGACAGAAACATCTCTGTTTAAAGAAGTTAATCATTCCTGGCCTACAGTAAAGTGCTCTGTTAATAATGGATATATTGACGGACAAAGAATGAGTAAAAACTTGAAGAAAACGGTAGACAAGACATCTCTACCTGCACATACACTTCTATATAAAGGCATAAAGCAGTGAAACATAGGATGCATTTAGAGAAGCATACATAATTGGTCTATGTCAGGGATGAAAGAAGAATTAGTGTACCTTTTCTGTTCGGCAGGGCAGGAAGTTAGATGTAATCCTGTAAGGAATTAATTCATATGAAGCAGGGATTCTAGAGACTGAGTTAGTCAATGGTAAAGACAATTTATGTTATATACATGTCTGTTTCAGGTCTCACTTGCCCTGGAGCCTCTGTCAGAAACTTACAACAGCTACAATCCTTTCCCTACTCCTGACATGACAGGTGATGTACTTTATTCTGAACAAGGGTTCAGAGAGAATGCTGAACCCTGCAGTACCCAGTTTCTGCTTCCGTCACGGCCTCAGAGGATCTCTGCCAACAAAGTTGACAGGAAGGAGTTAGCTGTCAATAGTAGTAGATCAACCACTCCAAGGTAATTACCACACCAGTACCTTATATTTGTCAACCAACTACTGTGGTACTTGTCATTTCTGTCTTTCATTTGTAGCTAAGTAAAAGATGAGAGAGAGATGCGGTCACTAGTTCAACAGATAACCATGGAGCATCATATAGTTTATGATGTTCTGATGTGATGCCAGGTGCTGGGCGTGGAAATGAATGACACGATTCCTTTTTTCAGGACTGCACTACCCACAATGTAGTGGAAAAGCAACATACACATAAACGTGACTGATGATGTCCGTGAAGGGAAGGCCATCATTTTGTGAAACACAATAGAATAGCAGAAACAGATTGCTCTTTTATTATTAAAGATGTTTTTTATTTTTATTGGGAAGTCAAATTTACAGAGAGAAGGAGAGACAAAGAGAAAGATCTTCCATTTGCTGGTTCACTCCCCATGTGTCTGCAATGGCTGAACCTGAGCCAATCTGAAGCCAGGAGCTTCTTCCGGGTCCTCCACGTGAATACAGAATCCCATTGCTTTGGGCCGAGGTTGACTGCTTTCCCAGGCCACAGCAGGGAGCTGGAAGGGACGTAAAGCAGCCAAGATACAAACAAGTGCTCATACAGGATCCCAGTGCATGCAAGGCAAGGACTTTGGCCTCTGTGCTTCTGTGCCAGGCCTGAAACCGACAGATTTTTCAAAACAATATTTAAGAAATGGAAATCTTTCATCTGCTGATTCATTTGCCAAATGTCCACAACTGCAGCTGGACCTGGCTGTGGGCAGAAACCAGGAATTCCATGAGGGCATCCCAAGCAAGGGCTTCATCTGCGCCTCAAAAACCTACCCAAGAAGCAGATTTTTGTTTTAAGTACTTATTTATGAAGTATTTGCTCTGGATCAGGCTCTGTACTAAGTTTGTTATTTCATTGTCCCACATAAGCAACAGCCCTGCAACAGTAAGTAAAAGCACCTATTCTCACTTGAGGTGAAAAGCAATTTCTACCTCTGACAAAGTTCATTGTTTCTCTTATTTGGGAGGTGAAAAATGACTTCTACCTCTGACAAAGTTCTAATCCTCCTTCTCTCTCTCTTTTAATTAAATAGGAGAAAGGACCACCTGTACTTCACAGAACATGCTGATACACTGAAAGACTCTCTGTGTGGACCACAGCCCCATCTTGATTCAGGACAGAGTTTAGAGTCCATGACTCTGAAAGGCAGAGCTGCACAGAAGCAGATGTCCCTTCTCGACTGTTCTGAATCTCAGCCTCCAGTGCCAACAGTTGCCAAGAGTCATAGTGACTCATGCATCCTTTCTTCAAACAATCCGCCTACCAAAGACCTTCTTTCAGGTTTGTAGGTACAAAGACTAAGCTATATTTGTCTCTGCTTGTTAGCCAGCCTACAAAGAGAACCCAAAACTTCTTTTGAAGTGAGTAGCCAAATAAAAGTCGAAGTCTTCATAGAATCCAGAATCTCTATGATAGCTCTCTTAAGCTACCAAGTAGTTTCTAAATAATTACTAGGCTCATAAAATTGTAGCTATGGGGAAGGAACCATCCAAAAGGAACCTGGATATAAAAGAATGCCTTTGCCATAGAAGAATACTAACCCTTCTTTTTCCTCAACCATTTCAAGACAGATGAGATTTTGTCTCATTGTCAGCGTTTACTTACACACTTCTGTATGGCAGCTAGAACCAAACCTATTTCATATTCTGAAAACTATTAGTCTTTTCTTTTTAAGAAAGATGTATTTATTTTAATTGTAAAGTCAGATATACAGAGAGGAGGAGGAGAAACAGAGAGAAAGATCTTCTGTCTGATGATTCACTCCCCAAGTAGCTGCAATGGCCCGAGCTAAGCAGATCTAAAGCCAGGAGCCAGGAGTCTCTTCTGGGTCTGCTACAGAGTCACAGGGTTGCAAGGCCTTTAGCCGTCCTCGACTGCTTTCCCAGCCCACACACAGGGAGCTGGATGATAAACGGGGCCCCTGGAACAGGAACTGGTGCCTACATGGTATTCCAGTGTATGCAAGGTGAGGATAGTAGCCACCAGGTTGCCATGCTGGGCCTAAAACTATCAGCCTTTTATTTATTATTTTTTTAAAATTTATTTTTATTGGAAAGGTAGATATACAGAGAGGAGGAGAGACAGAGAGGAAGATCATCTCTCTGATGATTCATTCCCCAAGTGACCACAATGACCGGAGCTGAGCTGATTCGAAGCCAGGAACCAGGAACTTCCTCCAGGTCTCCCACACGGGTGCAGGGTCCCAAGGTCTTGGGCCATACTCGACTACTTTCCCAGACTACAAGCAGAGAGCTGGATGGGAAGTGTGACTGCCAGAATTAGAAACGGCACCCATATGGAATCTCAGTGCATTCAAGGCGAGGACTTTAGCCCTAAGCTATTGTGCTGGGCCCAAAACTATTAATCTTAATAAGAATAGTCAGCACAAAGCAACTGCTGATCCTCAGCCTGGGAATTAAATTTGACCTGTGGCCAAACAGAAGTGGAGTGGAGGTGGTTAAGCAATGTAAAGACCTAGGCTCAAATAAAAAAACCAACAGGAAGAGAATTAGATTCCCTCCTGTGAAGGAGTGGTATAATAAAACAGTGCACTTACACGCCTCTGTAATGGCCAGCCATGTATATATCTACATCTCTGAAGCATCAGGTGTGTCACAGGAATTTGTCACCATACAAATAACCTATAACATTAGTCAAAAACCTTTTAAATAACTATTTTAGCACATAATCTACATTAGCAAGTACATTTTTAAAATAAAGAACAACATTCTGTTCATATCTTTTAACCAAAATAAATTGTAATTTCTTATTTTTAATGATATATTTTAAAATTTTAATCTGGTAACTTTGGCCTTTCATGCAAGAAAAAAATCTTTCCCCATTATGTTTATCACGTATCAGTTCGTACTTGGAATATTTTGTGTAGACCCTGAGTACCCAACTTTGACTTTTTTTTTTAAATTTAGTAAGCAGTTATTGTCCAGCACCCATTAAATGTATGACACTTCTATGTATGAGGGACATTGTAGTTTAAATTTCAAACAAATATGCACAGTGTCCCTCCTTTACAGTCTTAGATTCTAAGTGGAAAAACAAGTGATAAATTAGTTGATGGGAGTCCCAGTGGGGGAAATTTAATCAAGGGAAGTGAAATGAGTGAGTATTATAAATTGTATATCAGTTGGCAAAGCAAGCCCTTATTCAGAAGACAGCATGAAAGCTCTAGGAAAGATGCATTTCTTCTAAGAAAAGTAACAAGGCTCATTATAAGACTGCTAAAAAGGAATTTGGCCTAGCGAAAATAACTGCATTTGTTGAACAGGAACCAATGTTGGGAACTGAGTCATCGGGAGGCAGGGATCGCTATCCTCGTTTTAAGGGAGACCTAGGCCGTGAAAGACTGGGCAAATGGAGACGCTATGATGGACTATGTCAATCAGTGGATTCTTCAACGACCTCATCATGTTTGGAGTGGCGAGATTGGCAACAATTCATAACTGTTGAGCTATCAAAACCACCTGAGCAAGAATCTCAGAGCATGCCCCACATCCGGGACCTGGGGTGGGTGGGAGACTGGGTTGGGCTTCTCCCTTAAAATCCCCCTTTACCTCAGATATATGAAGGAAACAATATGGAAATAATAGTCTTACCCCACTTTCCTGTAGCCCTTGAACCTTTTTACCCTAATTAACTACGTAAAGATTGTCAAAAATATAATTTAAAAAATGGAAAAAAAAATGAGATGTAGGGCCAGGTCAATCAAAACAGGCCAGGTGCAACCCAGGTGCTGCCGTAAGAGCCACTAGTACCAGTAGTTGCATCGTGCCTCCCTATCCTAATCAACATAGAGTACTTTCCACAGCCCTCAGAATGCTCGAAACTGTATTTTGTACTGGACCCTGTGAATACTATGGTTTTTATTTACATACCTACACTTAACTAAAATCTATAAATTAGGCACAAAAGAGAGTAGCAGTAATAACCAATAATAAAATAAGTATAACAACTTACTATAATCAAAGTTAAATGGTTATAGTGTCTTTCTTTCCTTATCAGAGTTGAGAGCTTTCATCTTTTTCACATAAAGGAAATGCTTTATTGGGCTTTTCTTTGGGATATTTGCATTGCTGGCATCACTTCTGTGTTTTAGGGCCTTTAAGTAAAATAAGGGTTACTTGAAGTTAATACTGCAGTATGACAGCTGAAAATCTGATCATGAGACAGCTAGTAACTGATTACCAGGCAGGTAGCATGTAGCAGGGATGCACTGGACCAAGGGATGATTCATATCCTGGGAAAGACAGAATGAGATGCCATGGGATTTCGTTATACCAACCAGACAGCCCATTATTTAATACTTGTGACTTATTTATTTCTGGGCTTTTTTCATGTAATACTTTTGGATCACAGATGACAGGTGGGTGAAACTGTAGTCAAAGTGGACACGATGTATTTCATATATGATTTGGCCAAGTTGCTTATCCTCTCTACCCCAATTTTTTCATTTAGAAAATAAAGATGCTCTTTTGCATAATTTATTTTTTCTAAGTCAAATATACAAAGAGGAGAAGAGACATAGAGGAAGATCTTCCATCCGATGATTTACTCTCCAAGTGAGCGTAACGGCCAGTACTGCGCCGATCCAAAGCCAGGAGCCAGGAACTTCTTCCTGGTCTCCCACATGGGTGCAGGGTCTCAAGGCTTTGGGCCGTCCTCGACTGTTTTCCCAGGCCACAAGCAGGGAGCTGGATGGGAAGTGGAGCTGCCGGGACTAGAACCAGTGCCCATATGGGATCCCAGCGCATTCAAGGCGAGGACTTTAGCTGCTAGGCCACTGCGCCGGGCCCTCTTGTGCATAATTTTAAAGAGCGTTGGAGGGACCAGTGTTTTTATGTGTCATGTTAAGCCTTCTGTTAACACAGATATCCCAAATGGGTGCCAGTCTGAGTTCCAGCTACTCCAATTATAACCCAGCTCCCTGCTAATGAGCTTGGAAAAGCAGCGGAGAATGGCTCAAGTGTTGGGTCCCTGCACCCATGTGTGAGACCCAGAAGAAGCTCCAAGTTTCTGACTTCAGCCTGGCTCAGTCCTGACAATTGCAGCCATGTAGGGAATAAGCCAGCAGATAGAAAATATTCTCTCTCTCTTTCTTTGTCTCGTAACTGTGCCTTTCAAATAAAGTAAATAATTTTTAAAGCATTTAAATGATTGAGTTAGTATGTGTAACATACTGAGAATAGTGCCATCATATGATAATTGCTCAATAAATCCTACTGCCATAATTTTTGTTGCTACTCTTTACTTACAAGATGAATTGAATTTAACCTCTCAGAAAGTCTTAAAAAGTTGTATTTTGTCCCCATATTTCCAGTAAACTAATGTAAGGCCTTGGATAAGTCAGAGAAGGTTTTGGGAGCATTCTTGTTCGTTAAAAGATAAATTTGAAATAGATTTATCACTGTGATACTTTAAGCTTTATCTGGTGTAGTTAGTGTTTTTGGTTAAGAATGACATAAAACTTGTAAAAAGAGGTGGTTATGACAATAATTTGTAGATATTACTAATCTTTATGAACAAACAGCAGTTGGAAAAGTTGGTGCACAGATGTAATAACTCCCACTAGGAGGAGGCTGTCCAAAATAGATTCATTTTTCACTGCAATGTCAGCATCTACAACAGTGCACATAGTAGAAGCTCAGTAAACATCTTGTGTTAAGTGACTGTCCTCAAGAAATCTTCAAGCTAGAAACAAAATGGGAAGCATTATGGTATGCTGTGGTGAAGTCCTGTGATAAAGGAAATAGCCTGAATATTCTAAATGTTCTTGCTTTGTTTTAAGAGTTTTTATTTTCTGTTTTGCACTCTTCAGTTCTGTTAGAACAAGGCAATAAACTCCGCAATGCCATGGTGATTTCTGCAATGAAGTCAAGCCCAGATACCAGCATGATGTTGGACAAAGTTCATTCTCCCATGAGGGAAGAATCCCTTAGAGCATCAACACTGTAAGTTAGAGAAGAGACATGATCCCCAGGCAGTCATTTCTTAGTTGATAGCCTGTGTTTCTTTCAAGTTATAAACTGGTAATCTTGAGTTAGCAAATGATAATTATTTTCCCTGCAAGTTTGTATTTATTTATTTGAGAAATAGACATCCTGAGAGAGAACTCTAGTTCACTGGTTCACTTCTCAGTTATCCAGTTTCCAGAACTGCACTAATGATGAAGGCAGAAGCCAAAGGACACTTGTGGGATGCAGAATCCCAACCTCAAACCCATGCATTCCAACATGGGATGTGGATGTATTAATCACAGTCCCAAATGACAGTCTCTGGCAAATATATCAATGTGGTGACAAAGAAGTCCAAACCAGGAGTTTGGACAGAAATCTAGTGCTAGGGCTGTAAGTTACTCAGGAATCTAGTGCTAGGGCTGTTGGATAACCACGTAAATTGGTGAATTCTTTCCTTTTAATGGATTGGCCTTTTTTATATAAAATACTTTCTTTGTATCTTACAGAGATGAAATTAGATTCCAATGCCAAAACAGTTTGCAAAGTTCATATGTTTCAATCATTTGAAACGTATGAACATATGTTACATTTTTCTCAGAGTTCATGTGCTCTCTTAGCTCAGTTAATTGTGATTTAGATTTTTCCCACCTGTGAGCCACTTAGTAAAAAGTGGTTTTTCTTCCTTCCTTTGCAGAATGAGAGCCTTTCCACAGAGTCAACTTAAAGATCATATGGGAGATCACCTTCTCTCTTCAACTGAAACTAAGTTTTGGAAACACGACCCAAAAGCTGATACCGGAGCCATACAGCTACTATTAGGAAGGTAAGCACCCTTGACTAGCTTTGTTCCTTTAAAATTCTTCCTCCAGTTCATTGTGTACATTGTTAAATGCATCTTCCTGATGTGACACTTCCTTAGAGTATCCAAGTCTCCAGTTTCTTAAGCTACTAGTCATTGCCTCCTAAATAAAAAAAATTCAGTTTTTCAGCCTTCCATTCTTGACTTCATTTACCCGGTTATCCAGAATCCACCCTTATTATCTTTGTTATGCCCCAACATCAGTGGTGGCATAGAATGATGCAAACACCTTGGGTTTTAACCAAACACAAGTTGAAATTTGAGATTTATCTCTTGCTCACTTTGTGGCCTTCAACATAGTATCTCTGAACTTTAGAGGCATTGGTAAAATTGAAATAATACCTAACTTCAAAAAATTATTTTAAAGATTAGGAATAATGTATATAGGAGCTAACACTGTTCCTGACACAGTAGTTTCATAATAAAAAATATTGATACCAGTGTTTAATATTATTCCTAATATGGGTCCTTAAACGAAGCTCATCTGTTTATTTGATCAGTAGGATACTCACCATATTCACAGCTTTGGAAAGGAGTAAAACACACTGATTAAAAGCTATTATGTGTTGAATTAAAGAGATTTAAGAGAATGTTTCCGAAACTGCAATTAGTTTGATTTGGGTTAAAGTTTAGACTTCCTGGAAGGAAGTGGCTACACTACATAATCCTTTGGTATGCTAATGATAGGATAGATGGAGAGACTAAAGGTATATAATGGAAAAAGAAAATGTGGAGCCTACACTTTGCAGTGCTTTGAATGTTGTATTAGTGAGTGTACTTCATATTATAAAAATAGAATATTTGGAGTGGGAGCTGGCATTACAGTGCAGCAATTGAGTCACTGCTTGGGATCCTGCAATACAGGAGTGCCTAAATCTGAGTCCCATGCCTTCCCTTCCAGCTTCCTGCTTACATACACCGTGGGGAACGGCTATAGATGGCTCAAGTACTTGAATCCCTGCCATCAAGTTCCTGCCAGGATTGAGTTCTTGGCCCTGGGCCTGGCCCAGCTCTGACTATTAGAAGCATTTGAGAAGTGAATTGATAAGAAATTCTCTCTTCTCAATACTCTTCTCCTTATACTTCTTCCCTGCTCTGTTTTAAAATGCTTATTTATTTATTTATTTATTTATTTTTGAGTAGAAGAAGGAAAAACAAGAGTCTGGAACAGTATGAAAAACGAACCAAATAAGAGATAGGAAAGTGTGTGAGTTTCTCCTTACTAGTGGAGGTGAAGAGGCAAGACATTCATACCTGGGGAAAAGTCAGAGTGAAAAATGACCCCTAGGGTTTCTATGTTAGTTACCCCTTGGATCATAAAGACTGAAGTAAATAACCTCAGAAAGGCAAGGACTTAGAGGTAAATTCCAGCTTGAGATTATAAACCTGCTAAACTTGAGTTGTCTGTGGAATCTGCAAGTGTAATCGTCTAGTTGGCACATGGATATATGGTGCTAAATGAATGGAAAGAGGACTAAACTACAAATAAAACTTGCAGATTTATTACCTATACTGCAATAACTGAAACTCTTGGAATGAACAAGATCACCCAGGGACAAATGCAGAATGAAGTAAGAATAAGAATCACAGCTTTTACGCCCATTGCTCTGAAACCTCAATAAGATGATGGTAGAGAAATACAAAAGATGTATATGCTCTCAAGAATTGAAAGGAGGGCCCGGCGCCATGGCGCAGTGGTTAAGGTCCTTACCTTGCATGCCAGGATCCCATATGGGCACCGGTTCTAATCCTGGCAGCCCCACTTCCCATCCAGCTCCCTGCTTGTGGCCTGGGAAAGCAGTCGAGGACGGCCCAAAGCTTTGGGACCCTGTACCCGCGTGGGAGACCCAGAAGAAGCTCCTGGCTTCGGACCGGCATAGCATCGGCCATTGCACTCACTTGGGGAGTGAATCATCGGACGGAAGATCTTCCTCTCTGTCTCTCTCCTCTCTGTATATCTGCCTTTCCAATAAAAAAAAAATAAATCTTTAAAAAAAAAGAATCGAAAGGAGAACTGACAGTGGGTAAGATGAGTCGGTTAAGTTTTAGAAACTGAAAAACACATGGACAGGAGTAACTGACCCAGGAAAATGGAGAAAGCTGTTCCTGTGAAGTTAAGAGAACCAAAATTTGATTTTAGAACCAGAAAAAAGATTCATATGTCTTTCAAGGCATTTTTTCCTTTTTGTCTTTTTTTTCCCATTTGTGTTTTTCCCATAGCTTTAATGGTTTGACTTTTCACCTTCATTAGTAAGTAAAGGCCTTGAAAGACACCCTGTGTCTGAATTTGATAGTAAAAATAGAAGCTGATTCCGTGGCTCCACAGGCTAATCCTCCACCTTCAAGCACTGGCGTCCTGTATGTGCACCAGTTAGTGTCCTACTTGCTCCACTTCCAGTATGGCTCTCTGCTTATGGCTTGGAAAAGCTTAAGAATGGCCCAAGTCCTTGAGACCCTGCACCCATGTGGGAGGCTGGAGGAGGCTCCAGGCCTGGGGCTGCTGGCTTTAGATCCAACTATTGTTGCCATTTGGGGAGTGAACCAGCAGATCGAGCTCTCTGTGTCTCTCCTTCTCTCTGTAACTCTGACTTTCCAATAAAAAATAAATGAACCTTAAGAAAGTGAGAGAGAGAGAGACAAGATGAGACTAAAAGTGAGAACTAGTTAAAAAAATACAGATGGGAGCATTTAGACTGTGTACCCCTTGCCCCAAGACTTAAAGAGACAGTAAACTGAAATTTGAATCTGAGCCTTGTCGGTCACTAGTAGTTATGTCACATGCCTGCCTTAGGTTCTTAGCCACATTCTCTGCAACTGTCTCATCTCTAAAAGGGATGTCATCATTAACTTACTTCTGAAGTGATAGATCGTATAGATAAATTCATTCCTGCCTGCTTGGCACAAAATAAATTCTGTTTTTTTTAAGGATTTATTTATTTTTATTACAAAGTCAGATATACAGAGAGGAGGAGAGACGGAGAGAAAGTTCTTCCATCCGATAATTCACTCCCCAAGTGAGTGCAACGGCCGGTGCTGCGCCAGTCCGAAACCAGGAACCAGGAACTTCTTCCTGGTCTCCCACATGGGTGCAGGGTCTCAAGGCTTTAGGCCGTCCTCGACTGCTTTCCCAGGCCACAAGCAGGGAGCTGCATGGGAAGTGGAGCTGCCGGGATTAGAGCCAGTACCCATATGGGATCCTGGTGCATTCAAGGTGAGGACTTTAGCTGCTAGGCCGTGGCACCGGGCCCACAAAATAAATTCTTAATAAATATTGACTATTATTATAGCATTGTCCTCTACCCCTAGAGCTAAGAGAACTATTTCCTTGCCCAGTGAAAAACTAGAGATAAATTCTCTGAAAGGATAGGACAGTGGATTTCTAGACTAAGGCTATCAATCACAGCTATGCATAAATGAGAGCAGCATTCTGAGGAATAAGAGATTCAGATTATGTCTGTGTATACAATGGTGAATACTTCTTCTCCCCTTACCTTTTCCTCTGGCAGCCACACTTCCTCCCAGTGAGAGTCAGATTCTGCCTGGAAACTGTCCAACTCGGGAGAAAACAAATACAAATACGGTTAGAGGCTATCCCACAAAATGATGTAGGTCTGCCCAATTATTATAGAACCAGTCAGCAACTCTGTCGAACTGACAACCTGCATTTACGCCATCCAGTCAGCGTTTCAGTACCTGACTTGTAAAGTGAGCAAATAGCTAAGGTTTACAGACAGTTGAGGAGTGCCTTCAGCATGCAGATGGACAGCAAAACTCAGCAGGCATCTACAAGGGGAAGATTGGGTCAATTCCAGAATCTTTGAAAAATGGGATAGCATGAGAAAATAGGAAAGAAGAGATTTAATTGAGATACCTGAGAAGGCTAAATATTCACGTAAATGAAGTTCCGAAAAGAGAAGATGGAGAAAGGGGCCAAAAGATAAAGAAATCATGAAGTAAAATTGTCTGTGCAAGAGCACATGACCTTCCACGCTGATGTTTGAATCAAGACCCCATCTGTGCCCCTCCCAACTCAGAGAAACTGCTGCAAACTCTGGTACTCAACAGTGTAGGGTTCTCTCCTCACCTACAGCCAGTGAGTGGGTAAGGAGAAAAGAGAGGAGACTCAGATTACTAGGAAGAGGGAACATTAATTAATTAATCCAACTCTGTAGAAACAAAGCTGAGTTTTAAAGGCATAGTTTGAGCAATTGCATGAAAAAAAGTGGACAGATCACCCAAACTGGCCGAAGTAAATAATCTGAGTACATCTTAGATTATTAAGAGGAAAATAGATTAAATTAGTAACGACGTAAAGAGAGTGACAACTTAGTTACCTCAGAACAACCGACCAAGAAAGCCCAGGCCCGGATGGCTTCTCTGCTGAATCCTGTACACAAAGAATTGGTGGCCAGTTCTTAAAAACTTTTCTGAATATTAAAATGGTAGGGAACACTTCCCAATTCATTTTATGAAACCTCCATTACTCTGATACCAAAGCCAGACTGAGATATCAAAGAAAACTACGGATCAGCCGGTGGCGGGCAGGGGGACATTTGATACAGCAGTCACGACCCACAAGCAGTCATTTGGGACGTATGGAAGTGCCTTATTCAAAGTCCCAGTTCTACTGCAGTTTCCAATTTTCTGCTAAGGCACAGCCTGAGATGTAGCAGATGACGGCTCAAGCACTTTGGTCCCTGTCCCTGCTCCCTCACAGGAAATCTGGATTGGGTTCCCTACTGTTGTAGGCTTTTCAGGAAGAATCAATGGATGGAAAAATCTATGTGTCTTTTCAAGAATAGTGGGGTAAGAAAATCAGTCTGTTTCTCATGATAGACAGTCATCTACATTCCCTAGAAAAGGGAAATTTTTTTTAAAGAAAATAGCAATACAGTCTAATCTATGATGTTTGATTGATAAGTTTAAGCCATTTACATTTAGGGTTAATACAAATAAGTGGTAATTTGGTTCTGTCATTTTAGCAATGGGTTGTTCATTGATTTAGTCTTCTGTTGTTATTCTCCTGGGATGTTCTTTGCATTTGCCTTAGGTTTTGGTAGGTGCTATTCCTCTTCTCTGTCAATAAAACATCTTTAAGTATCATTTGTAGGGCAGGTTTGGAAGAGGCATATTCCTTAAACTTTTCTTTGCTGTGGAAGAATTTTATTTCATTTTCAAAGACAAAGGAAAGCTTTGCTGGGTACATTATCCTGGGCCAACAAATTTTTGCTTTTAGAATCAGGAATATGTCACTCTATTCTCTTCTTGCCTGTAGAGTTTCCTGTGAGAGATCTCCTGTGAGTTTAGTTGACACTCCTTTATATGTCAGTTGATTTTTTTCATGTGCACATAAACAAAACCCATCTATTTGTTGCCTACAGAAGACATATCTCACCAACAAAGAACTGTTTCCTGGATTTTGATTTTTTTTTGTTTCATCTCTTCAAAACACTTTCTTCTAATTAAATTCTTCAATGATTCAGATCATACAGTAGCATCATTTTCTTTGAGAAGGTTCTTGATTTTCATTTCTTCAGTGACACATTAGTCATTCAGTAGCATGTTATTTAACTTCATGGCATTATAAATTTCTATTTGTCTTCCTGGTGTTGATTTTTTTTAAATATTTTGACAATCTTTATATAGTTAATTAGGGTAAAAAGGTTCAAGGGCTACAGGAGAGTGGGTAAGACTAGTATTTTTTCCATATTGTTTCCTTCATGTTTAAAGGGGGGTATTAAGGGAGAAGGCTCACCCAATTTCCCATCCTCCCCAAGTCCCGGATGTGGGGCATGCTCTCAGGTTCTTGCCCAAGTGGTTTTAATATTTCAGCAGTTATGAATCGCTGCCAATCTTGCCACTCCAAGCACTATGAGGTCCTTGAAGAATCTACTGATTGACGTAGTCCATCATAGCTGAGATGGTTGGTTGACCTGTTCTGTCTTCTCTCTTTTCTTGGTTAGGGTTCTGAGTCCAGCATTTTGATTGGGGAGATCTCCAAAGAAACTTTGTCTGAGGTGTTCTCAAACCAGATTCTTGTATGTATGAGGTAGAGGGCCCGGCACAGTCCATCACCCCGATCAGCTGGTGGTTGCAATTGCTGGGTTGATTCTGTTTTCAGCCCCGACTTCCACTGGAACCAGTGGGTGTTGAGTCCAGCTTGGTTCTGCCCAGCACATTCTCGGCCCTTGCATAAACAAGTGGGAGTGCAGCCTAGTTGGAGCAACCCACAATAACCGCCACCAGGCCTGCCCCCTAACCTGGTTTGCCAGTATGTGTAGCAGTAGTCCAGTCTGTCCCATTACCCATTCCACCTCAGCCCCTGTCCTGGTTTTCGTGCCCTCCCATACAAGTAGTAACCCAAAATGAGCCCACTATTTCCCTCCCAGGCCTCTCCCACTCCCAGGTTATGCACTCTCTAAGTAGTTCTGTGATTTAACTTGACAGAACTAGCCCCCAGTGCCAGCTTCTGCCAGCTGATGCTGTGGCTAAGTCCAAACAACCCTCACCCACTCTAATTTTGTTTGCACAGTAGGAATAATCAGCCCAGCCTGGCTTTTTCCTGAGCTAGTCCACCTGAGGCGCATAGGTGTTGTAGCCCTGCTTAGTCTGGTCTGCCCCCATCCCAGCTCATGCTTTCCAGCAGGAGTGGCTGTGCAGCAAAGGAACCACCCCTTATTCCCCTGCTGGCTCCACCCCTTCCCTTCCTGGTTCTCACATGTGCTGGTTGGCCACTGCGGTCACTTCTGGCACAGGCAACCTCACCTTGGCATTCCGTATTGTGCACTAGTTTTTGTTGCAACCATACCCAGCTCGACCCATGCTGTTCTGGTGCCTGGATTTGCTAGGGAATGATGTGAACAGATTCAGCCTGGTCTTCCCCTGATCCATGCCAGATGTATGCCAGTGGGTGACTTTCCATGGCCTGTTCTGTGCTGTTCGCTAACATGTTTCTTGCGCTTACCTGCCGGGTCTGTGTCCTGCCAGAGGAGTTGCCCAGGCTCCTCCATCAGAACTTCTCCCAGTGCCAGATTTTTCGCATACCAGTGGGTCCATGAGCCAGCCCTACTCAGTTCACCTCCTGTCATAGCAGGAACAGTGGCTTTTCCTGACTGGCCTTCAACCCAAACTGGTCCTTGATGTTGTATGTTTCAGCCCAGCCATGCATGCTGGAAGCTTAAATGGGTGACAGTTTGTGGCCTGGCTGCTCCACTTCTGATCCAGCTCTCTCCAGTGACCTCAGAAAAGCAGAACAAGATGGCCCAAGTGTTTGGGCCCCTGCCATCCACATGGGATACCTAGATTAATCTCCTGGCTCTGGCCTGGCTCAGCTCTGACCAGCTGTTGCAGTCATGTCAGGGGTAATTCAGTGAATGTAGTATCTCTGTCTCTCTGTTGTGTCTCTTCCTCTTTAACTCTTTCAAAATAAGTAAATCTTAAAAAAGGAAGAATAATTACCTGACCCAGCATGTTACTAATCCTGAGGTCGAGAAACCCTAGTGTAGTTTAAGGAATGATGAGAGAGGAAACATTTATTGAGCATCTATTCATTCAAATACAAGAACATCTTGGTATTTAAAGATACTGATTAGGCAGTTTTTTAAGTTAATGAAGACAGTATAGCTGCTAATTTGAAAGGGAAGCAAAATTAAAAAAATAATAATAAATGCAATGTGTAACGCAGCAGCTAGCACATAGTATTGTTGCTTTTAGTATTAACAGAAGTTCACTACAGATCCATTAGTGTTGGCCCCATAGGAGAAAGAAAGTCAATATATTTTACTTTGAGGAAAAATATGGAATTTATATAGGGCCAGGAAAAAAAATGCTAGCAAAAAAAGAATCAGAATTGTATAGAATTAAAAACCAAACAAACAAACAAGGAAATGGACCTGGTGCAATAGCCTGGTGGCCAAAGTCCCTGGTGGCCCCACTTCCCATCCAGCTCCTTGCTTGTGGGCTGGGAAAGCAGTTGAAGAAGGCCCAAAGCTTTGGGACCCTGCACCCAGGTGGGAGACCAGAAAGAAGCTCCTGTCTCCTGGATTCATATTGGCTAAGCTCCAGCTGCTGCAGCTACTGCAGAGTGAATCAATGGATGGAAAAATCTTCCTCTCTGTATCTCTTCCTTTCTTTATATCTGTCTTTCTAATAAAAATAAATCTTTTTTAAAAAGGGAAAGAGAAATCAATTCTTTAAAATTCTCAGTTTATAATTACTCAGGTGGTTGTCTTTCTATTCGTTTTCAAAGTCTTTGTGCTTTTTTTTTTTTTTCCATTTTTATATGTCACATAGAAGTAATCTTGTGGGCCCAGCGCAATAGCATAGTGGTTAGGGTCCTCACCTTCCATGCGCCAGGATCCCATAAGGGCGCTGGCTCTAATCCCAGAGGCCCCTGCTTCCCATCCAGCTCCCTGCTTGTGGCCTGGAAAAGCAGTTGAGGACGGCCCAAAACCTTGGGACCCTGCACCCATGTAGGAGACCTGGAAGAAGCTCCTGACTTTGGTTGGCTCAGCTCCGGCCATTGCGGCCGCTTGGGGAACGAATCATCAGATGGAAGATTTTCCTCTCTGTCTCTCCTCCACTTTGTATATTCGCCTTTCCAGTAAAAATAAATATATATCTTTTAAAAAAAAAAAGGTGTGATTTTGCAATAATCATCAGAATACATTTAAGTTTCTTCAGAAAAGAAGACATATTTACGAATAAACCATTTTTCACAAACACAATTCAACCTATCGAATTATAGCTTTTAACCATTTTTTCCTCTCTTGAAAGCCATGAATATCATGGATATGAAAACTGCTAACCTAGCCATCTCTGCTCTGTGTCATCCAGGAGCTAGCACATAATAGGTGGTCAGTAAGTGTGGGATGAATGGATGAGCTCACAATCAGGGTCAGTGGTGCGGTTTTGAGTGCGTTTCACTGACACCCCAGAGGAGTAGCGGGGTACAATTAGAAACTTCCCTGTCGCCTGTGTTTAATGTACATCTTCATTATCTCTGCAGTGCTGAATTATCCCAAGGTCATCCCTGGAATGGGCTAGGCTCTCCTCCCGACTCCCCATCTCCCAGGAGTGACGTGTACTGCAGCAGCGAGCTGAATGACCCTCAGTATGACCAGAGTCTCCTGGAGCATTTGTTTTACACAGCACCTGTAAGTCATTGAAGCTGACGCCTGAGAAATTGCAGAGCCAGGGTGTAACAGTAGGAGCTACACCTATGATCCCCCTACCCTTTTACCTACCTCAGTTCAGTATAAGGACAACCTCAAGAGAAAGATGCCATCTACATTTGACAAATGAGAATACAGGCTTAGTACAATTATATGTTTTATGCAAATACTCTAGCAAGTAAGTGATAGAGCCAAAATTGAAATTCAAGTCAACCTGTGGCTTCCTTATTGCTCTCCTAAGGTAGAACTAACATATTTGCAGCTATCCCCTCAAACCCTCTGTCTATTCAGAATATTCTAGAGGAACAGGTGTTATGGCACAGCAGATTAAACCACCACTTGGGATGACCACCTCCCACATTGAAAGGCCTAGGTACCATGATTGGCTGACCAGCCTTTTACATATCTTGATGCAAAATAGGAGAGAGAAAATGGCGTTATAGTTATTTAGCTGTAAAGTTTAAAAAACTGCGTAAGTGTGGCTAACGTAAACTTAGGATGACAGTCCAAAGTCACTGTAGGTCTATCATGCGATGTGGCCTTTGGTTCCACTATTAAGGAGATTTGTGAAACATAGTAAATAGTTCATATTATCCAGGTTAGAAACAATCAAGTGGTAAGAAAAAAAGATAATGATTGAATCCAGACAACTGGGCGGCATTGGACCAGTCATTTGGAAGCCTGTGGAGACCAAAATCTGGGTTTACTACTTAAGCTGTGGATCAAAACATAGACTAACTTTTCTCAACTTTGGTTTTCCTACTTGTGAAAATTGAGGTAAAGGTGGTGAAGATTAGAAATGCGTGCAGCATTGTATAATGCTGAACACACAGTAGGCAGTCTTCAAGTAATGACTGTTGGTGTGACAATCTATTTTCACTTCTTTGAATTAAACTTATAGGTTATTATGGTAAACTTCAAATTATTTTTGCAGTTTCAAGAGAAAGATGATTGTCTCCCTCCCTGGTGTCAGTCGACCATCTCTTTAAGAGACTAATGTGCATGGCAAGAGCTTGCTTATGGTTAGAGAAATATGTCATTACTACCCGCCCTACCCTGAGTAGGCATCTGTTAGTGTCTTTTTGTTTCATGTCCCACAGAAATCCGACAGCAGCATTAGTGAGTACCTCAGTGAAGATGATGATGGTGTTCCTCCTAAAAAAATGAACGCATCCAAAGACCTTGCCAGGTTGCATAAGGCTCTCGAGTCAGGAGATCAGAAGCTGATGAACAGAGCAGCAGGCAAAAAAAGACGGTGAGTTTCTCTAGAAATGCTTGCTTAAAGAATAAAAGCAAAGGAAGATATTTTCACAAGAGTGGTGAAGTCACAGTAACACAAAAATACAATCCTAAAAAATGTAATGATACGGAAGAATGGGTGCAATGAAAATAAACAAGGAGGAGTTCTAAGCTGTATGTGTATCATGATCACAGCCTGTAGAAAATTTGCATGAGGAAAGCAAATAAAAGTATAGAAAAGTGACAGTAGTCATTATGTTAGTTACATAACTCCATCGCTTCTAGAAAATCTTGATTCCATAGCATCCAGTTTTAATACTTGAATAGCAATTAGACCTTTAGATTACAAGAAACTTTTTCACATCAGAGATTTATTTTAGATTACGACCAGAATTAGGAGCTTTTTAAACTGTTCCCCATCCTTGATAACTTCCAGATTAAAATGCCTGCCCCTCCTCACCCTCTTCCCCCATTTTGCTTTACAACTTAGATTGCTTCATGTTGATCCTTTGTCCCTCACCGTGTGCATAAACTCCTTCCAGAAATCTGTTCCAACAGCAGATGCTGTCTGAAACTCCAGAAGATGCCCAAGTGACGACATTAAGCGTGGATAGACTGGCCCTTCTGGGGAGAACTCAGTCCGTCCGAGTGATCATTGACACCATGGGCGTGCCTCCAGACAGTCCTCAGATGACCCCCGACAAGAAGAGTGGTGTCAGAAGGCAACTTAAGCTGATAACAGCAAAAAGGCGGTATGTCTAACATGAAACGGCTAAACGTGACATTTCTGGGAATTGTGTCTGGTAATAATTGATCATTGTATATTATAGAAAACTTTCGATGCATACCATGTTTTCATGTGCATCGTTTGGGACATAAAGAAAATTACCATTCTTGCAGACCTTACTGTTAATTCTTGAGAGAAACTTTTAACTCTATAACATGGGGCACTAGGGACCAAAATGGATGTTTCCTATTGTGAGCGCTGTGGATGGGAGCACGGGCCAGAAACCCTTCATCCTGATTGACAGGATCACGGAAGGCCGAGAGGGAAGGGCCTCTGAGGACTTCAGGTCTTCAAAGACATGTAGGATTTGCCACGCAGAAACTAGCTGTGGTTTGGGAGTTTTAATCTCATTCTTGTTTTTACTTTATAGCACTTTCTTTGTGGAATACCACTTTCCTGTGGGCTTTTCTAAAAGTGGATCAGGAAAGACAGCTTTGATCACCGAAGTTGTTCGATTTGCCTCCAGTAAAGTTGCAAGTGGAAGTAAGAGACCCATTTTTCTCCTCCTTAGATATTTTGGAATTCCTCATTGCTCATCTGACTTCTGTAGTGTCTCAGAATTTGGAGTTAGAATTCTTGAGTATTTTAGCTCCTAAAGGAGTTAGGAGTGAGGAAAGTAGCTCCGTGCCTGTGTGATTATCGTGCTATAAAACAACAGGACAGGCAGCATGGCTGAGACTACAGCTCAGAACTTCTGATGCTCAGATCGCATTCTTTCAGTTCTCACCAAATTCTTGTCTTCCTCTATTTCAAATGGCTTCACCAAAATAGACTTCATATAACATACAGTTCACTCATTTGACATTCAATTTAATGGCTTATTAGCATATTTGCAGAGCTATGCAGTCATTACCATAATCTAATTTTGGAACATTTTCATCCAATTTTCTTCTCCCACAGCCCCAAAAGAGTCTTTAAATCAGATTTTAGAGGGAGATAGGTGATAATGAAATCTCATTAATGATAAGAAATGTGATACGTGTCTGTGTGTTTGGTTTTATTTACAGTGGTGAAATTCCAGCAGCGATCTGTGTTTCCAGTACAGTTTCGTGGTCCAATGATAGAGCACTGGTGGAATTCCAGCCTCACTTTCCAAATTTATGCAAAGAAAACCCCACAGAAAAAGGTATTTCGAGTGATTTTTACCTTTGTCTTACCAGTCACACCAGGTATCTGAAGCATGCTTAAATGTATATTTGTACCTGTGCTAGAGCTGTGGCATTGTGGATAAAGCTGCTACTTGCAGCACTGGCATCCCAGTTCAAGTCCTGGATGCTGTACTTCCGATCTAGTTCCTGGAAAAGCAGAGGAAGTTTGCCCAAGTACTTGTGCTATCTTTACTTCTTTCCCTGGTACATTTTCAGGAGCTGTGTGGCAAATGGAACAGCTGGACATGAACCCACATGCATTTTTGGGTAATGGCATCACAAGCAACAATTTAACTTCCTGTACCACAACACTGGTGCCAGACTTTCAAGAAATAATTCGTGATTGTATATGCTTTTATATTAGTGTGTTAAAAATAACTAAGTAATTTCTGATTATTGGACATATTTTATTAATATATGCATATTTGGGCATATACATATTTAAGTATAGATCAGGCCTTTTTTTTTTTTAGTGTAGATTCTCAGAACTAGATTTACTAGAACAAAAAGTATGAAGATTTAAACTTTTATATATCAAATTAGCTATCCAGAAGTGTATTGCCAGTTTTTATTCCCAGTTTTATCCATATAATAGTTACCTATTTCCCCATAGTCTTGAAAGAATCAAATAGAATTGTTTTGTAATTTTATTCATCTTAATGTTAAAATTTTGTATTATCTAAATTTTTCTATTATAAAGAGATTTACTGTTTTTCCTTGAAAGTCAGAATTAGAGAGATAGAGGGAAAGAGAGAGAATGACTGCAATGACCAGAGCTATGCTGGTTGAAATACAGGAGCCAAGAGCTTTCCAGGTCTCTCCAAAGCCTTGGGTCATCCTCCACTGCTTTCCAGGTCATCATCATGCAACAATCAGGACATAAACCAGTGATCATATGGAATGCCAGGGATTGCAGGTAGAGGATTAGTTTGCTATACCATCAGGCTGGCTACATAAATTTTCTTTTTTATTGTTAAGAGTGAAGTTGAGGGCCCGGCGACATGGCCTAATGACTAAAGTCCTCACCTTGAACACGCCAGGATCCCATATGAGTACTGGTCCTAATCCCGGCAGCTCCACTTCCCATCCAGCTCCCTGCTTGTGGCCTGGGAAAGCAGTTGAGGACAGCCCAAAACTCTTGGGATCTTGCACGCACATGGGAGACCTGGAGAAAATTCCTGGCTCCTGGCTTTGGATCAGCATAGCACTGGCTGTGGCGCTCACTTGGGGAAAGAATTATCGGACGGAAGAACTTTCTCTCCGTCTCTTCTCCTCTCTGTATATCTGACTTTGCCATAAAAATAAATAAATATTTTTTTAAAAAAAAAAAAAGAGTGAAGTTAAACATTTTGTTTAAAAACTTTTTGTAATAAATCATCTTACAACATCTACGGCTTTGAAACCATCTACACTCTTTGAAAAAGGACTGCTAGAACCCAGAGGGATGCAGGGATGGACTGTGGGATCCCACATAGAGTTACCGCAAACAACTAAGGTTTTTACTTCATAAAGTAAAGGTTCCTTCTTTATAAACCATCATATGCTGTCATTTTGATTAAAATTCTGTGTGTTTCTTTTTAATTAAACCTAAACTTTTTCTGTCCTTCTTTCCTCAGCCGGAAGTCATTGGCTCTTCATCACTTCCTTTGAGAGCTGTCCTTCAGTCAGAGCTGCTTTCTTTCAGTGAGCAACTTCCAGTGCAGCCGGAAAATGATCAGACTCTGCTTGGCCCCCTCAAGGTACATAGACATACATTCCAGATGTCTGTAGTGTTTACTCGTGTGTATGAACAACTGGACTACAGCAGTGGGCCAGAAAAGCTCTGGTGGAGCTTCTGTTGAAATTAGTTGGGGTAACATCTCTCCAAAGAGGTGGGATATGAAACATGAGAGGAGAAAGTTCAAACACACAGGAGCAAGCATTCCAGAGAAAGACAATAATATGCCAAGAAAGCCGTAGGGCAAGAATGGACTTGCCTTGATTGAGGGATAAAATATTCCCCTAGGAGAGTGAGCAAGGAGAGCGGTGGAGGTCAGGTGGGACAGGGCTTTGTAAGTCAGGGAACAGTTTAGATTTTAGCCTATGAGCCAAGATAATAATTTTGAAGCTCAGAAATGATGCATCATCTGATGGATTTTTTTTAATTACTGTATGAAAAAATAGATTGTAGAGAGCAAGTAGGGAGGAGCTCAAGGAGGGGAGTGGCTGTCGTATTAGTTCCCAAAAGAGGTGATTGATGGTGGCTTGGACCAGAGCAGGGACAGTGAGCAAAGAGAAGCATCTGAGTGTGTGTGGTGGAATGAATGCTGACATACAATGCACTTCAGACAGGGTGCTTGCCTTGGGTTCAGAAGCATCAGAATTTCTTAGATGACAGAATTTGAATGTGTGACTTCAACACAGCTTTGCCTTATTGTCCTGGTGGGTTTTTTTGTTTGTTTGTTTTTTAAACCATCACATCTGAGGCCAGCATTTGGCCTAGTGGTTAAAATGCCCCTTGGGACATCTGCATACTAGAGTGCCTGGGTCAGATTCCTGCCTGCACTCCCAATGCTCGCTTCCTGTTGATGCAAACCCTTGGGAAGCAGCAAGTGATGGCTCAAGTAGTTTGGTCCCCCACTGTGGGACCTAGATGGAGTTCCTGTCTTAGCTGCAACTGTTTTCTATCTTTCTTCCTGAGAGATTAAAAGAGAAAAGGTCATACCCATGCCTTAAACATCCCCATGGTTCCCAATCACCCAAAAGTACAAGGCTCGCTGTATATCAAACTAGGCATAGAGTCAGTAACATACCATGTTGGTACATGCTTCTTGGTTTTTGTTTTTTATTTTTTGCTGTTTCTTGTTAAAAGCCTTTTCACACTTCTTCCAGTTTTAAGATTTGCACTGTTTTTTATTACAAAAATGTAACACCACCTGCCCCTTCTGCTATCTAAATTTTGGATTTTTGGTTCGTATTTTTTTAAAGACTTATTTTCTTTTTTATTGGAAAGTGAGATATACAGAGAGGAGGAGAGATAGAGGGGAAAATCTTCCGTCGCTGATGATTCACTCCACAAGAGACTGCAACAGCCAGAGCTGCGCCAATCCAAAGCCAGGAGCCAGGAGCTTCTTCTGGGTCTCCCACAAGGATGCAGAGTCCCAAGGTTTTGGGCCATCCTTGACTGCTTTCCCAAGTCACAACAGGGAGCTGGATGGGAAGTGGGGCCATCAGGATTAGAATTGGTGCCCATATGGGATCCTGGTGCATTCAAGACAAGGGCTTTAACTACTAGGCTGCCGTGCTGGGCTCTGAAGGGTAAAATAAGTGGAATTGATAGACTAGAAGTTGTTTGTGTCAGGTCAGCACTGTGGCACATTGGTTAGAGCTGCTGTCTGCACTATCAGCATCCCATATGGGTTCCAGTTGAAGTTGGCTGCTCTACTTCTGATCCAGTTTCCTGCTAATGTCTCTGGGAAAACGATAAAGGATGAGCTTGGACCCCTGCACCCACATGGGAGACTCAGAAAAATGCCCAAGATCCTAACTTCAAGCTGACTCAGCTCTGGCTGTTGAGGACTCTTGGGGAGCAAACTAATGGATAGAAACCTTTCTCTGTTTCTCTGTAACTCTTTCAGATAGTAAATCTTTAAAAAAAAAAAAAAAAAAGGACTAATTTAAAAGAAATGGAAGTGTTTCTGTCTTGGCCCTGTTGAGAGAAGTATTGCTAATTAGGTCTGTATTCAATAAAGCAAAATAATTTTTTCTGGGTAACACCTGTGTGTCTCAGATTAAAGAAACGACAAGAACACTTTATTCCAAGTTACTTCAATCTTCTAACAGTGAGTGACCAATCTGTTCCTCAGATTAATCATTTATACCGAATCCTTTTCTTTTTTACTTTCTTTGTGTTTGTGTATATGCTTGAGAAAGTTTCAGTCTGCTAATTCACTCTTCAAAGACCCACAGTACCCGGGAGGCCAGGCAGGGGCACCCAGTTACTTGACCGTTACCACAGTCTCCCCCAGCATTAGCAGGGACTTAAAGCCAAAGTCGGAGGTGAAACCCAGATACTCTAATATGGAACATAGATAGCCTCACATCTTAACCTCTAGGCCAGTGCCCACCCCTCTTTTATTTTGTAACTCTTCTTTTAACTTACTTTGAACTAACCTCATATTTTGAGAAAAATTATGAAAGTAATACAGAGAACTGCCCAGCCTCACCAATTTACCACTTTTTTTCATGTTTGCTTTATACTTCTTGCTGCCTCTTCTTTGTTTCTTTCTCTCTCACCCTATGTTGCATATGCACATATATTTAATATGCATGTTCACATACTTTTTGTCTGATCTATTACTGTTTGAAAATAAGTTAGAGATACCACATATCTTTACCCCTGAGTTCTTTAGCATTTATTTTATGAGAACGAAGAAATTGATATGCAAAATATGCTAGAGTTATAAAAATTGGTTTAATATTAATACTGTATCTACAGTCCATGCTCAAATTGTACTAGTTATGCCAGCACTAGCAGCTGTTTTCCTAGATTATCTTTTCATTTAATTGTCCTATCTTACCCCCTGGAACAGTTTCACAGCCCTTCTTTGTATTTTTTGTATAGAAGTAAACCAGTTTTTTTGAGCTGGAAGGGTAAAAGTAGAGCAGCTACAATGTGAACCGGTATCCATATAGGATCCCAGTGCTTGCAAAGGGAGGATTTAGCAACTAAGCTATTGCACTAGACCTTAACTCCACTATTTCTATGCATTTATTAATCAGTATTCTGCTGGGTGGAAGACTGGTCACTTCTCCCATTTTCCTTTTTTCAGTATGGACTTATGGATTCTAACATTATTCAACAAATTAAATTCCATTACTATGATTCATTTTGATACTCAGATTTTCCTAGACTTAGCCAGATGTATCCTGTCCAACTGGATTCTGTGTCCTTTTATGTCTCCAATCTTTTATTATAATTTCCTATTTTCTGACATGAGATGATGTTCTAAGCTTATGTTATTAATCAACTGTCTAGCTTTTTATAGTCTGGCAGGTTAATATATATGCAGTCTGTTACTTTTCTTACATTTTTGAATCTAAGAATGAGTTAAATCATTGCCTAATAATCCAATATTGTTTCCGGCTCCACAATTCTGATTCTAGTACTAGGGGACAATTGTAGTGATTCTTCTCCTTTTCATTTTATAGGTAACCATGGAGCTTGTTACAGATAACAAAGATTTCGCTGGTGTCAATTCTAAACTAAGTAGCAATACTCAGCAAACCCCACATTGTGAACCTACAAGTCCGGATAAAATAGTACTAGAAACAAGCCAAGACATTACCTCTACCAAAAATTTACAGGAGCTAAATCAAATTTATGAGGAAACTACAAGGAAAGCACAGAATTTGGTGCTTCCTAACCCAAAGTCACCAATCTCTGTGACACCAAGTCCTTCAAATGTGATGACTTTGCCAGCCCCCCAAAATTTAATAAGTCGGGCAAATGAATCGACAGAAGAGAATGCCTTGCTGTTACATGTGCTATTGATGGTGCCAGAGGGGAAAGATTTCGTTATTGGAGAATCTGAGAAACAGTCATCTTGTAATGTTTATTTAAACTGCAAACTTTTTAGCACAGAAGAAGTTATCAGATCTGCCATCGCTTGGGGTACCGCACAACCCATCTTTAACTTTTCCCAGGTAACTTTGTACCTTTATCCATTATGAGTATATAGGGGTGTTAAATAAGCATTTCCCAGAACCTTATTCCATCTTAAGAGACTGAGAGGGTTTTCTTTTTCCCCAGGTAATTCCCATCTCTCTGTCTTCCAAATGCCTGGAAAGGCTTAAGAACAATGTGATGGTAATTGAAACTTGGAACAAGGTGCGGAGCCCAGGACAGGACAAGCTGCTCGGGCTGGTGAAACTCCCCCTCCATCAGTTTTACATGTCATTCAAGTAAATAGGATCTTTTGAAGTATTATTTGTTTGGCTTTGCATCTTTACCTTTGTGTGGACTAAAGAGGAATCTTTTGGGTTTGCAAACATGTGTAGCCCAGCAGGCCCTTGGAGGGCTTTTCCCCATCACACCGTGCTCACTGCTCTTTCTCATCTTAAAAGTAGTCTGACAGTTACTGTTTACCAGGGATCGGGCACAGTGCTACAGAGCTTACATACCACAAGCCATTTAACCTATATAATGCCCTCTGGTTTCCCTGGTGTAGTGCTGAGTAAATAGAGACTCAAAGATAATTTACTGCTTGTCACACATGTCATTAGAGTGGATCCAGGTTAAAAACCCAGAGATGACCCAGATCAAGTCAACTTCCTTCTCCGAAAAAGCTCTACTACTTGAAGTTAGCACCTCACAGACATAATGGTTTCTCTATTGGCACAGAACCTTGGCATTGTTCACATCAACTGTTTTCAAGATTTCTTCAATGAAGATTGTTTGATTGTTGCACCTTACTTTAACACTTGGGTGAAGTAATGATTAACCTGAAGATTGTTTCTGTTCTAGTAGAGATCATTTGTTTTTATGTTCTGATTCAGAGTGCCTGATTTTTAATTACCTTAGCACTCACCTTTTATTTAGCAGCCCCCTCATAGTTCTGTGTTTTACATTTTACAAGGTGCACTTTTGGGGTAATTCTGTCATTTGAGCCCTACTCTGAGTCCATGGAGTATTAGCACTGTCCCAGATTTACAAATAAGAAAATTTGTCACTTGAATGGGAGAAGTCACTTAACTTTTGTGGCTGTCTTGTTCTCATTTGTGAAGTGAAGGTGATGATAAGATTCCTCAATCTCTTTAACAGTGCCATTGTGAGGATTTAGTGAAAAAATGTGAGTATAGCTTCCATGAAGTTGAGTTACAGCAATGACGCTGGAAAGCTTGGCAAGGCTGAGGAGTGTTGTTGGGATCATGAATATCATTGCCCACTACATGCTTTTGGCTTACTCCCTTTTCTAACTTGTGATATTAGTCTAGCTTGGTATTTCTCTTCCTCCACTTCCCTTCTCATTCCATTACAGCTCATTCTTTGCTAAGAGAACACAAAACAATAGTAGCTACTAATTACTGAACATTTACTGTGTACCAAGTATTGCTATTGGTATTTGCTATTTGTTACTTCAGGTTAGCCCTAACAACCCTGTGAAGGGAGTATAAATGCCTCCAATTACAACTGAGAAAACAGAAAAGTGTCTCATATAACAAGTGACACAGCCAAGATTCAGCATGGTATAAAGAATACCATCAGGGGATTTAGAATTGCACAGATCAAAGCCTGAATCTTAGTTCAACCTCCTATATGTATATCCTTAGCAAAGCTACTTAACCTTTCCATATTTAGTTTAGATAATATCAACTTTTGCAGTATTCACAGATTAAAAGTACTGTAAAGTGACTGAACATTCAGTAAATGGCAAGTGTCACTAATTTTTTTTTAAGATTTATTTTATTTTTATTACAAAGTCAGATATACAGAGAGGAGGAGAGATAGAGAGGAAGATCTTCCATCCGATGATTCACTCCCTAAGTGAGCACAATGGGCTGGTGCTAGTCCGATCCAAAGCCAGGAGCCAGGAACTTCTTTCTGGGTCTCCCACTCGGGTGCAGGGTCCCAAAGCCTTGGGCCGTCCTTGACTGCTTTCCCAGGCCACAAGCAGGGAGCTGAATGGGAAGTGGAGCTGCCGGGATTAGATCTGGCACCCATATGGGATCCCGGCACGTTCAAGGCAAGGACTTTAGTCACTAGACCATGCCGCCGGGCCCGTCACTGATATTTTGTCCCATTCTTTTCTGCCAGACTGTCCTGCCCAAAGTTTTCATATTAGCCCATACTGGCTTCTTGTTAAGTGACATGCTTCAGAAAGCCCCAGCAGAAATGATGATGTGTTGCAGCCACTGGGCTGGGGCCGTCATGCAGAGATGACATCTGACACACTACACTCCCTGCCTTCAAATGGCCAAATGTTGAACTCTGCCTGATAATTTATTTGATTGGTTACTAATAAGGTCATATAATAGCGAAATGTTAAACTCAGCTGCCTGATAATTTTTTATTGGTTGCTAATAAGATCATATACTTTTTGAAAATTTCTATTAATTTTTCTAGTTGTAGATCCATTTTTAACATACTACAGCAAACCAAGTAAGAAGCAAAGCTACCATGTGACATGATTAATGATTGTTATTTGCTGCTTCACAATTTCTTCCCCTCTAGAGATCCCAAGATTTCTCGCCTCCTGCTTGAAGCTCAGTACCCAGTTGTTGCTGTTGACAGCTACATGCCTGTGATCGATGTGTTCTCAGGCCACCAAAACGGAAGTCTTCGAGTCTTTTTAGCTATGGGTTCTTCAGATCAAATAATGGCATTACAAAGATTAAAGAATGAAGAAGGAACACTCCCTCCCTTCAGCCCCAGACCAGCCCATTTCCTGGACCAGCCATCTGTAGCATCTGTTGCTATGGTACTGACTAGACACTGTGGATTGTAAAAACACCGTAATCTCATTTTCTGTTGTGTATTTTAGTGAAGCCATTGCACCAAATACTCAGTAGCAAAAGGCTCAACGGAGAATATAATTTGCGCTCCAGTGCTTGCTATAAGTCCAAAGAATCATTTGTCTTTTTCTGTAATCTTTAAAATAGATTTCTGTGTCTGTTTAAGCATCCTGAATTTATTAAGGAAATCCAGTTGGACAACCCAGGTAGTATACCTGTAATTTAGTAACTTAACTGCTTTTAAAAGGGAATTAGAAGAAGTCAGAGCCCAGATGGTATCTATGATTAGATTAAATGATGCTTTTCTGATGGAGAATTACCTAAAAAGAGAAGTTAAAGAAAAATCATCTGCAATATTCTCAATTCTGTTTATTAGGTAGTCCTCACTTAGCAGTAGATTTTATTAAGTTCTACTCTAAAAGTTAAAAAGTTACTGTGGGCACACAAGAAGTCCTTGAAACATTTCACTATGAGGTATCTACTGATAAAATTGATTTTCCTTCAATAATCATGTCTGTTATCCAGTCAACCAAGTGCAGAAAAGAATTATTAAATTAATATATTACATGAACTAAGTAGGCAGATGTGGTGACTCTGAAAGCTATTTTTGCCCTAAAATTTTAGCACCAGAGATCAAATTGCAAATTTTATTTTCTAAGTAGGTCTTAAGCAAGTGTTGCTAACATGTGTTTTCAGATTTAAAAGCCAATTTCTAATGCAGTCTCTTTTCTTGATTAAAAAGCATACAAACCACAGTCTCACTCCAAATCTGAATGCTCAGTCTCCCCCTTGGCTATTCCTGGTAGCCTGTTGTCTGATGGGAGCTGAGGCTGCAGAGAACAGAGGTGAGGGCACCAGCTTGAGTCACTCCAGTAAACCCTGCCTCCCCTGTTAGGGGCTATGCATGTTCAAGAAGCTGTTACAAGTTGATCTTAGCAAATTACGATTACATAAGTGATAGTTCTGCGGAGTCCTTTAGTAGCAAAACAGCATGCATGTTGCTTACCTCCCCAAGTGCTCTGTGCCATTTGGGGGCAGTTCCAACTTCTATAGAAATAGTCATCAAATTGGAATATGTTTGCTCCAAGTATGTAGTCTTTGTTCCAGTTCAGGCAATAGCTGTTTAAAAGATGTTGAATTTGGTCAAATGCCTTTAGATTTGTTGAACTTACCATGTTTTTTTCTTTGTTCCATGAATGCGCTGAATTAGTTGGATTTCCTAGTATTGAAGCCAGGTTCATGGTTTAAAGTAAAAACCTGTAAGTTTAACAACACTGAGCAATTGAGAATTGATGCATAAAATTAAAATTTTTTTAGTTATCAGCTAGTTTTCTTATTTCTTCATATATACTCAGTTTTCAGAGGAAAGCAAGTATACTCTAAGGAAGGTATTCCTTAAAGCTCACCAATGTGTGTTTCTGTTCCATTTTCTAGGCAGAAGACCAAGGAAATGGATTGATAGAGCACCACTTTGAGTTCCATGTAGAGATGGTTAAAGGGCTAGCTCCTCTTCAGGCCACAGTCTGGGGAGAAGCAGATTGCTACGTCCAGTACTACTTTCCAGCTCAAGACTCACAATTCAGTGCTCTAAAAGGACCCGAGTTTCTTGAAAAGGGTAGGTTTGGGAGATGAGGCCTTCTCACTTTTGTATGGGTCTTTCGGTAGTTATATTTGGGGTTTTTTTTATGTAAATTATGTGTTGCTTAATGTTTGTATTAAGACAAGAGATGGGTAGGTTTCTCTCTTTCTCTCTTTTTTTAAAGATTCATTTATTTTACCTAGAAGTCAAAATTACAGAGAGGAAGAGATGAAAATCTTCCATTCAGTGGTTCGCTCCCCAAATGGCCACTGTGATCAGAAGTGGGCCAGTTCAAACCCAGGAGCTTCTTCCAGGTCTCTCATGTGGGTGCAGGGTCCCAAGCACTCAGGCCATGCTCCACTGTTTTCTAAGGCAGTTAGCAGGAAGCTGGATCAGAAGTGGAGCAGCCAAGACCCAAACAAGTGCCCATATGGGATGCTAGTACTACAGATGGAAGATTAAGCTACTGTGCCTCCATAGTGGCCTCTTTTTTTCTTTTTTCAAACTTTTTTGTAACTCTTTATTTTGATATGGTGACATGGAAGAGTTGCAAAAAGAATACAGAGAATTCCTTTATACCCAATACCTAGATCTGCCAGTTACTTGCATTTTACCCCATCTTAGATAATTTACATGCCTTTTCACTCTTAATTAAATGCACATAGTTGGTTCTCATTGTTTGAGATAATCATATTCTATATTAGGCAATTCTGAACCATTGCTCCTAGGAAAAGATGATCATACACATAATTCATAAGACCAGACACAATCTAAATGTTACAAACAGCATACCCTGGTATATTGTATTCATTTCACAACAGAGAAGGGATTCAGAGATGGTAAGTACCATCCCACTAACAAGTGCCAAAGTTAAAGATCAAACCCTGTAGCTGGACCCAGAGCTGGAGCATCTGCCGTGTCACACTGCTCCTCAACACCTCCATCTCCTGGTCATTTTCAAGAAAACAGAATCTCTCTCCTTTTCCCATCTCACCTGGGAGTGGTAAATTGGATAACTCAGATTTTTCACTGTCTTTATATATGTCTAAGGATGACTGCCATTGTGTCGACATGAATAGATGGGGTTCATGTAGGGGTATGCTTGAATACAGAATATATAAAGAACTCTTTGAAACCAGTAATTTCTAAAGACCAATTAAAAAATGGACACAGCATCTAAACAGAAATTTCTCTAATGATGTACAAGTGGTTGGTAAATGTTAGCTGGAAGGATGTCCATATCCTTATCTGTGAGGTGGGAGTAACCACACTAGCTTAGTTTTCTTCACAGGAACGTTATGACTTAAGAGTAAAATCAAATGCTTTATTATCCTGCTACCTGTAAAGCCCTTAAATCACATGCTGGAATATTCTGAATTACTTTTCTTCTCCAAGGTATTGCCCTGAAGCCCTTCAGAACTGCAACCACGCTCTGTGTTCCAGATCCCATCTTTCACAGCGAGCACCATCACACCCTCCTGCTGCCCCCCGAAGTCCCTGTGCAAAGGCTCCTACTAGGCATCTTCTCTGCTCAAGGGCTCACGCCTGGAGGGGGAGTCCAGTTTGAAGTCTGGTGCAGGTACCGTAGGACGAACCTGTTCCTGTGCCTCGGAAGAAATTGCATCATCAAAAGAAAGAAAGAAATGCCAACTTTCTTTTTTTTTTTTTAAAGATTTATTTTTATTATTTTTTCATTGGAAAGGCAGATATACAGAGAGGAGAGACAGAGAGGAAGATCTTCTGTCCAATGATTCACTCCCCAAGTGAGCGCAACGGGTCGATACTATGCCGATCCGAAGCCAGGAGCCTCTTCCGGGTCTCCCACGCGGGTGCAGGGTCCCAAAGCTTTGGGCTGTCCTCGACTGCTTTCCCGGGCCACAGGCAGGGAGCTGGAAGGGAAACGGGGCTGCCGGGATTAGAACCAGCGCCCGTATGGGATCCCGGGCGTGCAAGGCGAGGACCTTTAACCACTTGCGCCACTGCGCCGGGCCCGAAATGCCAACTTTCAATTGCTAAGGCTGAATTATTGTTAGGAAGCTAAGCAACTCTTTGGCCCTGTTTTTATATTTGTATTTGACAGTAACTACTGTCCAATTTTTTATTAGCAGTTGTATCTCCTACCACTAAATGAGAAGTGGAGTCTTGTTAGTTTTACCCCACTTAACATATCCTTCAACATTTTTTAAAGTTTTTTATTTGAAAAGCAAGATTTCAAAGAGAAGGAGAGACAGAGAGAGGAGTCTTCCATCCTCTGGTTTACTCCCCAAATGCTACAATGGCCAAAGCTGAGCTATTCAAGAGCTAGGAGCTTCTTCTGGGTCTCTCACATAGGTGCAGGGGCCCAAGGGTTTGAGCCATCCTCTGTTGCTTTCCCAGGTCATAAGCAGGGACAGCCAAGACTTGAATCAGTATCCATATGGGATTCCTGCACCACAGGTGGTGAGGGTTAGCCTGCATACCATTGCACTAGCCCCCAGGCAGCACTTTCATGCTGCTTTTACTGACTTAGTTAGTTCAGGCTCTTAGATTATGTTAAATTACTGTAATGAACTCCTAAGAAGTATCCACATTCCTAAAGTCATTTATTGTTATCTCTTCTTTTTACTCAATGCTACACAGTGATAGCAGAGTTCCAGGAAAGATCCTGGCAGGAATGCAGATGTTCAGATTTTGTCTTTGCACCTGTACCCTCAGGAATCCAAGTAAACTGACTGAGACACAGATCTGGGCAAGGACACCACCCTCAGGCCACAAATTATTCCTTAATGTAATCATGTAGAAATCTTATTTCTGAAACCACTAAGTGAGATGCTTGCCAGTGTTGTGGCACAGCAGGTTATGCTGCAGCTTGCAATGTCAGCATCTCATGTCTGAGTGCTGGTTGGCGTCCCAGTTGCTCCACTCCAATCCAGCTTCTTGGAAGGCACTTGAAAGGCATACCTAACTGGTATGGCCATTTGAGAAGTAAACTAAATAACAGATGGATGGTCTCTTCTGCATCTCTGTCTCATCTGTCTGCCTGTCAAATAACTAAACCTTTGACAATAAAATATCAAAGTTTAATTTGTAACTTTGTTAAGCAAGTATAGATTACTTTGATGTAAGAAGGAGATGAGTAGATCCTCCCAGTGTATGAGGCCTAGGCCTGAGGACAGGCATGAACCTGGAAGGAGATTGGGACTGCTTCACTTAGAACTACTTTGACTGCTGCAGGATGGAAGCTTTCACAAGCGCTACTCCAGAGGTCCACGTCTATACTGCCCATCAAACAGAAAGCAGGGAAAAGTTGAGTTTATCCTGCACACTGGCTGTTAGTGATCTTCCTCTTTCATGTAATGGGTAAACAATGCAGCCAGACCTAAGGACCACTTTGCATCACCAATTCAGAGTAATGAGGCTCCAAGGATAACTAGGTACTGAAAGCTGATCTCTAGGGCAGATTGAATCATTTATCTACCTAATTCTTCCAACTGACAGCTTGTGGTTTTGTGGTTTGCAGATATTATTATCCTAATGTGAGAGAGCAGATGGTTGCCCGGGGAACGTTGCCCCTCTCAAGAATCTGTGCCGCGGTAACCACGCAGCACCCACAGCACCTGGAGGATGTGGGAATACAGACCTTTAATCTCCCTCTAACACCCAGGCTCGAAAACAGGAAAGAATTGAGGAATCAGTCATCAGGTAACCAAAGATGAGTTTGTTTTTCCATTTCAAAGTTGGCACATGCAGATGTTCCCTGTTTTTCCAAATTAGCAGTGCTTACCATTTTGGAGTATGTACCCTTCAGGATCTGATGCAGCTCTGAGCCATCCTCTCAGAAAAATAAGTGTAGCATATATACTATAAGTGTTGTACATGATTTTAGAAAACTCATGATTCGTGGACCCTGTGCGAATGTCACTTGTCTCATTTTCCCTTTAACTTCATCCATTTGAGAAGCCTTCACAGCATCTGTCGTTGTCTTGGTGCACTCGGAGAGTTATTAGTCCGAGGAGTTGAGATGAGATTTGTGAAATGCCGTTAGCTTGGACTGGGAACTCACCGTAAAGTGGAAGAAGGTTGGGATTTAAATCTAGAAAAGATAAGTTAGAATTTTAAATGGTGTTACAACTTAATGGGACCAGCAAGACAACCTGTCCTCTGAGTTCATCATCTGATGGACAGGATGGGACTCCTGAAACAGGTCACTGAGCATGTGTGTCAAAGAGCTCCTACTGACACAGAAGGTTTCATCTTGTGTAATTGAGATTAAATTGTCCTTCCCAACCTCCCTACTCAGCTTGCTCTGTTATTCATAAAACCTTTGTCTGAACTGTGACATGTGAAGGATATTTTAGGTGGTAATAATAGAGTGATAACAGCATATGAAGTGTGAAAACTTTTAAAGATTTCAAAAGGAGAGCTGCAAGCTCAACTCAATTATATAATTATAATTGGAAAGTTAAGAAAATCTGGTGCTGTATCATCTTGGCAAGCAGTTCAGTCTCTAAGCCATAGCTTTTTGGGGGTAAGGTGAAACAATACCATGTTCCACGCTCAGAACCCAAAGGTAGAACAAGTAATACACTTTTACCACGATCTGACTGACAGCTAAGGTTCCTTGTTACGCTCTTCCTTTCTAACCACAACTTTGTGGTTTGGTAGAACAGGCTCTTTTAACCAACTTTTTTTTTCCTTTTGTCCTCATCCTTCAGGTTTATTGGATGTGGGTCTAAGGTACAGGCGTAGCCTAAGAACAGCAGAGGGAGTTCTTGCTGCCCGAACTGTCTCCATCTCAGTCCACATCATCAGAGCGTGTGGTCTGCAAGCAGCAGCCAAGTAAGTACACCTCAGAAAGGCAGTTCTCAAACGTTTTTCCACTGCAGTCAGCATAATATGATGCTCATATATTTGGACATGATTTCCAGTTCACTAACCACATGCTTTATTTTTTTTTTAGGTAATTATTTCAGTTATAAGTAAAATAGGAACAAACATTGCTGTTCTAATTGTTGTTAGCAACTGATGTCCTTGACCTACTCCCGTCTTCTGGCTCATTCCCCAGATGTCCACAACATCCAGGACTAAGCCCAGGGCTAGTCAGGAACCAAGGAACTGAATCCATATCTCTTATGTGGCTGGCAGGAACTCAGCTCTTAGCCATTACCTTGCTGTTTCCAAGGATCTACACTGACAGGAAACTGCAATTGGAAGTTGAACTAAGAATCAAAACCCCACACTTTGACATGGGACACAGACAACTGAACCAACATTTTAACTATTATGCCAAATGCCCACCCCACCCCACCTTGTAACACCCATGGGTATACCCTCTACTGCAAACCATGCTGCGCGAGTCATTGCATCTTCTCTGTTACCGCCTTGTTCACCATTTGAGTCACCTCTTACACTAGTGTGTTCCCTTCAGTCAGTTGTCAGCATTATAGCCAGTGATCCTATGACAACTTAAGTCAGGTCTTGAGATACATCTACTTATATCTCATTTTTCTTAGGCATGTTATTATATATGTGTGTGCTTCATAAGGTTCGTAGAAAAATAAAGCATAAGTTTGTTCTATTGCAAAAATGTTTAAAACTCCATTCCTTTTTTTTTTAATAATGATGTTTTGCCTTAAGTCTTTTAGGGCCTCTCATACATGGATTTCAAAACTTTTTCACCAAAATTAACTTATCTTTTATATTTGTATTTGAATCTTAAAGAAACAGAGACAGAGATCTGTCATCTACTGGTTCACTCCCCCAAATAGCCACAACATCCAAGGCTGGACGAGGCCGCAGTGGAGAGCTGGAAACTCAATCCAGATATCCCATGCAACTTAAAGGGGTCCAACTTCTTAGCCCATTGCCTGTCACCTCGCAAAGTGCACATTAACAAGAAGCTAGAATTGGAAGCAGAGCCAAGACTCAGACCAAGACAGTGCAACATGAAAATTCACACTATTTTAATCACAAGGCCAAATGTCCACCCTCTAAACTTATTTTAATTCCATTTTCCATTAATTTCTAGAAGTAAGAACATACATAATACGCTAAGTATGGACATACATTAATAAAGACCATTTAGATTACTTTCCCTTATAACAGGAGAAATTGCATTGCTTATTGTATATGCTTTAAACAAAAGAAATCTAAGAGATGAAAGAAGTTAAAATAGCTTGTCCAGGGTCAAATGGCAAATAAATTTTGGAGCCAGGATTCTAATAGAAATCTGTATGACTCCAAATTACTATGTCCTATTGTTGCATACTAAGCAGTGGAGAAGATTAACAAGAAGGAACCCCTAAGTCAGCTTTAGGGAGATGAAGAAATGCTTCAAAACAAAATTCCTCTTTGCCTAAAGGTTAATGGAATCCCCCTTGGGAAATTTGAGGTCAAGAGGTTTGTCTCATACTATACCTACACACCTAAGACTGAACTTGATGAGTGTCAATTGAAGTAGATTCTGTGGCCAGCATCCTGATGTAATACATAAGGCCTCCACTTGTTAACACTGACATCCCATATCAGAATGCTGCTTTGAGTCCTAGATACTCTACTTCCAATCTAGCTTTGTGTAGTACCCAGGAAAGCAGCAAACATTGCCTAATTTCTTGGGCCCCTGCTATCCATGTGCAAAGCCAGGATGGAGGGTCTGACTCAAAACTCACTATTTTGGCCATATGGGGAGTGAATCAATGGATGGAAGATCTGTATCTCTGTTTCTCGCCCTTCATACCTCCTTCTCTCTCTTTTTCTGTCTCTCTTCCTCTCTCGTCTTTCCTCCCCTTCTGTTTTTCATATAAATCTTTAATAATAAGGGTATATATAGATGTTATCTATGCATCATGAAACATTGCTACCTAAAAGAGAAAAGTAGCCACTGAATCTGGGAACTAAGCAGATATTCGTAGTGTTACTTCAGCATTTTTCTGTTAAGCATGAACAATTTCACTGATATCAGATAAGGCCACACCATGACCAAAAGGAAATGAGACAAAAACAAGACTGCTTTATAAGCACAAAACTAAACAAACACTGGGCAAACCACAAAAATACACAGTGTCTCCCTATCCGGGCTAAAATGGGTAACTGCTACTATTCTGCCAATTACTATTTTATTCTATCTTTTAATATTTATTTATTTATTATTAGAAAGCCAGATTTACAGAGAAAAGGTGAGACAGAAAGATCTTCCATCCACTCGTTCACTCCCCAAACAGACACAATACTTGAAGCTAAGCTGATCCGAAGCAAGAGCTTTTTCTGGGTCTCCCACATGGATGCAGTGTCCCAAAGCTTTGGGCCATCCTTGACTGCTTTCCCAGGCCACAAGCAGAAAGCTGGAAGGGAAGTGGAGCAGCCGGGATACAAACTGGCATCCATATGGGATCCCAGTACATATAGGCAAGGACTTTAGCCTCTAGGCTACTATGCAAGGTCTCAATTGCTATTTTAATATTGCTTCTACATAAAACCCATAAAAACCAGTCCAGAGTAAAGGTGACTGATTTGAGACATCCCAAAGATGAGCTAACACAAGTCCTATGCTGTATGTTCTTTCTGATACCCTCTTATTGTTTGATATGGAATCCTCTTGGTATATACTTCCTTCTTGTAATGAGCTACATACCCAGCTTGTTCAACTACAGTTAGTAGAGACAGTGGCAGTACAGGGGATTGTACTCACAGTGCTACTGTAATTAGTAGATGCATGTTATCTTTTGTGACCTCATACAAATACACTATGATACCCAGATTACTAAGAAAGCCCACTATGCCACAGCCCAAAGCCTAGATAAAAAAAAAAAAAACGTGGTCTTTAGGATCTTGGTGATCTCATGAAAGTAGTGGGAATATTTCCTAAGCAATGAAGCTGATTTTGGATGCCATGATCCCATCTCATTCCCACCACTCTTCCCTCTAGGGTTTTGGCTGAACAGGAACCTGCTTTGCAGTTTAGTGCCTCTGTTGGAGTCAATGCATCGGTCAGCACTCACGTCTCCTTCCTGCCCAAGGGAGAACAGCGCCGAAGCCGCCCGGTGGCCTGTTCCTTCTGCCCTGAGTTCTCCCACCACCTGGAGTTTCCATGTAACTTGGTAACTCAGCACTGTAGTGGAGAGACCTGTTTTCTGGCAGAACTATTGGAGTTTGCAGAAATTACTTTTTCTATCTATCATGAAAATACCAAGTCAGGTAAGCAGCAAGTGACTCATCACAATCAAAATTAAAAGAAACATCATGTTTGATGGTTCAGCCCTTTGTGGGGGATCCAGGCTGAAGTGTTTAGAGGTAAGGAGTGATAGTCTCTGTAACAGACTGCTGAGGGATATAGCAAAAAGATTAAAATATGTATTAAGTGCCTTGTGAAAGAGAATGTCGGAATATTAATGGATGAATCCACGTGAAAGATTTGTAGAAATGTGGTATGCATGCACTTTTTCTATATGTATGACATTTTTTTGAAAGAAATTGTCTAATTTTATGAAGTGATTTTTTGGGCAGTACTCCAAACTTTGTTTAAAGTATGACCAACGTAATCCACGCATCATTCGGCACTGAAATTGGATGAGTGTGAGAGGTTATATTGATATACTGTGAACACAGTCTCTTAGTCAGTGGACAGCCAAATAATTTTTCTTCTCTACTTGGTTTATCAGTCAGGGATATAACCAGTATCCACTCATGCAAAGAGTATCTGCTTGGAGTTGTAAAGATTCCAACCAAAGAGCTGCTGATCAAGAGATCTGGTAAGGATCCCAGCTTAATGCTTTCCATTCAACTCTTTCCCTACAGGAAGAGATCATCCTGTCTGAGTGTCTTGCAAGTGAGAGAAAAGGAAACAGAACCCCTTTAACACACAGTTCTGCTACGTAACTTAACAGTTGTCTCAAAAGCATTAATGAATTTGTCCAGCTCTTCTGGGCCTTTAGGGAGTGAACCAGCAGATAAGAAATTTTTCTCTCTTTCAAATAAATAAATATTTAAAAATAACAATACACTATGGGCCTGGTGCAGTAGCGTAGCGGCTAAATCTCACCTTTCATGCGTAGGGATACCGTATGAGCACCAGTTGTATCCCAACTGTTCCACTTCCCAACCAGCTCCCTGCTTGTGGCCTGGGAAAGCAGTAGAAGATGGCCCAAAGCCTTGGGATCCCATATTTTGCATGGGAGACCCAGTGAAAGCCCTGGCTGCTGACTTCGGATCAACTTGGTTCCAGCAGTTGTAGCCAGTTGGGGAGTGAACCAGCAGATAGAAGATCTTTCTCTGTCTCTCCTCTCTGTAAATCTGATTTTCCAATAAAAATAAATGTCTTAAAAAAAAAAAATACACAGAAAGCACTAGGAGAATAGCTATTGTTATTTTGAAATCTAGCACCTGTTCCTTGGTGTGTATTCACCAAATGGCTGTTCCATGGTAGAAGACCTGGGAATAGACTTTAGATATTTTGACTTTTTATCTCATGCCTTTTCCATTGTGCTCATAGTGCCGTGATAACGCTGCACATCTTTTACTCTTCCTAACCCATTGTCCCATTTGACAGTCATAACAATGTTGTCTAATAGACAAGGTCAGCATTAGTTTTTCCATTCCTGGAGTAAGGAAAATGAAGCTGAGACAAATTAATGGCTTAACCAGAATAAACCAGTAGTTTAGAGCTGAGCCAACTAGATCACTGGGGTCTTCTACCCTCCTGGCCTTTGTGCTTCCCATCTCGGCTCCTTGTATCTCCCTCAGACTGTGAGTGTGTTTTCTCTCCTCTTTGGGACCAGCATGATGAAGACTGTGGGTTAAAGAGTGGGTAAGTTTTCTCACTTTTGAGATAATAACCAAAAAAATCTCTTTTCCTCCCCTAAGGGATCACAGGATGGTATCCTGTCATTTTACCAGAAGACAGAGGCCTGCCTCATGGCTTGGAACTCATGCAAACGATCGTGGGGGGTCTGGAGATTTCCGTTTCCTTCACCCATCCTGGAGATAGAGAACGAGTGTTAGAAGCTGCTGAACTATTGGGTTGGAGCTTTGAGAATAGCCTGAAGGATCTTGTCCAGATGGATGAAGAGGAGCCAGCCACTGTCACCATCTCCACTCCACGGCTGTGGCTACCCGTGCATTGTGTGCTGCTTGCTGGTCACAGTCACATCCACAAGAACACCTATTGCTACCTTCGCTATAAACTCTACGACCTTGAAGCTTTTTGGACTCCCCTCAAGAAGCCTAAAGAATCTGCAAACAAAAAGCAGGTCATGGTGACTTTCAAGGCCTCCAAAAGAGCCGAAGTCAGTAGGGGTCCCTCACTGCTTTGGTATTTTAGGGAGGAAAGGCTGGAGATCCAAGTCTGGCGAGCTTACGGCAGTGATAACATGGAGAGGCCACACAAGACTGACAGCTGGATTGGGTCAGCCTACGTGGACCTGGCCAGACTCGGGGAGAGGTCAGCAAGGACACTCACTGTCAGCGGTAAGTTAGAAGCCAGGCTGAGCTCTCGCCCTAGGTCAGGCATGATGCAAAGCACCCCGTCAGACAGTTCTTGATTTGATCCTTCCAGCATTCCTCAGCGTGAAGCTCATTTTACAGTCATGGAAGCAGAGGCTCAGAGAAGGTGAATAACCCAAAAGTAGTAAGCACTCTTTTCATTGCATGCTGAGAGGTTAATAACTTATTAGTGTCTCTTTTAAGAAGAAATTACAAAAACAAGAGATCCTCTGGCTGCTTCCCTTGCTAGAGCGCTTGAGTAGAGCCACATAGGTGAAAGTTTGAGGCTAGTGTGCATCCATTTTTATCAGATTTATGCACCTACTGTACTGTGCAGAACATTGCAAACCTTCAGTCAATTCATGTAAAATATGAGCAAGTGAATTTAGGAGACCACATTTAATCACATGTAAACAAACCATGTATGATCATTTCAAATGCTAATTTATTAATTATAGTAAAAAGCTTACCTGCTAAGGATCATGAGATAATAAACTGGTTCACAAGGCAGAAAGGAAGGAAAGGAACATCTTAAAAGGGGCATTATGCTATACTCTCAAACATTTGCTTAGCATTTGACACATATGTATGGCCTTGAGAATTCAAAAGATGAGTAAGTAGTAGCCGCAGCCCTAGTGAGGGTATACAGTCTGATAAGAAAACACATAATGAATAGTTAGAGTGAAGCAGAAATCCATGAGAAGGGCCTTCTAAGCAGTGCTGTGGGAGCACAGGATGCACATCTGCTTCAAGGATATCTCAGTGGAAGCAATATTTGACTTGAGTTCCCAAGGATTTAGTATTAAGGAAAGGGGGAGAAAAAGATAAAGAGGGACATAACACAGAAGAAATCCTAGGCATGAAGCAATTTGCTACATGTTCGGCACCGTAGGCAGTTTAGGAATGACTGGATACTAATACACTTAGGCTGAGCAGTGATAGGAGATGAAGCTAAACAGATGGACAGGAAGACTGCTCTGTTGAAGGTCTTCTGAGCAGATGATTTAGGACATGTTTCTGAGAACTATGAAATACTATAATAATGGATTCTGAAGAGAAGTGTAACATGGCCTTTGCATTCTAGAAAACTAAATCTAGCAACTGCAGTGCAGAAGTAGCCAGAACAGATTCTTCAGTCATGATAGTTTTTTAGCCTTCCATTCCTATAAGGGTAGTTATGTCCCACACGCCACAGTTGAGAAAACAGCCATAATCCTGTTTTATCCTCCTCAATGTAATTGCTCTAACCCAATTGTTAGTGAACAAATAGCCCTGACTGAAAGAGAAGTGTGACTGTCCCAAATCCTCTGCTTGTCTCAGCCCCAGCAGGTGTAAATGTGGCTCTGCAGATGCTGTGTGCCCTGTTTTTTTCTGGCCTGCACTAACCTGAAGGCTCTTCTGAGACTACAGAGAAAGTCTCTGAAGTGAGCCAACCTCCACTGAACTGATGTTCGTAGAGATAGACTTTTAACCCATTCTGTTAAAGAAGATAGCTGTAAGACACTGAATTAAAAGAGTCAGAATTCAAAAACAAAAACTTGCTTTCTTCAGTGATACCAGTAGTGTTATTAACTTTACAGATAGTCTGTCACACTCTTACTTTTCCACATCCCACCAGTCTTAGCTTTTGACCCTTTTGTTCCATTTTGTCTGTTGAACAAGACAGTCAACCCATCCAGCCATACATTCATATATTGGTAAGATTCTGAGCATTTCTAAGGACTGCACTGCACTGCTTTTAGGTATCTGCTCCTATAATGTCTGGCTCCTACCTCCTCCTTTGTGATAATAATTTATACATTGCATCAAGAAGAAAGGTTTTCTAAAAATAGAAAAAGACCAGAAATGTTCCATTGTATTGCCATCTGTGAATCATTAACTCCTCCCAAATTGAAATGAGTCTAGCAAAGTCACCTTTGAAATTCAGAGGGAATTATCGTTTTCTGCTTCATAAATAAAATTTTAATATACAGCCTGCCAGTAAAGTTCACATCCCTGGGTTTAAACCTGCCATTTGCTGGAAGAGTGATCTTTGCAAGTTCTTAACTCCTCTGAGTCACTGGCACATAAAAAAGATTCCATATTATTTCGCTTCCTCTTTCTTCTTGCCTCCTGCTGCCGCCTCCTGCTTTCCTTCCAGAAGACCTTCAGGGTGCCTGTTAGGACATACATTAGTTGGTAAGATAAGACCAAGTTCAGAATCAGGACACCATTGAGATAAAGAGAAAGTCTACAAACAGTAGCCCATGAAACTTGCAAAAGGGAAGACATGCCACTTCTAAGTTCTTCACATCTTGGGTTTAACTTAATCAGTTTTTTCTCAGCACATGAGTTGCTTCCAAAACAGCTCTTCCAGGTAATAATTTGACCTTGCCTGCAAATCAGTGCTCTACTTCCCATATTAGAGATGGCAGAGCAGGGTAACATTTCTCACATTGCATACCAGCTTCACAGTTTCATTTGCAGATTGGTGTACTGGAGCTTAAATACCTCTAAGGAGGGAAAACACAAGCACCCTTGGGGAGTATTTTCTCCAGAAGTTAGGAGGATTCCTGGCTCCTGCTTTCCTGGGCTTACTCTCCTCCTCCCTCTTTCAGGTGTGTACCCTCTGTTTGGAAGAAATGCGTCCAACCTCCTGGGAGCTGCCTTGCGAGTTCATGTGGTGCTCTCCCCGGTGTCCCCAAACCCAGAGCCTACCCATGAGCTGGACTCCATGGACTGCAGCAGCCACAGTGAGTCTGAGCAGCTGCCCAAAAGGAATGAGGAGATCCCGCTCGCTCCATCTTATGGACAGCCAAAATCTCCTGCCTCCACCCGCATCCCCGGAAACAGCACCACCGCTGAAGGCAACCTACCCCAGGAGGGCCCTTCCGAGCTGGATGGAACTTTTGCAGTCAGTATCCTGGTAGAAAGAGCAATGCACTTGAGTTTAAAAGGTATGCTCTGCTCGCTTACCATGTGTCTGACTCCCCAGGCAATGGTCCTGTCTTTATAAATCTTTCAAGTCATAGCAGGATTTCAAGGAGTATTAATCCTATTAATCAATAACTATGCCTCTCAAGCCTAAAGGTTTTGTAACTTGAGAGCCATTCTGCAAATTATGAATATGGGTATATTAGGTTATAATAATAGTGCTGTATGTATCAACAATAGAAAGCACAGATGTTTTCATCTTTATTTCAGGATATCCTATGACATCATGTATACCTATCATTTCTTTGAAATTACAGAAGTGTGTTACCTATATTTATATCTTAGTTGTGTTGTTTTAAGATTTATTTGTTTGTTTATTTATTTGAAAGGCATAGTGACACAGAGGGGGAATACAGAAGAGGAGGTTGAGATTAATCCATTGGTTCACTCTCCAGATGCCCACAGCAGCCAAGGCTGGGCCGTACTGAAACCAGGGCGCCAGGAACTCCATTCTAGTTTCCCATGTGGGTGGTAGGGACCCTAAGTGCTTGGACCATCATCCTCTGCCTTCCCGAGTACATTAACAGGAAGCTGAATCAGAGGTACCAAGACTTGAACCTGCACTCTGATACAGGATACAGGCATCCCAAGCAGTGGCATAATGCACAATACCACAATGCCTACCCACCATCTTGTTAATAAAGCACAACTATTTCTGTATCACAAAATATTCATAATTGTATTCAGTATAACTGAATTTCTTTGGAATTCTACGTGTTTTACATTGCACTACTAGAAGAGTCCCATAGAACTTGCCAGGCTGCCAGAGGACACAGAAAACTGTCCTGGTTGTATTCAGCCTGTGACCTGCTCTAAAATTTTTGCTTGCCATCACTCTTTTCCTTTGCCTGGCAAATTCCACCTCCCGTCTTAATACTTGGTTCAAGCATCTTTCTTCACCAGAGGGCCTCCCTAACATAAAGATCCCCTCCTGGCACTTTTACACCCTTCCTGTGATAGTATCTGTCACACAGGAGTGACATTTATTCTCCACCAGACATGAGCCATTCAAGCGCTAAGACCTTACCTCATCTGTTTATCCATCACACATTCATTAGCAACAAAACTTAATGTAGTGTTTGTTATTTCCAAACACTGTTCCTGGTGCTGGGGAAAAAACAGTGACTAAATCAAAAGAGAAAAAGAACAACAAAACTAAAATTGTGCCCTTGTGGATTATATTCTAGGTGAAATGTATTCATACTGATATTAATAGCCATTAAGGGATTGAGAGTGTGTGTGAAACTTTGAGCAAGTTCTTCTTTCTCTTTGCACCTTGCATTTCTCATCTGTAGCTGTCTGTGGTGAATTATTTGGAGATGTGTTCTGGTACTGAGAGTCAGGCATCTATAGTCTTGTGAGTCTGCAGCTTGACCTCCCCAGCTGACTCCTGTCCTCTATGTACTGACCACTCTCAAACTCGGCCATGTTTCCTAACTGTTTTGAAGCTGAAATAGTTCATGCTCATGTCTGTCCTTCCCTTTCCCCAGTCCTGCAACCAAAAGCTGTTACTCCCAGGATTGTAAGTGTAAAAACCCTTGAGGCTCCATTTCATCTCATAACTTAGGTGTGTCAGAAACTTTGAATATTTTATCTCAGGACATAATCTTCTCTGAGTACAGTCTTGTATTTCTAGAGTAAAGATACTCTGTGATACTCCATGAGCCATCAAATTAGAAAACAATTTTTTGCCACCCTGTCAGAGCAGCCAATTTTGGCATATCTGATGTGTAAAAGCCAATTGTTTTTGGCAAAAATTTATTTTTGTAATAGTAGTGTTGAAAATAAGATATATAAAAATGTTATATTCTATTTAGTGGGAAGTACTCATGCAGATAGCAAAGTATATATATATTTTTTTTTCAGATTTATTTTTATTGGGCCTGGTGCAATAGCATAATGGTTAAGTCCTCGCCTTGAATGCACCTGGATCCCATATGGGCGCCAGTTCTAATCCCGGCAGCTCCACTGCCCATCCAGCTCCCTGCTGTGACCTAGGAAAGCAGTCGAGGGCAGCCCAAAGCCTTACACCCATGTGGGAGACCCGGAAAGAAGTTCATGGCTCCTGGCTTCGGATTGGCACAGGACCAGCCGTTGCGCTCACTTGGGGAATGAATCATTGGACAGAAGATTTTCCTCTCTGTCTTTTCTTCTCTCTGTACATCTGTCTTTTCAATAAAAATAAATTTTTTAAAAAATTTATTTTATTTTTTATTGGAAAGGCAGATATACAGAGAAGAGACAGAGAGGAAAATCTTCCATTTGCTAGTTTATTCACCAAATGACCACAACAGCTGGAGCTGAGCCAAACTGAAGCCAGGAACAAGAGCCTCTTCTAGGTCTCACGTGTGTACAGGATCCCAAGCGTTGGGCCTTCCCTCCAGCAATGAGTTGAATGGAAAGTGGAGCATCCAGGACACAATCCAGTGCCCGTATGAGGTGCTGGCACTGTAAGACAAAGGATTTGTTCAGTTGAGCTATTGTGCCAGCCCCAGGATCAGAATTTGCTTCTAAATTTTCTATTAAACAAAGCACATCTCTTTAATATGGCTTGTATCTCCTCTACACCAAGTTCTGTTCCAGTTTTCGTGAATTATCTCATTTTGTCCTTACTGTAGATGGAATTATAGATTGAATAGATTACAACACATACATGCTTTTCCACATAAAAAATGGGATCCCACAAACATGAAGTGACCAGAATTAACAGTTAATAAACCTTGCAAAGCTAGAATATAAATCCAGCTATATCTGTATTGAAAACCATGCTCTTCCCTCCATACCATCCTGACTATGGTACAAGAAGTTAATTCCGCCTCCATTCTGTTTTTACCAGTCAAGCTCAGAGTGGGTGTGCATTGAACATATAGTTCCTGTGTAGGAGTGATAGCATATTCAGAAAGGAGTAAATCTTGGCCAGGCCAGTTCCAAGTGACATAATAGTTTATGTCTTTCAGGAGACTGGAAAGAAGCTCCTGGCTCCTGAAGCTTCCCACCATAGCAACCACTTAGGAAATGAGCCAGCAGATGGAAAATCTTTGTCTTTGTATCTCCTCCTGTTTATATCTGCCTTTCCAAGGAAAAAAAAATGAATCTTTAGAAAAAATCAATTTATTTATTTGAAAAGCAAAGTGATAGGAGAGAGACAGAGAGGAAGACGGTCAGGGGAAGGAGTCTTCCATCTGCTGATTCTGTCCCCAAATGGCTATGATGGATGTCTGGGCCACACCTGTACCAAGAGCCAGAAACTCCTTCCTTGATTTCCACATGGGTAGCAGGGAAGCAAGTATTCAGGCCATCTTCCAGAATGGGGAATTTAATAAAACAGGGTAAAGCGTGGGTATTTAGAGCCAATAACAAATTAAATGGTTTTGTGCAAATACAGCTGCGGCAGCATTTTCTCTGATATTCTCTTGGAATGTTTTTGTCACCCCTCCATTGTCATCTTAACCTTATTTGTTCAGGCCTCAGAACTTGGATTAATGTCACAGCCTTCCCAGTGGTTACTGCCTCCAGCCAGTGTTCCTCCAAAATATTTTTTGTTCTGCCACGGTCAGCAAATCCAACCCTGTCTCTCCACTGTCCAAAATACTTTGTTGATTTCATATCACTTGCAGGCTTGGTAACAGCAGGCAAGGTGCTGCCCATCTGGCCTAATGTGTCTATCCTGCTGTCAGAGTTCAGTGAATCCGAGCGAGACTCCAAGGCGAGTAAGATGATCTCGATTTCTAGTCCAAGGGGCAATCTCTTGCCATAAGCAAGAAGCGCCCTAAATGAAATAATCGTGGGGTTTTTATACTAAGGGAATCAAAAGCTATGTGACAGTGAGCAAGTACATGATTAGGAACTAACAGTGACACAAAACAGAAAGTATGTGATAGGAATTTACAATGTATAGGTTGGGGGTCCTGATCAGATCACTTCAATGCAGACAGTAATAAAACAGCATGCCTCAAAGGTAGCTGTCTTTCCCATGAATCCAAAAATTCCAAGATTCTCCCTATCTCCTCCTGCCTCCTGGTCTTTCAGAAAACAGGAGCTTTGCTCGTAACAGGATGCAGGTGTTTCTTTGGAGATTCCAGACTTCCAGTACAGTCAGCTTTACAGTCAACCCTTTCACCTGCCTCATTTATCACCAGTTGTTACTCACAGTCTACAACTCCTTTTGTGGCAGTGCCCTATTTTGTTCTGACCACCAAGCCTTTGACTAGGCCATTTCCTCTATCTCGACTACCTTCTCTCTTATTCAGCAAACTTGCTGCTCCTCAGAGTAGACTAAAGTGATGTCAACACATTGAAGCCTTTAGAAATGAGTAAAAAACCCTTCCCCTATCCCCAGCACCCTCTTGCAGGCTTGCTGCTTCGTGTTACTGTACTAAAAAGATCTGCTCCCTGGACTCTCTTTCAGGCTGGTTGCTCTGTGGAGACAGCTTGTGCGCTGTTTATTTCTCTATCCCAGTACATTCTCCTTACAGTGCAACTAAGCAGACACCGTGTCCTCCTATCAGGTGAACACTGAGCCATAAACATCATTCACATCTCTGACAGACTGGTGTTCCAAACTGGCAAATCACTGGCTCTTTGGCCTCTTTTTGTATAGCCAGGTGAAGGAAGCCATCAGTATGGATGTGTGTCTTACAAAGGGCTCTATTATATGCTGATATTCACCCATGCAGTAGTGAGCAAGTCCCTACAGTCTTTCCTCATAAACCTTTATGTGTTAGTCGGGCACTGGGTGGAGCCTTAGGAATACAGACTTGCCTGTCCTCTCTGAAATGTGCCTTCCAAATAAAGACATAAAGAGTTCTGGGGCTGGCATTGTGTTACATCAGGTTAAACTGCCGCCTGTGACACTAGCATCTCTTGGGGATACTGATTCAAGACCCAGCTGCTCCGCTTCCAACCCAACTCCCTATTAATGTACCTGGGAAAGCTGCAGAAGATGGTCTAAGTGCCATGTGGGAGACCCGGCACAGCTCCAGGCTTTAGTCTGGCACAGGCGTTGCAGCCATCTGGGGAGTGAACCAGTGGATTGAAGGTTGTGTAAGTCTTTAAAACTACAGAGAGTTCTGGAATGGACTCAGAAGACTGGGTTCTGGCCTTAGTTGAGCCATTAACTTGATTTGGACATTGAGCAAGCCCATTTATTTCCCTTTTCCTCAACTATAAGATGTGATGCTCATGCAGAGTCATCTCTCAGTGCCTCTTCAGCTGTCCTGAGAGGAAACCAAGAGCAGCACACTCCACCCTGTGTGAGTCAACTACAACTTCTAAAGCTTTTTGCAAAAAAAAAAAAAAAGTAGATGTTTCATTGATGTCCACGGTGGCTTCTTTCCGTAATCCTGCCTTCAACTGTTTGCAGTATGTCCATCCCTGTGGTGTTTTGGAAGTCTTCCAGGAGGAAGGAAATATAAAACTTCTGGTAGAAGGTTCACAAACCACCCTGAGGTAGAAACTGTCCGCACCAAGGCTTAAATCTGAAGCAGCTTTAAAATGCTGTGGTCTTCACTATCGTTCTGGTTCTGAAAATAAAACAGCCTCTTGGATATTTTCATTAGAAAAAGTTCTGGGGTGGGCCCAGCATGGTAACCCAGTGGCTAAAGTCCTCACCTTAAACATGCCAGGATCCCATATGGGCACCACTTCCCATCCAGCTCCTTGCTTGTCTCCTGGGGAAGCAGTAGAGGATGGCCCAAAGCCTTGGGATTCTACACCCACGTGGGAGGTCCAGAGGAGGCTTCTGGCTCCTGGGTTCAGATCGGCTCAGCTCCGGCCTTTGCAGCTGCTTGGGGAGTGAATCAACAGACAGAAGATCTTGATCTCTGTCTCCTCTGTGTATCTGACTTTCTAATAAAAATAAATCTTTAAAAAGAGAGAAAGAAAAAAATTTGGGGAGGAGCCATCCTTTAAGAATCACCTTCAGGGCTGGGGCTGTGGCATAGTAGGTGAAAGCTGTCATTTGCAATGCCAGTATCCCACATGGCACTGGTTCTAATCCTGGATGTTCTACTTCCAATCCAGCTCCCTGCATGTGCACCTGGAAAAGCAGTAGAGGATTGCCCAAATTCTTGGGCCCCTGTACTTCCATGGGACATCCGAATGTCGGTTCTGGCTATGGCCTGGCCCAGAACTAGGTATTCAGCCACCTGGAGAGTGAACCAGCAGATGAAGAATCTCTTTCTCCCTCTCTCTCTGTTTCTCCCTCTTCCTCTGTAATACATTCAGATAAATGAATCTTTTTTAAAAATCAGCTTCAGTATCCCTAAGATTTGTGCACTTAATCCACAGAGGTGACTAGCCCTATTTTATAAATAGGCAACTAAGGAAGAGAGAGAAAGAGATTTGAAGTAATACAGTTAATTATGTGAGAATGAGCATCATCACCTTCTTATTGTGCTTTTTAACCCACCCAGGCAGGGAGAGTTAGGGGTCCTTCTGGCTTTCGACACCCCTCTGTACTTACCTATGTCCCTTGGATCAAAAACCAAATATCACTCTTCTGGTGCTTATGGGATGCATAGGAGATGCCAGTTAGTTTTAGCTTATCAGAACTGGATTAAATTTTTATTTAAAGCACACAATTAGGCATTGCTTGAGGGAAAGTTTCCTTCCAAGCCGGTGGGTGAGGAGGGGGAGTTCTTTTCTTAAGCACATGGAGTTACTTAGAACTAGTACAGTGGAAAAACCCCTGAATAAGAGTCCAGATTGTTCCAAATGCCAGTCAACCCTGTGTGCAAAAAGCAAGCCACTCTTAGTTCCCTTGGTTGCCTTATTTGTAAAGCAAGAGGCCTGTTTATGCGGTTTTCAGAGATGTTATCAGTCCAAGCTTAATTTGTGGGGGGGAAAAAAAGCCATGAACTGTTACCCAAATATGAGAAATTGTTTTCATCTCATTGAAACAATTATGCCATTCTTGATGCATATATGTATATATATATATGGAAAGTAGTTTTACATATATACATAACCTAGCAAATTGAGTGAAAACACAAAATTGATAAAATTGATTCCCCTGGTCTTTTTAACTGCTCTGAGTGTTGAGTCCCAACTCTGTTGGAGATATGATGCTTTCTTCTGGTGTAGTTCCAAAAGTGTTTCAGACCATGACCTTTTCCAGAAATGTAAACAAGCCAGAGAGAGCCGGGGAAACCTGATAGACCTGCTTTGCCAAGCCCATTTCTTTACCACCTGCTGTTAGGATGAAAGAAACATTTCTATTCAAGATAGAGTAGGAAGCAATTGTCGTACAAAATAAAAAGGAAGGCTGAGTGGTATTGCTACACATATTGAATTAGAATTTGATGGTGAGAAGTATCTTAAGAGCATGTGTTTCAAATGAGAAAACTGATGCTCAGAGGAGAGCCAGAATGAATTGACATGCTCAGTATGTCACACTAAATCACTGACCTTGGACAAACAATTGTTCCTTTCTGGCTGGTGTCTCTTAGAACTGCGATGACCAGCTGTTGCTGTCCTCTGCCAGTGTACACTGCAAGCAGGCAAGGCAAGAGGCAGAGTCTAGCCTAGAATCCACTCCCCTAGCCCTTCCATTGACTTTGTTTCCAACTTCTTGAGCTTTGGGGTCTCTGTTGGAGCTATTCCCTATAGCTAGCTATAAAGTTTTCCAAGAACTGTGTTTCCAAGGCCCAGTTCATAAATATTCCCCAACAAGAAACCACTTCTCCCCCTTCCTTGCAACTTGTGGGATGATGGAAAATGCTGGATTGAGAGACGAAAGCTAGGACAACTACAGAGGCCTGGGCTTAGAAGTGTGCATACATCATACATTGTGCATGAGCTTAGGTGAGGATTATCTAGGACACAGCTTCTCCAACTGTGAAATGGGACATGCTATACTTGTACCTACTGAGATGTTGTAATGATTAGAAATCGATACTAACAGTAGGTAACAAAATTTGATTTACTATATGCCAGATGCTGTTCTAAGAACTTCACAAATATTAACTCATTCAATACTTATAAGAATCCTATGAGATAGATACCTATCATTACATTGTTCCTATACCACTGAGTAAAAAATATGGGGTTGCAGATAAACTAATTGTGCACACAGGATAGCCTACCAAGGAAGTATAGGTGGCCAAGCACCTGAGTCATCCTCTGCTGCTTTCCCAGGTGCATGTGCAGGGAGTTGGATTGGTAGTGGAACAGTCAAGACTAGAACCAGTGTCATGTGGGTACTCCTATGGCTATTAATCAGTAACTTCTTCTAGTGCATTTTTGTTTGTTTATCTCTTTGTGTTGATACCCTGAAGTTCAGTCACTCCTACTATGTTCTATTTCAGGGAGCCCGCTAACAGAGAGGAAAGTGCCAATACCCAGTTGTTGTGTATCGTTTGCAACAGCTGATGAGCCATCACCTATATACACCCATGTGGTTGGAAACACAGATTCCCCTATCTGGAACTTTCAACAGCAATCAAGGTTTGTATTTTCTGATGCTTCTTCAGCCTTCCTGAATCTAGTTTTTCTTTCATCCAAACAGCAAGGAATATAACAGACACAACCATGTTCGAACAGACCTGGAAAATTCTTATTCAGTTATTTAGTTCTAGAGTTTGTGAATTCACAGCTAATGGTTTTAAGATGTTGTTATAGTGTTTTGTTTGTTTTGTTGGGTTTTTTTTTTTAATTTGATTTTTATTGTAAAGTCAGATATATAGAGAGAGAAAGAGGAGGAGAGAGAGGAGGATCTTCCATCCAATGAATTACTCCCCAAGTGGCCGCAACACCAGAGCTGCACCAATCTGAAGCCAGGAACCTGGAGCCTCTTCCAAGTCTCCCACACATGTGCAGGGTCCCAAGGCTTTGGGCCGCCCTGGAATGCTTTTCCAGGCCACAGGCAGGGAACTGAGTGGGAAGCAGGGAAGCCAGGATTAGAACCGGTGCCCATATGGGATCCCAGCACACACAAAGCGAGGACTTTAGCCATAGGCCACTGCCTCAGACCTTGTTTGTTTTACTGTTGTGTTTTTAACCCTGTTCAATTCAATTGAAAAATTATTCAGGGAGGGCCTCTTAGATGTACAGTTCTGTTCTAGGCATTAGAAATTAAATTTAATCAAGATATTCTGTGCTATTGAACAGATCATGGTCTACCTAAGAAGAAATACAAATTAAAAATTACAGTTAAGTGTGCAAAGAAAATTGCAGAAGATCCAGGTAGAAAACTCAAAGAAAAAGATTATTTAGGATAAAGGGAAGGATTCGTAAATATGACACTTCAGCTTAATATTGAAGAAGGCATATGAGTTACCCAGGTACATGAGAGGGAAGGATGTGCCAGGCAAAGGAAACTCATCTCAAGAAAGGCTGTGGATTACCCCCTTCTTGGTTTTGTACCAGCAACTTGTGCATTTCATAGCCTGGGCTTTGAAACCCAGAGAAAACTGACCTCCATCCCTGTATCTGTCGTTCACCATCTGTGTAAGCTGTATAATATCTCTGGGTCTCGAAGTTCTCATATGTAAAGCTGGGGTGATTTTTAAAGGATTGCTGTGATGTCCGAATTAGACACAGTTGGGAGAATTACCTCACAGTATATAGTAGGTTTACCGCCAGTGATAGATTTCCTGTGGAAGGTTCCGAAATAAGAGAGTGAGTTCTGTCAGTCATGTTGTGGTACTTCTCAGAGGCTGTGCGCTAACACAGGAGGCTGAAACCTGGGGTACAGGGTTTACATCTGCACCTCCTTTCTTCTGTTACGAATGAGTCCTAATACTAATTACTACTACCGTCACACTGCATCACCTTCCTGTCTGCCAACACTAGCTATATTATGTGCTGTCTGATCTACTACTTGCCTGTACTTGTACTTGAATCTCAACAGTTACTGAAATGTTTAGTGTTTACAATTTAAGAAGCAGGCCTGTGTCAGGAGCTATAGCTGCAACAAAAACTTAGTTCTTTCTCTGGTGAGGTAGCAGAAATTCCAGAAATTATGACCATAGTGGCCAGGGTACTTTATCTAAAATGTTAACTGTGTCCCCAAAGGCAGGAAACGATTGAGCCTCTAGAGTGTAGGTGATTTGCTCATTCACAACCTGACATAATGACAAAACAAATTTAGTGAAGGGCTGTTAGCAGGCTCCTAATCTTATCCCTTCTCTTTACAGTTGAGGGGATGATAGTTATATCGTCTATTGGTTATTCAAAGTGGGGACAGAAAAAAAAACTGAGCAGTAGTACCGTTTACACTTCCTTTATCACAAAATTTATTGATTTGCTCTTTCTTGCAGTTTATAGGAACATAATATCCTATCTAAATCCCAAGGGTGATAGTGTTTTTAAAAATTCATGAAAAATGTATATGATGAAAAACATTATACAAGGATTTCAAAATGTTTTATGCCAAATGAACTTGTCTTTGAATTCCATTTTTCTGTGAATTCATTGAAGTATCCTCACAGGGTTCCAAGAGTCACTTGGAGATAATAGTAGCCAGGATTCAAAGTTGTCTTTTAACTGCCAGCTGGAGTGTCAGTCTCTGACACCAAAATTATTTCACTGGAGCACACTGCCTGCCTGTCTGAAGGCTAGGTGCTCTTCAGTTCGCAGATGATGTGGGAGGATGAAATTAAGGCTTTTGGTTTCCATCCATCCTCACTACCTAGAGCAGTAATGCCTAATTTGGAACTTTCCAGAGCTTTGTTGTACTATAAAGCTAATTCACTTAATAGGTGGTATTTTAGAGGTGTTCAGTGATTTCTGTTTCATCTTCTCTAACTAGTATGAGTTTGGGGCACTTTATTATTTTGTTGCTTTGCCCTCCGCATGTTTCAACACTGGAGTCAGGAAAAACCAGGGTCCAAATCCCAGCCTTGCCACTCACTGTTACGTGATCTTAGACACATTACTTTTCCTCTGTTAGCCAGAGTTGTCATCTGTAACTTGGGAGTAACAATGCTCACGTGGTGGGTTAAATGTGTTTGGCCCAAGGTAGGGCCAGTGAATCTTCTGATACCTCTCTTCCCTTCTCACCATTCTGCTACTCTAATCAAGAACCATTCCAATAAAGCCATTCATTATATGTTAAGGATCTCCACTTCCCCTATTCCCTCCCTGTCTTAGAGAAATAGGCTGAATATGGTAGCTACTTTAGAGGGTGAGGTTCTTGGGGAGCACTACAACAGGGGGACCTGTTTTCAATTTTTAGCAAATTACTTGCCCCTTCTTAACTTCCATCCCCTAGAACGTGACCATAAAGATGAAATAGTATTGAACCCAGCACAGTGACTTAGCAGCTAAATTCTCACCCTGCATGTGCTAGGATCCCATGTAGCCACCAAGTTGTTTCAGTTGCTCCATTTCCCATCCAGCTCCCTGCTTGTAGCCTGGGAAAGCAGTGGACGATGAACCAAAGCCTCCGGACCATGCAACCACGAGGGAGACCCAAAAGAAGCTCCTGGCTCCTATTGCAGCCATTTGGGGAATGAACCAGCAGAACCAAAGATCTTTCTTTCTGTCTCTCCTTCTCTCTGTAAATCTGCTTTTCCAATAAAAAAAAATCGAGGTCTTTATAAAAAAAAAGATTAAATACTATTGGCAGACTATAAAGCGTTCTTAAAATCTGTCTCATTGTGCAGAAGATTCCTTCACCAGTGATGTATGGTGGTTGTTTTCCTCAATAGGCTGTCAAAAGAGCTTCTTCTGGACCCACAGCAAACTCTGGTCTTCAAAGTTTGGCATAAAGGAGGTAGGAACTCTGCTCTGTGTATGTCTAGCTGGTTGTTAAAATAAGCATACATGCTCTCAAGTTTGCTTTTTTTTTTTTAGCCAAGTGAGGTAGTTGCACTGCTGTGCTGGGAATGCTGGTATGTGGTAGAGGCTAGTCCCATAGAATGCCACATGATCTCCTATTGAATTTGAATACTTAAACAGTTAAATCAGTGTCATTTTCTGTTTAGTATAGCAACCCAAGTACATTGCATCTTTCCCAATGTGTCTGTCAGTGGTCATAATGTGTACAACACCAGGGTTTCTCCCCACCTCATACAAAGTTCTACCTTGTTACTTTGGCTCATGAACCAAGACCTGGGCAACTTCAGGCAGGAACACAAAAGGGAAATCTGACAGCTTATCCTCCCTTGTTTTAAGAATATCCCCCAAGACATGGGGTGCTTGGCCTTCATGTTAGTCAGCTCGCATTTCTGAAGAGACCTGACAGCAGTGAAAAGAGCCCTGACTCTGAAACCAGACACTTGCTTCAAGCACCTTTCTGCCCCATATTGGTACATTACAACCTTGAATGAGCAGCTTAACTTCTCTACTTCAGCTCCCATATCTATACCTAGAATAATAGTATCTAGGATTTGGAGAGAATTAAATGAGAACCTGACACCATATCCATTTTTAATAGTAGTAACTAATCATGTGCCAAGACACACATGTATAACCTGGCAAGGTAGGAAATATAATCATTCCAATTTTATGGACATAAAAGCTGAAACCCAAGAAAATTTAGTGACTTGATTAAGTCTGTGTTAGCTGTTAATTTATAACCAGAATTTGAGTCCATTTCTAAATCCATTTCTCACTGATTGTCTAGCCTTCATTGTACTTGTGCATGCTGGTAAGCGCAGGTGACTTGGGAAATGAGGTGGTGAGAGCATCCAGCCATCTCAGCCTCTTTGTGATGCCTGCTAGGGCCTGGTTTGCAAACCTCCAGCTGTTCTCAGTTGTCTTCAGAGTCAGTTTTTGGTTTGCCAGTGGTAAGCTTCAGTTCTAACCCCCAAAGCCTGCTGAAGATGGACAAATCAACTTCCCTTTCTCTCCCCCTGTGCCTCCTGTTTGCAAGGGCTGCTGTGAGTCTTGTTTTGATGACTACTTCTGTGCTGCAACCTTGCATTCACTTAGGGCCCTCACCATTCCCCAGCTTCATAAATGCTGCAATAGCTTATCACAAATCCATTTCCTCTGACTCTACACAGGAAAGCCTTTGGTGTTTAGCTGGACTGTGCCCTTCCCCTTTGCCTTCCTTCTCTCTCTGAAATCGTACAGAGGTTGTCAAGCAGACCAAGGCTCACCTCAGTTCAGCACCTGCTTTAGCAGGACAGAAAGAATAAGCTTTGGTCTTATGCAGACCTAAAGTCAAATTATGACTTGCTCTATAACCTAAGTGAATCACTTTACCTCTTTCCTCTTACCTTTCCTTAACTTTATTCATAAAATTAGAAGGATAGCACCTGAAGTATGATACACAACTGTTGCTAGTAAATCAAGCTATTTTTCAGACATTGTACTAAAGCTGTTAGGTATAGACAAACATATACCCCACATTCCAGGATCCCTAGAGGCTCCTGTAAGATCCTGTGAGTAAAGGTTAAGAAAATCCTAGGACCACTCTCTCGTGGCTCTGGCTCTCAGTGTATAGTGTCCTCTCTCTCCCCTAACTTCATCCTCTTCTCCTCTGTCACACAAATGTGACACAGAAAATGAAAGCAGGCTCTGAAGCCAGTCTCTGATGCTCTTATTTTCTGTCTTTGGTGATGGCTTGGGAACCCCCCAACTGCCTCAGCCTCCCGAGCCAGCTTCTGACAGCCTGCCAGGCCCAGCCACACCATCCCACTCCTCTTCCCCCACAGATGAAGAGAGGGTGATTGGCTTTGCCTCGGTGGATCTCTCCCCACTTCTGTCTGGCTTCCAGTTTATCTGTGGCTGGTACAACATCACAGACTTCAGTGGCGACTGCCAGGGCCAGATAAAGGTTGCTATCTCACCTTTGGAGAATTTGACGCGCTTCAAAGAAGAAAGGCAAGCAAGACGTGGGGTGGAGACCACAGGATCCCTGGTAAGTATCCTGATTCCCAACACTCACCAGAAAGGTTTGTACCCAGCAAAGCCTACAAGAAGATCCATTGTGTTTGGTACCTTTCAGTTTATGAAATAGGCCATATATTTGTGTCTCGTAACCATCTCCTGATATGTACAAAATGGTTAAACTATTATGAGAGTAGATGGTTGTGCCCACTCTAAATATATTTTTAAAAAGTGAATATTAAATACTGTAAAGGAGTGAATTTTATAATACATAAATTATGTATCTTTTGAAATAAAAAAGTTGCCATGTGAAGTCTACAACAATAGTAGTTGAACCTTAATTCTGTTACATTAAAGTCATTTATCTTTCATTCAAGAATAATAAGAGGGGTTGACATTGAAGTATAGTAGATTAAGGCACTGCTTGCAACGCCAGCATCTCATATCAAATTGCCAGCTTGAATCCCAGCTGTCCTGCTTCCAGTAATGCACATCTTGGGAGGCAGCAGATGGTGGATGAAATTCTTGGATCACTGCCCACCCATGTGGGACACCAGATGGAGTTCCTGGCTCCTGTCTTCAGTCTGACCCAGCCCTGCCATCCCATTTGGGCACTGGTTCAAGTCCAGCTGCTCTACTTTCAATTCAGCTTCCTGCTGATGGCCTAGGAAAGCACCAGAGGATGGCTCAAGAACTTGAGCCCCTGCACCCATAGGGAGACCCAGAAGAAGCTCCTGACTGCTAGCTTCAGACTGAGCCAACTCTGGCCATTGGACCATCTGGGGAGTGAGCCAGCAGGTAGAAGAGCTCTCTCTCTCCCTCTCCTTCTCAATCTTCTCTATAAGCTGGTTTTCAAGTGAAATAAATAATCCTTCAATAAATAAATACATTAATAGATATGTTGTTTAGACAACTCTTTCAATAAATTAATTCTAAAAAGAAAAAAAAAAGAAGCTTCCCACAATTCTATGTAGAAGAGCTCTTATCAGAGTGAAGGCTTTTGGCCCAGGATCTGGCACCGACTAAGTATCAATGAGTATTGAATGAATATATTTATGACAAAATGATCAAGAGTTCAGTAGTCCCTATTTAAGAAGATTGTTTCTTCAGATCAACTCTGATATTCATGAAATAGGAAACATCACAGCTAAATTATTCCTGCATATAAACTAAATGTAAAATATGTCTAACCAGCAGTTCACAAGCTGGCTGGAGAAACAAGAGCATAAATATAAATAAAGCAGGGCCCGGCACGATGGCATAGTGGTTGAGGTCCTCGCCTTGCACGCCCGGGATCCCATATGGGTGCCAGTTCTAATCCCAGCAGCTCCACTTCCCATCCAGCTCCCTACCTGTGGCCTGGGAAAGCAGTCCAGGATGGCCCAAAGCTTTGGGACGCTGCACCCGTGTGGGATACCCAGAAGAGGTTCCTGGCTCCTGGCTTCAGATTGGCATAGCATCGGCCATTGCGCTCACTTGGGGAGTGAGCCATCAGACAGAAGATCTTCCTCTCTGTCTCTCCTCTCTGTATATCCGCCTTTCCAATAAAAAAATAAAAATAAATAAATCTTTAAAAAAAATACATATATATATAAATAAAGCGGCTAAAAATCTGATAATCTATCTGGTATTTATCATCAAAAGGTATTTAGCCTTCTGGTTAAGATGCCCATGTCCTATATCAGATTGCCTGGGTTTAAATACACCTGTGGTCCTGTCCTCACCTTCCTGCTAATTTAGTTGCTAGGAGGCAGCAGTGATGGCTCATGTGAGCTTCTGCAACTTATGTGGGAGACATGGAGTGAGTTCCCAGCCTTAGCCCCAGGTCCAGCCTGGTCTGGGGCACTGCTAACATGTAAAGTTGGAAACTCTCTCCTCCTCCCTCCCCGCTCCATGTGTCTTATCAGCCTCTTAAATAAAAAAGTGTAATTAACAAGGGTAGTTATCTCACAAGAATATTGAATAGTAAATGAGAAAATACATGTCATATGCCTAGCACAGTGCTCATCACATGCAAGGTGCTCAGGAAATTGTATTTATACATATGCCATAAACTTTACAAATTTGTTCCACAATGCTGATATCCAGTATATCAGTTTTCTTTTTGCCTCTACAGATCCCAGTATATAGTCCCTTTTCCTTTCCTGGCTCTGACATGCGTACTGCACTCCCCAGCTGCATTGCAAGGTCAACCCCAGACCAACTTCCTCACATCTCTTCAAAGGAAGTTGATTTCTCCAATCCTGGGAGGTGAGTGATTTCTTGATGGTGACAAGAAATGGGGTCAAAGGGTAGCAGTGTGAAAACTGGCTTATTTATAATCTCCTTTATTAGAGGAAGAAATTAGAGATCACAAGGAAGAAGTTTGTTGATTTTCTACCACAACCTTCTGGAAACCTTAAGATCCTTTGAAAGCAAAGTTTTTTAAAGGATTTAGAATTTTATTGCTATTGAAAGAACAGTGTGAGAGATGCTTTTGTTTTATCCTCAGAGATCTTTAGCCTTTTTCCCTATACTCAGTCATCAGCCATATGAAAAATATATCTTATCTGTCCTCTCCAAAAACTGTGTGCCAAGTTGTTTTACAAAAAGCACCTGACCCATCCTTCTACAGAAGCTGACCTTGAGTGTCCATGTGGGTATCAGGGCTAGAACATGTTCCATCCTGTCACTCCCTGTAGGCCCTAGTACCCTCTGGCATCTCCTCCCAGCAGCACATTCCCACACGCTTCTCTCAGCAGCTACTCCCACAGCAGTCGTTACTGAGAACACCCTTTATCCTAGGAAGGTCACTGGGGAGCTGCCCTACTACTCAAGGCTGCATCATCATCACCACATGAAGAGATCCTCTGGCCTCTGTACAAAGGGAGCTTTGTGCTCTCCCAATTCCTATACTATCAGCTTAGATAATTGCTTTGTTATCTGTTTTATATAAAGTTAATTTGACTGTAGCTAGTCAGTGAAACAGCAGGATAACAGTGCCTTAGTGTCACTGTTTAATAATTTTCAAAGTTCAACAATTTGCCTTTTGTCCAGCTAAAAATGTCCCTGTGGTACCACTGCAAAAGGACCACATCAGAATGTCATATTATATTCTAATCTAGCCCTGCTTCCAAGGCAAGGCTGTAATTGCCTTTCTAACCGCTTCACCAGATACAACCAGCTCTTTCTGACCCTGCCTTGCTCCATGCGCAAGGTGGTGAGATGGGATCTGAGGGTGGACAACTTTAGAGCTCTGTACTAGCTTTACCACTCACAAGCTAGCTGTGAGCTTAGGCTAATTGCTTCAGTTCTCTGAACCTTGGCTTTTTCATGTGCTAAATGAAAATAGTGTCTTATTGCAAGGCTGTTATGAAGTATCCATAACAAATGAGAAGACAGATAACTCATTTTGATGTACACTGTATATACATAGTGGCTGATTGAGTTTTCAAAATAACTTTAAGAGAAAGGTGTTACTACCCATCATACCGGGGTAATACCTGAAGCAACAGTTTTTAAATATTTTGGTCTTTGTACTTTACTTTTTTTTTTTAAAGATTTATTTATTGGAAAGTCAGATATACAGAGAGGAGGAGAGACAGAGAGGAAGATCTTCCGTCTGATGGTTCACTCCCCAAGTGAGCGCAACGGCCGATGCTATACTGGTCCAAAGCCAGGATCCTGGAACTTCTTCTGGGCATCCCACATGGGTGCAAGGTCCCAAAGCTTTAGGCCGTCCTCGACTACTTTCCCAGGCCACAAGCAGGGAGCTGGATGGGAAGTAGAGCTGCTGGGATTAGAACTGGCGCCCATATGGCATCCCAGCATGTTCAAGGCGAGGACTTTAGCCACTAGGCCACGCTGCCGGTCCCATGCTTTACTTTTAATACACAAAAATTACAACCAGGTCAGAGGCCCATCAATCAATAGGTGGATGGATGATCAAATTTTGATATGTTTATACATTGAAATATTATTAATTTTTTTCATGAATTACTGATAAATAAAATTATTTTCAACATAATTATGCTAAAGGAGAAAATACAGAAAAGAATATATTGTGTACCATTCTATTGATATAAATTTCTAGAAAGTGCATAATGACATATGATAGGAAGCAGATCAATGGTTACCTAAGGACAAGGCAAGATAAATAGATTGGGAATGTGAAAACAATTACAAATGACAAGTAGCAATTTTTGAAGCTGATATGTTGATTTTATTGTGGTTATTATTTCCATAAAATTATACATCTGTCAGAACTCACTAAATGCATAAACTCACTTAGTTTATGCATTTTTATCAAATTAGAAATTTAAATAGAAAAGTTTTAGATATCATGAATATAAAATCAATTATATATCTATATACCAGAAATGAACAAATCCAATAGCATCAAATAAAGTAAATACTTAAAAGATAAGAAGTGCAAAATGTATTGTCTGAAACCTACATTACATGATTGAGATTCACGAACGTCTGAGCAAACAGACATCCTTCAAATCGACAGGTTCCACACCATCTCTGTTAATTCTTACTGGCCTCTTTGTGGCAGTGCACAGGCTAATCCTAATACTCTTTCGACAATTCAGGGCATACAAACATCCTTAACAAGAGAAAGTTTCTAATTACTGAATACTAGAAGGGGAAGACATTTCACTCAGAGGTTCGAATGTCACTTAGGATGCCCACATCCCATATGGGAACACTTAGGTTTTGGTCCCAACCCTGCTTCTATTTCCTACTTCCTGCTAATGCACACTCTGGGAGGTAACAGGTGAGGGCTCACATCCTTGTGTTTTTGCCACCCACATGGGAAACCTCAGTTAAGTTCCGCTCACTTAGGTCCTGGCTTTGGCCTGGCCCAACTGCAGCTGTTGCAGGCAGTAAGCAAGTAAACCAAGTAGAACATCAGATGAAGGATCTCTTTGTCTATCTCTTTCTCTCTCTCTCTCTTCTTCTCCCTCTTTCTCTATCTTGTCTTCTCTGTGTCCCTCTTCTCCCTCTCAAATAAAATGTTTTAAGGAATAAGATATATATCTACTAGAGAGGGAAAAAAAAGGCAAGATGTTATTAAAGATGAAAGCCACATCGAGCAGACCATCCACATCAATAGAGGAAAAGATTAATGTTGTTCATGCCCTAATTAACGAGAACCAACAACTCGGAGCAGAAGCAATAGCCAGTATCAGGCTCAGCATGGTGGCCTAGCAGCTAAATCCTCACCTTGAATGCACTGGGATCCAAATGGGTGCTGATTCTAATCCGGTGGCCCCACTTTCTATCCAGCTTCCTGCTTGTGGCCTGGAAAAGCAGTGAAGGATAGCCCAAGGCCTCGGGACTCTGCACCCACATGGGAGATCTGGAAGAGGCTCCAAGCTCCTGCCTTGGGGAGTGAAAATCTTCCTCTTTGTCTCTCCTCTCTGTATATCTTGCTTTGCAATAAAAATAAATCTTTAAAAAAAGCCAGTATGATAAGCATTTTAATTATTTTACCCCTTACATAATTTTGATTGAAAAGTTAAAAGTTAGAAAGTTAGTTCGGCACTGTTGCTCCTGAATCACCTGCAGATGAGAACAGAGCTTTCAAGGGAAATTTTAGCCAAGTAGTATCCAGGTCCTGAGATGTTTCTTCAAAAAATAATGCAATATAGGAGATAAAACAATCATGCCAATGACTACTAAAAGGCAAAAAATCAGTCAAAGCAAAAGCAAGTCAGTCCAGACAAAGGTCATGGAACAATGTTTTGGAGATTCTCTAGGCATTTTACCTGTTGACTTTCAGTAGGTTTGAAAGATGGCAACATTTTCTCATTTAAAAAGGATTTTAAGGGAGCCAATGCAATGGCTCAACTAGCTAATCCTCCACTACCAAGTGTTGGCATCCCATATGGGCAACAATTCCTATCCTGGATGCTCCATTTCTGATCTAGCGCTCTCTCTCTCTCTCTCTCTCTCTCTCTCTAATGTTGCAAAGAAAAATAAAAACTAGACTTTATTGTTTTTTGCCATTTGGTAGCATTTTACACACAGGCTTCGATCTTCAGAATACCCTGGATTAAGTAGAAAAACCTTTTAAATGAAGTTTTGTACAATAGAAACTTCAGCAGTCAAAATTTAAACTGTAAAAAATGCATGCAAAACATACTTCTCTGAAAACACTCAACTTTGAACAAAGCACCAAACTACAGGAATGCAGAATGAAAACAGCATTTCAGCTCCACCAAAAATAGTCATCATAAAAGGTGTATGAGTCACCTAACTCCACTGGGCACTGTTCACTTTTTAAACAGGAGACAATAAAAATATTGCCTACAAACATCATCCGAGCTCTAGGGCAGGTTTCAGAGTGTTCATCTTCATAACTTTAACAGCGATGAGAATAGGATTGAGATCTGGAACAAGATCTGGAACCTCCATGACTGTAGTAAGGAGAAGGTCACCGTGTTCTATATATCTGATCTCTGTCTTGAGCAGCTCTCCATCCACCTCCTCTATATGATCTGCTATACTAGCTTCAATCATCATTACCCCAGTCATGCCCTCTGTTGTAATAATCCCGACATCGTGAACTGCCATATGAAGGTCTCCCCATGTAAATTCCTGGTGTCGGAGAGTGTAGTCTTTTTGTTTCAGAGAAATCAACTTTGATTCTATGCCCATCAGGCTCCATTCCATTGGCACACTTTAGCTTCCTTGGCATCATCTACATTTCCAAAATAAACAAAGGCAAATCCTCTGGAACACCTAGATTGTGCATCATACACAATAGAAACATCAGAAATAGTACCATATTTAGAAAAAACTTCTCTAGGTCTCTTTCTGTGGTGTCCAAGCTCAAACCAAATACTGTAAGACAAGAGTTGGGGTCAGGATTGCCTGATTTCCAACATGACGCCTAGGAGTAGACATGGGAGAATGACCGTGGCTGTGCCATTTGTGATGTCAACTGTAAGGCTTGCTACAGGATTGTCTTTGGGAACAGGACCAAGATTGTGACCTTGTGTAATGCCTTAGAGATCTTCTGGATCTAGACATAGATTCAGATCTGGACCTGGACTTTGATCTGGGATGCCAGGAATTTTCCGTGGAGTGAGACCTTGCAGGGGTATGCCTTGCAGAGTTTCTCTGCTCTGTGAACACTTCCACCTCTGGAGCAGACCGAGATTCCCGCTTGCAGTGGTTCTGCTTGCCGCTGTCGCTCAAGGCGCCCGGCTGCTGTCGCTGCTCTCTGGGCTTCCAGCTGTCAACCCTCTTGGCAGCAGAGGAGGTTCCATGACAGCCTCCCAGGATACAGTTTTCCAAGCTACCAGAGACAAGTGCTCCACACCGCCTCCACACGGGCTCTTGATCCAGCTCTCTGCTTGTGGCCTGGGAAAGCAGCAGAGAATAGCCCAAACACGTGGGACCCTGTATCCATGTGGGAGATGCAAAAGAAGCTGCGGGCTTTGGATAGTCCCAGTTCCAGCCATTGCAGCCATTTAGGGAGTGAACCAGTGGATAGAACATCTTTGTCTCTCCTTCTCTCTGTGAATCTACTTTTCCAATAAAAACTGATAAAACCTGTGTTTAAAAGTGGGGGGTGGATTTTTAAGGACGTTAACACGTTAGCAGAAAATGCCCAGGGAAGTCTTCCTGCAACAGCAGTGCTCCTGCTCATTCCTCCTCCGATGAACAAGGGTAGCTTTGCAGGAGTTTTGATGGAAAGTCATTGGGCACCCACCTCACTATCTTGATTTCACTCCTTCTGATTTCTTTTTAATCTTCAAAGATCTTAAAGAGCACCCACTTTTCTTCAGTAACGTAAAAGACTGCATTGAGTGAGGTGAATTCCCAGACCCTCGGTTCTGTGGCAGTGGACTTAGTAACTGCTATCATCACTTTCAAGTTTTGGATGTGGTAGAGCCTATATTGATGAAGTTTGTATTTTTCATTTTTATCTAATAATTCTATGTTTCCATTAACTTTTTGACGTTTTCTCTGATTGCCTATGGCTAATCACTTTGGAGGAAATGGTAAAATACTGCTAACAAGTGTGAGGCTTATTTGTAGATAATTAAAATGAAATTAATTGTGTTGGCAGTTTAATAACTGAATATTTTTAAAAAGCAATGAACTGTACACTTTAAATGAGTGAATTATATCTCAGTAAAGCCACCAATTTTTTTTTTACAGAAGTAAATTTCTGGGATCCATTCTTGATTATGATGTTTGATATTTGTTCTGTATGTAAAAACGAAATACCAAAGCGCTAAATGTATGATTAAACAGATTAATACATATTGAATTCTTACAAGGCTTGACATACTGATAATTCCATATATTGTTCTCCTAGTTACTCTGTTTCAGAAAGCTCACTTTGGCTATAATGTGCAGGATAGATTTAAAGCCAATTATTTGTGATACAGTTTTAGTCCAATCAAGAATTGATGAAACCAGAACTGTAGAATTAAGGAGAGGCATACAGTATCATTTCAGGAAAGCAGTTTGCTTACTGTCACATTGGAAGTTTTTTCATTGGCTAAGTTTTATTTATTCTGCCCACCCACCCATCCTTTTTTTTTGACAGGAGTGGTCCCACAAGAAGCCAGGTGTCACGCCATGAAGAGCACGTGCAAAACATCCGCCGATTTCATGAATCCCTGCAGCAGGGAGATGCAGCTTTGCCGAGTGATGACACAATGACCCCATCACCCTTGTCCTCCAATACCTCCATCCTGACTTCTCTCAGGTGAGGCTGATGAAAGACACAGGAAGCCATGGGGAGCACAAGAAGAGGGCGGTGGCCATGTGCAGTGCTGGCTCATCAGCTTCCACCATTCTCCAATGTTTAACAGGGTTCCAGTGTATCTCATTATCAGGTGGGACCCTGGCATATCATAGAATTCTTCACAGATGGATATGTCTCAGCTGGGGGACTTCCATTCCTTCAGGGAATTCCATCACTGACTCACCTACAAATACACAAACTTTACAGTTTTTACCAAAATTTAAGAGTAACAACCCTGACATCTATACCATCTCAAAATAGGCTTCACCGTCAACAAAGTCTGACTCCTGCCTTTATCCTCACAACCTCTACTTCCCAGCCAGCATCCATCCTTAGCATTTCCTGTCTCTGTCTCAGTTTTATAGTACAAACTCAGAAAAGAAACATAGCCAGGCCTGGCACAGTAGCCTAGTGACTAAAGTCCTCGCCTTGCATGCCAGGAATCCCATATGAGTGCCAGTTCGTATCCCAGCTGTTCCACTTCCCTTCTTGCTCCCTGCTTGTGACCTGGGAAGGCAGTAGAGAATGACCCAAAGTCTTGGGACCCACGTGGGAGACCTAAGAAAAACTCCTGGCTCTTGGCTTCAAATCGGCTTAGCTCCAGCTATTGTGGCCACTTACGCAGTGAACCAGAGGAGGGAATATCTTTATCTCTCCTTCTCTCTGTAATTCTGACTTTCCAATAAAAGTAAATAAATTTTGTTAAAAATGGCCAAAAAACTTTTTTTATTTGTTTATTTAAAAGGTAGAGTGACAGAGAGCAAGATTTCCCATCCACTGGCCAAAGTGCCTGGGACTGGGCCAGACTGGTGCCAGAAACCAGGAACTCCATCCAGGTTTCCCATATGGGTGGCAGGAATCCAAGTACTTGGGCCATCTTTTGCTACCTCCACAGTGTTGTGGACTAGGTTGGGCCTAATATTTCTTTTCTAGGTTCTTGCCTCTTACTAAAAAAGCATTTTAAGCACAGGTACCAATACAGTTCACAAAGTGAAAAAGTTTATTTAAAAAGTGAGGAATTCACAGACTCAGGAGGGGCTTGTTCAGGGACAGAGTGGAGCAGGAAAGGAAAAGATGGGAGAGATAGGTATCTACCCCATATCCTTCAAGTCCATAGGAAGAGAGAGCCCTGCCTTCTCCAGGCTGCTCAGGAATCTAGAAAGGGGAGTGGTTACATGATAACATTCCAGGTCCCAAGTGAAGGAAAGTATTTCCCTGGGGAATTATCTATCCCATATCACCAGGAGCTTTAGCAGAGAGTTGAATCAAAAATAGAACAGCCAAAAAAAATTTTTTTTAATTAAAGAAAACAAAACAGAGCAGCCAGGATTTTGAACCAGTTCTGCAATATGGAATATCAATTTCCCAGACTGTGTCTTAAACTGTTGTGCCAAAATGAAAAGAATTGAGCAGTAATGCCAAATGCTATGAAAAGCAGCCCAAACTGATGTCATGAGAAGTAAGTAGCATTTTCAGAATAATAAGGTCCTGGAGACAGAGGCTATTTAAAAACAGAAGTCAGTTTGGCTATTCTTTCTTGGGTTGTTAAAATATTTGAAACCCACTGAATAAAGCCAAAAAGAAAAAGAAAGAAAACAAGCTCTCTTCTGTCCTAGAGCAAATTCTCTGTTGACATTTGGGCTAGACAGGTTTGTGGAGGGGCAGATGTGGTCAAGTGCACCATAGGATGTTTACAGGATCTCGTCAGTCCACTATACCTCTCTTCCTGCTGTGACAACCAAAAAATGCCTTCAGACATTGCCAGATGTCCTCTGGGACCACAATCCCAGGCTAAAACCCACTGCCCTACAGCAGGGATTCTTCGAAGCCAGTATGTATCAGAATCACAGAAGGGACTCACTGAGACACTGACTGCTAGGACCTACCCCTCCGCTTGCTGACTCAGCAGACCTGGGATGGGACCTGAGAGCTCTCACATATTCTGTTACTCCTGGTCCGATAACTAAGCTTTGGAAACCACTTTCCTCTACAAAGAAAGGATGGACCACAGTCATGGGCATTTGCGTTGCTTCCTTGGGTTCAGAGAGTCCTAAACAGTGCTTCATTTAAATCACTCCCGTGAAAACTTTAGGGCAAGTATTGCTAAACCTGTGTTACAGGTGAAAAAACTTACAGCTTGGTACTAGTGAGTTTCTGCACCCAAAACCTCTGTCCAAGAAGTGCACTTGCCCATTTGCTAAACCTGCACTGAGTTTACATTCATTTGCATGTTTCTGCTGCTGCTGTTTATCCATGCGGCATGCACCAAAAAATAGACACCTAGGTGGTTTGGCAGGCACTGCTGTGATTGGATAAAGCCTTATGATGGATTCAGGATCAACCTTGTTCTCTCATTTTCTTTGATTTTGACTCCATACATATAGTTTTTAACAAAAGGATGGGCTTTTCAGTTCATTTTACACATACTTAGTGTCTGTTGTGCTGTTTGTGCCAGGAACCAGATGCCATGGCCTAGTTGGGGAAACTGAGCCAACACGTAATGAGAAAGTTAAGGAAAGTCTTGTGACAAGTGTGATAGAGATGCTGCAAGTACCAAAGTTTAAAGGATATGTAACCCAACACTTTAGGGAACTGTGAGCTGCAATCTTAACATATTCAACCTTAACTAGAACAGAGGTAGAGCAGGGAGTTGCTTTTCTCCATGGAGGTATGAGCTCTTGGATTCTCATCCTAAGTAGCTAGATGCTACATACTACTCCTTCTACTTCTATTTCTATTACTACTACTACTCCTGGATAAATCACACAAATTCTCTGCACTTCAAGCTCCGTATCTGTAAAATAACTGCTGCTCTCATCTGGTTGGCTGAGCATTTAACAAGATAATGTCTTTGAGAGCATAAGCATAAAATACTGCACAACTGGAAAACTGATGTGGTTTCTTACCAGAAAATTGAAAGAATCAGTCTTCCCCTATAAAGTTTTTAAACAGAGAACTTTTTAAATTGTCTTTTATTTATGTCCATTTTTCCATTCAACATCACTTACTTTGTGCCAGGCCCTATTCTGGATGTAGTAAGCCTAAAGAAATGAATTCAGAGCTTACATTCCATCAGGGGGAAATAGATAGTATAGGAAGAACTGTGGGACACAAAGCAAGAGATCCCTAACTCAATTTAGAAGCTTTTTGAAAAAGATCACTTATTTAAAGTTCAGGTAACTAAAGACAATGTTAGCTCCTACCAGAGCCTTAGTCAGTTCCAGTAAGGAAATGAGAACTGAGATGTCCTACAAGAGGGTTACGTTTTTGCTAGACATTCAAAAGGAAACCGCATTAGCCAGAAAAAAAGGAAAGTCATCCCCAGCAATAGGACTGTAATCGGGACTGAAGGGTGAGTTGATGAATTGGGAAGAGGCAGCACAGTGTAAATACACCAGGTGAGAGGCATTAATATCCCTGACGCGGGCAGTGGGAAGTCCAGGAGGCAACAACAAATGTTTTTCATCTCTGTAAATGACGTTCTTGTCTTTTCCCCCACCCCTTGTTGTTTATAGGAAGAATCTGAATGAACTAGATCAGATCCAGCGGTATTTCAGCCAGAAGCTCAGCAAGCCATTCCTACCCCTCAGTCCTCAGACTCCTGCCACCATCCTGGAAGGCCAGGAGAGCCCCCGGGACACGATTGGGCCAGGAGCTGGCAGCCTAGATCCCGAGAGCAAGTGCCTCCTGGAGAAATCCAGTAACCTGGTGTCACAAGTCAGCTCCTTGATCACGGGTATGGATGGCTGTAGGGTCTTTCTTGTTGAGTTCTGATCACCAGAGGCCAGTTCAGAAAGCATTGAAATGTCTGCCCTGACACGTCGCTATGACAGCTAGAGACCAATGGTTTCCATCATCTTCCCTTTACCTTTTTGTAACCATATTGTTTTTGACAAAAGAGACGTAGTAGTATGACAGCAGATATACTGGCCTAGTGACACAGGAGATTAATCCTCCGCCTGTCGTACCAGCATCCCATATGGGTGCCAGTTTGTGTCCTAGCTGCCCAACTTCTGATCCAGGTCCCTACTGATGACCTGGGAAAGCAGTGAAGGAGGGTATAGGAGCTTGAGCCTCTAAACTCACTTCAGAGACCTGGAAGATGTTCCTGGATTCCAGCTTCAGACTGGCTCAGCATCTGCCGTAGTGGCCATTTTGAGAGTGAACCAACAGATAGAAGATCTCTTTCTGTCTTTCCCTCTCTGTTGTTCTGACTTTGAAGGAAACAGGATTCTGGGCTATTGCCATATGAGATGCTTGTACCACAAGCAGAAGATTAGCCTATTATACAGGGTTAGGATTAGCAAGCTATGCCATTACACCAGCCCCTCAACATACTTTTTTGCAATTACTAGATATGGGTATGAAAACAACGTATGACACATCTCTGTGCCAGACCCCAGCAGCACCCTGTATCAGACATAAGATCCCTGACCTAAGGAGCTCACAATCTGTTGGGAAAAAATACAGTATTGTGCCAAAGGCCTACCTCTATAGTAGAGATTTGAACCCAAAATTTTTCTCACCTCTTTCCAACATTTCCATTGGCTTCTCTTTTCTCTGTAAACTTCCCCTGCTTTGTCATCAGGGTAATGGGTAGTTGCTTTTATTTTCCACTAAAATAAGGTAGTTTTAATAACTCATCAAATAGGTAAATAAGTGGATTCTCATTTTGGTTTCTAATATAGGTAATGACTGAAGTAAATGGAAGCATGAACATGCCCGCCAGGACTCCCAGCTCCCAAGAATTCCTGAGCATGAACAGATAGTCTCTGAAAGCATTTCCACTGATGTATCCGCAGCTATAAATAGATTAGATTTTGGTCCTCTGATACTAGAATAAAGTACTAGAAATTATCCTGCCTTGAATATAGTCTCACTGACTCTCAGATGGATTAATTGTCCTTAAGTTTTGTTTAGATTCTGATTGCACGAGTACTTCTGAAGCGAGAGGCTGGTGTGGGAAATTTGAGTGGTCTGTGGCCCTGCCTTGTAGTAAGAGTGATATCTGTTGCTGTTCAGATCTGCAGACTATCACCAGGAATTCTCAAGCAGCTTTGAGTTCTCATCGAGCCAGGAATAGAAGCGAAGAGGCCTCCATTCTCCCAGATTGTCAGGACACCGAGGCCATACAGAAAGCAAGAACAACTCTGGACAAGCCGTTGGCAAGACCTCTGGATGAGGGCACAAATTCCTCATCTGCCCCTGTTCCCAAAGAGACTTCCAACAGAAAAGGAGTGCTCAGTGAGCCCCTGGGGCACACGGTACCCATTGCAAGGACGCTGAGCAGTGAAGACACTGAGCCAGGCCCAGCCGACAGTGACGAGGACTACGAAGAAGACATCATTGAACCCAGGACCCTAAATGAGATCACCACCGTGACAGACAAAACTAGCCCTTGGTCCAGTTTCATGTCTGACACAAGTGAATTCATCAGCCCTGAGCCTGATGAGACGCTGAGGGAAAGGCCCTGTTGTCCTTCTCCAGAACCTTGTCCCAGAGAGGAGGTCAAAGGCAGAAGCAGCTTTCCACCTGCCCTGGAAAGGGCTGCCAAACCTGTGAAAGAAAAACTCATCACTTATGAGGGAGAGAGCTTCCAGGGCAGGGTTAGAGAGTCTGCCTCAGCCAACCCTCGGCTTATCCCATGCCTGAAGCTCTCAGGAGCCAGACAGAGGGATACGTTTGTGGGCTGGAGCTCCCAACGGGCAGATGAGGACAAAGAGCCCAAGCCAGAGGCCCAGACTGAAAATGAAGCTACCTCCAGTGAGCCCAGTGACTCTGCTGATAGCTTTGAGAAGTTCCCTCTACACCTGGCCCCCCAGAGAAAGGAAAACCATCAGGGGCCACCCGTGGCCTCCCCAGCCAGCAGGCAGAAGCAGGCAACAGCTGGACCCGAGACGTCCACAAGGCAGAGCCGCCTCCTGTATCCTTTCCTTGTTTCCCACAGTGGTGTCCTAAGCCACCTCCAAGCATTATGATGATGCTGGTACCTAGGTCAAGTGTGTAAATGTGATTGTGAGCTTGTACAAGTGATTGTGAGCAGTGCCACCCTCATGGAACACATGGGGGGCTTTGGAAGACCTCTCCTTTAGAAGACACTGCTGCATGACAGATGCTACCATTCAACCATTACAGCCAGCCCTTCGAGGCATAATACCTTTTGGGGTTTAGATGTTAGTATTCATTAGCGTGATCTACCCTAGTTTATCTGGTTCACCTATTTGGTGTTCTACCGCCTGAGGGCGAGGCCCCGGATTCCAGGGGAACTAAAACTGGAGCATGAGAGAGGGGGAAGAAGAGCACTATTACTGAGTGAGCATTTATTGTGCACTACAACCTTTCCCTCTTTTTTTTTTAATCCATCAGGTCAGCAATTTGAGGTAGATGTCATATGTATTTTGCATGTAATGAAAATGAGGCTCATGGCTACCATGATTTGCCTGAAATTTAACCTTTTAAGAGCAAATGATGGAGCTAAGATGTGGACACTATTTGTATGGATTTGCCTAAGCTCTCAGGAAGAAGGAATCCCTGGCATTCTCTCTATCCTTTGAGACGAACTGGCATGTGCTGGGGAGAGGGAACCACTGAGGATCACAGCTGCACTTGCCTAGCTGGTATCTTGCTGGTACCTGCTCCCCTGGAATCCTGACAACAGGCCAAGGTGTCGCATGGCTGTATATCAGACAAACAGCTTCTCTAACCAGAGGTCTTCCTGGGTTAGAACCGAGACCCTCAGCCCAGCTTCTTATTAGATATGTGGCTTCAGACATTTAGTTTAACTTTTTTGAGCCTGCTTGTTCACCTAGATGCTGGAGGCAATCATTCTACAATCACTGGACTCCCAAGTTCCCTGCCAGTGTCTGTATTTTGTTCTGTGTCCCCTTCACCTGCTGTTGCGCAGCGAAGTAGTCAGTAAATACAGACTGGACGCTGGTGGTCTCACAAGATGGTGGGGACACATAAAATGAGGGGAAAACATCTGCACCCAGAGCACAGATGTGCAGCTTAGCACGGGCAGAGGAAAGCTTTAGGGCAGGAGAGTGAGGTGGCATGGAAAGCTGGTGCCTCCAGCAAAGTTCTCTCTCACCTGGCCTTCCTGTCTTCATGATCATATCAGCTCAGAAAGCAGTCAGTGGAAGAACTGCTGCTTATGCTTGAATTTCACACATTCCAACTACTCATTCTTATAACCGCTAAGTGATACCTGGCCCTGTGCTACGTACAGAGGGCAGATCTGAATCAGACCTTGCCTGAAGAAGGACCCATTATGAGAGAGGAGACAGGCAATCAGGCAATGGTGGTTATAGTTCCAAGGGCTGTGACGAAATGTGGACAAATACTAGGAACCAGGAGAGGAATTGCTCTAACTTCTCAAATATCCCAGAAAGAGACATGTAGACATGTGAACCAGACCATAAAGGCAGGGCCCGATGACTGCCCACACCAGCCTTGTGTGCTGAGATGTGGCCAGGAGAAGGAGCCTGGCCTGCAGGCACCTGTTCACTGTGGCTGCAGCCCAGGGCCAGGTGAGAGGTGGGGCACGCTCAGTCTCACAGAGCCTTCTGTGCCTGGCCTTGAGGGGCTTGGATTCTGTCCCAGAAGCAAATAAGCATTAGCTTCCTCATGCATGAAAGAAGCAATAACAGCACTTAGGTTGTTGCAGAAGTTAACATAAACTGTCTACACAGTGCCTTTACGTGGGTAGTGGTTGGTAAATGTTTACTGTGTGGAGGAGTGTGGTATGGTCAGATTTAAAGATATAGAAAGTCCCTGGGCCTTATAGAGGGTAGATCAGAGAAGATGAGAAATAAGGAGACCAATTAGAAAACTTGCACTAATAATAAACGGTGAAGACAGTCTGACGTGGAGCCTAGACTGCTTTAAATGAGGAGGAAGGGTAGGACTATATGGGTTATGGTAGAAGGGTCAGGGCTGAGACAGGGGAGTAGAAAGTGTGACTTAGAGATTTCTGTCCCAAGTTGACACATGCCCCTGGGGCACCCAGAAGAAGGCAGGGGCCTGGAGTGGAGGTGTGAAATCACGTATAGAGGTGGACGTCTCTGGACATGGGCAGCAATAAGAGTATGGAGAAGAAAGGCTTCATCCCCAGGGATGAAGCACTGAGATCACCCACATGGAAAAGGCGACAGTAAGGCAGATGAAAAATGTGTACAGAAGAGCTGATCAGAGAGCAGAAGGTAGGAACAGGGAAGAGGGGGACAACACAAGAGCCCCAGATGCAGAGGACTCCAGGAAGTAGGGGCCAGCACTCCTGCAAGTCATTCTGGGAGGCAGCCTGGCGTGTAGGCACCAGCTTGAGCCTTAAGGACACCAAGGCAGGAGTGGGCACAAAAACACAGGCTTCCATGTCAAGGAAAGTAGTGGGCAGCCAGCACAGGCAACATTTCCCCTGCCCTGGGGAAAGTGAGAAGGGTGGGTGTTTGTCAAGGGCTCACAGTATGGGCCACCACGCTCAACGCTGCGTGTGTGAATTCATTCAGTCCTGCAGACAGCAGCCATCATTACATCTTTAGAGACAAAGGAATTGCACAAAATAAGAACTTTCCCAGTGTTGCCTAATCATTTAGCAACTGTCAGAGCCAGGTGCCAGGTGGAAGGCTGGTGGGGAAAAAGAGAAAGGAGGCAGGCAGACTGATGTTTTCCTAAGTAGAAGACTTGAGCATTTGCATAAACTAAGAAGAGAGAACATAGGAGTTGCAGGGAGAAGGTGGCTGCTGGAGCAGAAGCCCCTTAAAGCCAGAGGCTGTGGAGACTTCTGTGCTGCAGCAGTGCTAGCTCCACTTGGCATTGGCCAGCCAACGAGCAGAACTCCTCAGCTGTCAGAGCAGCCCCAGCAAACAAGCTCAGCCTTCCCTGTGCCAAGGAGGAGGGCCACCGCTCTATTCCTGCCTCACCACAGAACAATCAGGGACTGGGTCTACAGCAGGAAATGGATGTGTTTTGTTCACTCAGTGGGTACTTACTGAACACTTACTACACCCCAGGGACTATCCTGGGTAAAAAGCCAGACATGTGACTGTTTGAGGTCAGACATGGAAGGAGAGTCAACTAGAAAACCTTGGAAGCATGCTTAGCCTATTAAAACAAATCAAGCATTGGACCATCGCAGTAGTTTCCCACCACCTCCCTCAGAACTCCAGCAAATTAGATCACTGCCTTGATTCAGCAGATGTTTGTGGAACACCATGATCTCAACACATGCTGTGCCCAAGGACAGCCCCTCTCACACAGGGTGCCTCATCCAACCTGAGGCACTACCCTTGGAGCCATCTTCCAGGCCCCACCTGTCTGACAGCAGTAAGGAGGGAGCGCAGGAGAGGAATGGAAGAACAGCAGAGCTGTGGCCAGTGTGGTTCAGCACTTGTTATCTACCAGCCCTCATAGGGTTGTAGGGAAGTAGGCAGGTGACAGAATGAAACCACCCCATCTCTGCCCATTGAGAATCCTATCAGACTAAATGGCCCAACCATCTCCTGTGTTGCAGGGTAAGAGAGGAAGATCACCAGGGTCAAGACTGAGAGAAGGCTTCCTGAAAGAGGCAAGTTTTCAGCTGACCCTAACAGAAAAGTAGACTGACTGTTAGGCGTGCACAAGACCTTCTATTTAAAAGGGACCCACTTGTGCAAGGAATTCATGGTCAGGGATAAGTTGGGCAGGAGCAGAAACGGGGGTAATTAAGGTCAGTGAGATGTGACTCTGGCAAGGGGATGGACTTAACAGGTATTTTGTTCCCTTAACTACTGTGATAGCCCCGAACCTGTTGTGGTGCCCAACTTCTTTTTGCCTCCCCAGCAGTTGGAGGCCTCCCTGCGGATGCTTACTCTGTCTGAAACCTTGCCACCACCAGCCACAACTGACCAGGTAAGAGGACAGCGAGCTGGCCCTCCTGTCTCACGGTCACAAACATGCAGAAGGCAGAGCTGCCCCAGGCCATCTTCCCAGAAAGGCTGTAGCAGAGCTCACTCTCCAGGCCTACACTCAACAGCTCCTGTGGCCCCGGAAGGAGACCGGAGCTCAGGGAAGAATGGAAGAGACATGGAAGGAAAAAACAGTACAGAACATAAAAGCGAAAGTCAGCTGAGAGGCACAGAGAGAGTCAGCTGAGCTGCAGCCAGAGGTCGGTGTGAGTGAGGATGCCTCAGCTAGCAGGTGCAGGGCATTATGACAAAAAAACAAGGAGAATCCCAGTGGCGACCTGTGCTGTTTGCAGACACCTCCCCTAGCTGCTCTCTTCCTAGCACCTGACCTTTCCCATAAGTGGCAAGAAATTCAGCAATACCTAGTACCAAGTTCACAAGAAATTAATAGCAGGAATGATTTCTCCACTTAGTCACCATGTATTTATTGAGTCCCTACTCTGAATCAGGCATTGCACTAGAAATGAGCATATAATAGTAAGGAAAATACGCCCTGTTTTCGGGAAGTACAAGTTGTAGACAAAGAAATAGGATACTTATTATAGACTGCTGAGTACTGGCTGTTCTCCAGGGAGAATGTGTTGAGGCTGAAAAATAAGGACCAGCGTGGTGCTTACTTTATTGGACACTGTTCCAAGCTCTTTAGTTTGACTCATTTAATTCAACAGTCTCCCATTACCCCTGGTTTAAGAGGAAACTGAGGCATGGAGATTAGCTTACCTGGTCATACAGGTAGTAACAGAGCCAGAATTGCAGTCCAGGCAGCCTGGTTCAGCATCTGTGTTTGTTATCACTGCACTGTACCAAGAAACAGCCAGCTCTGTAAGGAACTTGGGGATGAGTGCTCCAGGCAGAACAGCATAGGCAAAAGGTCCTGAGGCCTTTTTCACTTTTATTCAAAATGCAATATTTCCATTGAAGAAGTGGGGAGGGGAGCGGGAGTGATGCCTAATTTAAACTTTCAGCAATGTATGGCAGCATAGGAGGTGTTGGTGACATTAAAAGCACAGTTAAGGTAATGTAGTGGAGAAAGGAACCATAAAGCAGGACTGTGTGCCTGGCAGGTTTCTACGCCCTGGAAGAACTAGGCTCCCAAATTCCTGCCTCAGGGAACTTTGAAAAAGTGTATACAAACCCATTTAATTATCTTGATAATGGGTGAGGAACCCACTGAGGCCCAGAGCTTGCCCTGCAGGCTGTCAGATGTTACTGTTACTCTTGTTTATATAAAGAAACAGAAAATGAGGAAAGGCTGAGTCACTAGCCCAGGGTCACCCAAAAGGTGAGTCTCAGCTGAGCTCTTGCTTTATACCACCTGACAGCCAAGACTGACTTTGCACCTTTTAAACAGGCTTCATTTAGCAATGAAACCCGTATGTGCTTTCCTAGAGGCCACATAGATGGCTCAAAGGTGGGGTCCGGCCGTGGGTGTCCTGAGAGCTGCAGTTAAAGGTGTAGATGTCTGATCCTTTACAAGTTTCTTTCCCTGCCCTCCTCCAAGATATCCATCTCCAGAACCAAAATATCTCACGTATTTGGCACATGCACCAGTCTAAGTTTATCAAGTCGGTAAATGCTTTCCTGGGGAGGGGCAGTGCCCGCCGTGTCCTAGTTACAAGTCACAGCAGACTGATGGCATCTGATGGGATGATGGTGAGAATGACCCCGGTGCCTTTCTCTCCTGGCCTGCAGCCAAGTGGTGTAAGGGTCAGGCATGCCCCAGAGGAAAGCAGGGCTGAGAGCCAGCTCCCCTGCCCTGCCAGCAGAGCTGCTTTTCCTGCGTTTACTTTTGTACCTTTGTTGTACTGGATTTTGAGATCCCCAGAAAATCATCGAGTCCGAAGTCAGTGCTAATACATAAAGGGCAGTTTATTCAGGCAGTTTATTAGCCTAGGTCTCCCAGCCTACTGGGCTGGGTGGGGGAGGGCCAGCTGCAGCCAAGGCTGCAGCAGGAACAGCAGGGCAGAAGGAGAGCGAGGTTCTACAGCACAGGATTCTTATATATTTCAGGACAATTCCATATAATTATACAGTCATGATTGGTCAGTTTTAACTGTTAACTTTCAAAAACAGCACGTTGGCAGGCTTCTGTTAGTAAGTTTGAAGCAAGCAACTTTCAAGAAGCACAAACTGATGAGCTGTAGAGCAGTGGGTCTTATCAAACACCAGGTACTTCCTTCCTGAGGAGTGCTCTGCCTACGTGACCTGCCAGGTGTCCTGCAGGGGTCACGTAGATTGTCAGGCCTGGAGTTCACACAGCCCCCAGCCAAGCAATTAAGGCAGAAATCACAAAAGCAGAAAACATCTAGGTTCTTCACCTTCATTGGATGGCTGACTCCGTACTGTCTCTGGTCTGTTCAATGGGAGGCGCCAAATGCAGGGAGGGAGAAATAAGAAACAAGAATGCTCACTTTAGTTAAAGGGCAAATCTAGCTCAACTCTTTTTAGATTTTTTTTTTAATTGCTAAGTGAGATATACAAAGAGGAGAGACAAAGAGGAAGATCTTCAATCCAGTGATTCACTCCCCAAATGACCACTACGGCCAGTGCTGCACCGATCCAAAGCCAGGAGCCCAGATCTCCTTCTGGGTCTCCCATGCAGATGCAGGGTCCCAAGGCTTTGGGCCGTCCTCGACTGCTTTTCCAGGCCACAAGCAGGGAGCTGGATGGGAAGTGGAGCTGCCAGGATTAGAACCGGCACCCATATGGGATCCCGGCACATTCAAGGCGAGGACTTTAACCACTGCACTATCACACCGGGCCCTAGTTCAACTCTTTTTTTTTTTTTTTTCTTTTTAAGATTTTATTTTATTTTTATTGGAAAGGCAGATATACAGAGAGGAGGAGAGACAGAGAGGAAGATCTTCCGTCCAATGATTTACTCCCCAAGTGAGCGCAAGTGAGCACAATGGCCAGTGCTATGCCGATCCGAAGCCAGGAGCCTCTTCCGGGTCTCCCACGTGGGTGCAGGGTCCCAAAGCTTTGGGCCGTCCTTGACTGCTTTCCCAGGCCACAGGCAGGGAGCTGGATGGGAAGTGGGGGCCTCCAGGATTAGAACTGGTGCCCATATGGGATCCCAGGCGTGCAAGGTGAGGACCTTAACCACTGTGCTACCGCACAGGGCCTGCTAGTTCAACTCTTAACGGACAAATCTGTTCAGGTGTTTTCTGTCTTGCCTTTAGCAAAACTCCATTGCTTATTGCTGTCAGGACCTCTTCTCAGGATCTCATTGTGAGGTCCTAGTGAGGGTGGCCAGTCATCATGGTTTGAGCAGACCTATGGCAGTTGCAGCCCTGGAGGTCCCACAAACCAAGAATCTCCCAGAGGTTGGTCATCTAACTAGAGCCTGGCCTCTCTTTGATACACCTGTTACAGTGTAGTTTCATAGGGTCTTACACTTTTGGCTGGCTACCAGCCAGTGAGAGCTAAGCTAGAAATGAAATCAAGCCAATTTGAGACACTAATATGGAAACTGTCAGACTGAAACTGGAGTCATTTGTGTACAAAATAATATTATTATTATTATGTGTAATAAAGAAATAAATTATAAACAGAACTGGGACCTGGGCAGAAGTTGTGGTGCATTGAGCCAGATCTCTGTCTCATATAAGGGTGCCTAAAGGTAGTAGATGAGAGCTCAAGTGCTTGGTCCCTTCCACCCAAGAGGGAAACCCATATGGAATTTCGGGTTTCATTTTTTGGCTTGGTCCAGCCTGGCTGCTTCAGGCTTTTGGAGAATAAACCAGCAGATGGAAGATTATCCTCTGCTCTGTCTTTATTTTTTTTTTCTCTACTTTCAGTACATTTTCTGAAAAATAAATGTTTGACTGAGAGCAAAATCTGTCACAAAAGATTCTGCCAGAACCACCATGACCTTCCAAAAAAGCCACTATAGCAAGTACTTTTGTGGACCTGGTGCAATGGCTCAATCGCTAAATCCTCCCCTTGCATACACCAGAATCCCATATGGGTATCCCAACTGCTCTACTTCCCATCCAACTCCGTGCTTATGACCTGGGAAAGCAGTAGAGGACGGCCCAAAGCCTTGGAACCCTGTACCCATGTGGGAGACTTGGAAAAAGCACCTGGTTCCTGGCTTCAGACTGACTCAGCTCCAGCCATTGTGGCCATTTGGGGAGTGAAGCAGTAGATGGAAGATCTCTGTCTCTCCTCACTGTGAATTTGCTTTTCCAATAAAATAAATCTTAAAAAGAAAAAAAAGTACTTCGTGTAAGTACATATATGCCAACAACTGTTTGTTCAACCTTGAACTCATGCCAGCCTGGTTACTCATCCTTGTGGCCAAGAACTGTTGCTTATTGTTGCAAGAAAATTTTCATAATCTTCATTTTGGCTTTTTATTTTTAATAAGCTCTGGCAAGATTAAAAAATTTTTTGCGTGATGGATTTTTCCACACACTGTCCAATTTGATGCTGCTGCCATACGTCCCCTTTAAATATACCTAGAATTTTCATGACATTCATATTCCACATTGCACACTCCATGCTTATTCCCAAATAAGCATCATTATTCTTTAGAATCTCTGTTACTTAGTTTCACACTAGCAAATAGACACAAGAAATCAAGAGGAAAATACTTCAGAGAACTCACTGATTTTAAAACCTTTGAAATAGTTACCATAGGATGTCACAACTTTGGCTTCTTTATGGTTTATTTTAGATATAGTTGCAAATTATATCTGGGCAGAGGCACTATAGTCTTAGGACATAGAGTCTCAGAAGGCCTTAAAAGTATCCTGACCTTGAAGAATTTAAGACCAAAAATAATCTTTTATGTTTACCCACATGCTTACTGTCTCTAGTGTTCATCCTCTTCCTCACGTCCAGATTCCTATTGGGCACCATTTTCAATCAGTGTAAATAAATTCCTGTGAAATTTTGTGTAGTATGGACCAGTTGGTAACTGATTTTAAAAAAAGGTGTATCTTTTTTTTTTTTTTTAAAGATTTATTTTTATTATTTTTTCATTGGAAAGGCGGATATACAGAGAGGAGAGACAGAGAGGAAGTTCTTCCGTCCGATGATTCACTCCCCAAGTGAGCGTAACGGGTCGATACTATGCCGATCCGAAGCCAGGAGACTCTTCCAGGTCTCCCACGCGGGTGCAAGGTCCCAAAGCTTTGGGCCGTCCTTGACTGCTTTCCCGGGCCACAGGCAGGGAGCTGGAAGGGAAGCGGGGCTGCCGGGATTAGAACCGGCGCCCATATGGGATCCCGGGCGTGCAAGGCGAGGCCCTTTAACCACTTGCGCCACCGCGCCGGGCCCAAAAAAGGTGTATCTTTTGTCTTCAGTTTCTAAAGATACTTTTCTCAGGCCCAGCCCAGTAACCTAGCAAGTCGCTATGCACATTCCAGGATACCTGTGGGCGCCAGTTCTAATCCTGGTGGCCCCACTTCCCATCCAGCTTCCTGCTTGTGGCTTGGGAGGGCAGTCAAAGCGTTGGGACCCTGCACCTGCATGGGAAACCCTAAGGAGGCTCTGGGCTCCTCGCTTCAGATCGGCGCAGCACTGGCCGTTGCTATCACTTATGGAGTGAATTATCAGACAGAAGATCTCCTCTCTGTATATCTGACTTTCCAATAGAAATAAAATTAAAATACACCTTTCTCACTGGCTTTGCAAGTAGAATTATGATTTGAAATTTTTTCAGAATTGTTTCTTTGAGCATTTTAGAGATGTCATTCCAATGCCTTCTCTCTCCACTTGTTTCTGAGAAGTAGATAATGTCCTAATTTGGGGCACTGAACATAATATGCTTTAAATTTTTTAAATTTTTATTGGAAATGCAGATTTACAGAGGAGAGATACATAAAGAAAGATCTTATGTCTGCTGCCTAGCTTCCAAATTGGCCATGACAGCTGCAGCTGAGCTGATCCAAAGCCAGGAGTTAATTTTTTTTTTAAAGATTTATTTATTTATTGGAAAGTCAGATATACAGAGAAGAGACAGAGAGGAAGATCTTCACTTCACCAAGATGATTCACTCCCTAAGTGAGCGCAATGGCTGATGCTATGCCAATCTGAAGCCAGGATCCAGGAACTTCTTCTGGGTATCCCACACAGGTACAGGGACCCAAAGCTTTGGGCTGTCCTCCACTGCTTTCCCAGGCCACAAGCAGGGAGCTGGATGGGAAGTGGAGCTGCCGGGATCAGAGCCGGGCCCCAAGAGTTAATTTTAATTGTGCATAAATTATCTGTTACGCAGCCTCACGATTGTGTTGGACAAATTACATGTAATTCACATTCAGAATGATTGGAAACAGGATGTGACACCATCTCCTTCCACAAATGCAACTGTGAATGTAGATTTCAAAAATAATAGAGTGGGCCCGGCACGGCACGGTGGCGCAAGTGGTTAAGGTCCTCACCTTGCACGCCTGGGATCCCATATGGGCGCCGGTTCTAATCCCAGCAGCCCCGCTTCCCATCCAGCTCCCTGCCTGTGGCCCGGGAAAGCAGCAGAGGACGGCCCAAGGCTTTGGGACCCTGCACCCGCATGGGAGACCCAGAAGAGGCTCCTGGCTTCGGATCGGCATAGCACTGGCCATTGCGCTCACTTGGGGAGTGAATCATCGGACGGAAGATCTTCCTCTCTGTCTCTCCTCTCTGTATATCTGCCTTTCCAATAAAAAAAAATAATAAATAAATCTTTAAAAACAACAACAAAAAAAGAAAAATAATAGAGTGGCGAATGAGCTCAAGGGGAGTTTATTGGAGGGGAGCAAGCGTACTATTTTGTGTGTGCTCAAGCAATGACCCCCTAGAGAAAGGGAGAAGGAGAAAATGCAGGAGAGAGGAGAGCATAGACGAGATCCCAGTGTGGAGGGGGTCATGGGACCAAGCGCATACTGAGCATTGGCCTTTGAGAGGATAAGAAATGCTTTGACTGGGTCCAGCACAGTCTAGTGCCTGGTGGCTAAAACCCTGCCTTGCAACTGCTGGGATCACATGTAGGCACTGGTTCATGTCCTGGCAGCTCCACTTCCCATTCAGCTCCCTGATTGTAGCCCGGGATAGCAGTCGAGGATGGCCCAAAGCCTAGGACTTTGCACCCATGTGAGACAACTGGAAGAAGCTTCTGGCTCCTGGCTTCGATTCAGCTCAGCTCCAGGCATTGTGGTCACTTAGGGAATGAACCAACGGACGGAAGATCTTGCTCTCTTGTCTCTCCTTCTCTATATATACCTGACTTTCCAATAAAAATAAATCTTTAAAAAAGAAATGGTCTGAGCATAGCATTAAGGAACACAGGCGAGTCCTAAAGAAGTAACTGGAGTAAGTTATTGGGGATGAGTGGAGGCCTTCCCATTGGCTGGACCCCAAATGAGCCCCACTCACCCTGCTCAGACTTTGGCCCTTTATTTGTGGTGGGAGGTAAGGTTGTCACAGTCCTCAACAACCTCCATATCCCTTACCCAGTCCCACATCTTTACCCCGTCTGGCTGACCTCAGCTGTGTGGAACACAATTCCTTTCTCCTTGGAGCATCACTTTTTTCTTTTTAAGATTTGTTTGTTTGTTTGTTGCAAAGGCAGATATACAGAGAGGAGGAAAGACAGAGAGGAAGATCTTTGTCCGATGATTCACCTCCCAAGCAGCACAACCGCTAGAGTTGAGCCAATTCGAAGCCACGAGCCAGGAGCTGCTTCTAAGTCTCCCATGCAGGTGCAGGGTCCCAAGGCTTTGGGCCATCCTTGACTGCTTCCCCAGGCCACAAGCAGGGAGCTGGGAAGTGGGGCCACCGGGATTAGAACCAGTGCCCATGTGGAATCCCGGCACTTACAAGGTGAGGCACCAAGCTATCACACCAGGCCCTGGAGCATCACTTTGATCAGAAGCATCACTGCTTGATTTTGCTGCTCCCTCACTGACTCCTCCCACTTAGCCTCCCTGACTTCCCCTGCTTACTTAAAAAGGGGTTTCCAGAGCACAGCCTTTCTAAATAACATTTATTTGAAATACAGAGTTAAAGAGGGAGAGAGAGAAAAAGATCTTCCATCCTATGGTTCACTTCCCAGATGGCCACAATAGCCAGTTAGGCCCATCCAAAGCCAGTAGCCAAGAGCTTGCTTCAGTCCTCCACATGGGTGCAGGAACCCAAGACCCTTGGGCCATGCTGCCTTCCTAGGTACACTAGCAGGGAGCTGGATCAGCAGTGGAGTAGTCAGGCCTAAAGCCAATGCCTGTAAGACATGCTGGTACCACAAGCAACAGTTTTACCCACTGCACCAGCAGCGCCCAGAGCCTAGTTTTTACTTTTCCATTTGCAGTTACACACAGGGTGACCTCATCTAGTCTCTGTATGCTGAAGGCTGTCATAGTTATCTAATCTGGACCTCTTCTGTCTCTGGCTTTACACATCCAGCTCCTCTGCAGCACTCTCCGCCCCCGCCTTCGATATCTGACACCCCAAATTCAGCCCACCCAGACTTGAACTACAGATTTGATTCCAAAATATGCTCCTCTCTCAATTCATGGGTACTCTATCCTTTTTAATTTAGTTGAGCAAGCCACAATTTGGGGGTTCCTCCCTAATACTTTTTTTCCCAACCTCTGGGAATTCTAGCAGCTCTACATTTAAACTATACATATGCAAATCTAACTACTTTCCACCGTGGTCTAAACCCTGTTTGAACAGCCTGGATTATTGCAGCAAGCCCCTGACTTGCCTCTCTTTGCTTCTGCCCTTGCCCCCTGCTGCAATCAATTCTCCACCCAACATTCAGTGGCCTTCGAAGAGCCCACATTACATAGACCAGGTGACTGTTCTGCCCTGAACCTTTCCATAACTTCCCATCTGTGGATAGGAGAGCTGTACTTTCCATTTTCAACTTGAACTTGAAGCCAGGCTGTGGATCTGCCTCCCCCAAGCTCACTGGCCACCCAACTGCTGAGTATCTGAAATGACATCGGCCTTTATTAGACTAAAAGTAAAACAAAGCAAAGGGAATGAATAGAGGTGAAGAAAGCCAGACTGTATTCAGCAGCTTGAGTGGAATGCCCAAAGGTAAAGGCTCAGCAGCCTCTGGGTTTGGACAGAAGAAAACTCAGAGGATCAACAGAATTTGCTAACTGGGAGGTCCAAACAGTATGTGCTGCAGAAAAGGTCAGAGATTGGGAAAGATGGGCTTGGTCACAAGCAGGCAGAACAGGAAAGGAATCAGGTGCAAAGAGCAAGAACCAACCTGTCATCTGAGCCTGGCCCCTCTGCCCATGGATGGGGCAGTTCCTGACCATGCAATGGACGCAGGCTGGTTCTCTGCCTGCCTGTGTTAAGCTGAAGGTCTGCCTGTACCACAAATAAGCCCCTGTCTTAACAACAGGAGTGTTGTAGGGTTTTTGACCCCGAGTACAGCAGCAACCTCAATTCTTGTCTCGCAGGAAAGAAGAATTTTTGTGCGGATACAGTTTAGTTTTAAAGTAAGATTTATTAGAAAAGTTGAGAAAGGAGACTCCTGTCCTAGTGACGGGAGGGGGCTTTGAGATCCTCTGCCATAGTGGCAGGAGGACAAGTGAAAAGACTCTAGTGCTCTGCCATAGTGGCAGGAGGAAAAGTGAAAAAGATCCATATCAATGGTGGGGAAAGCATCTTTTAAAGGTTTACCTCAAAAATGTTTCTCCATAAACAAAGAAAATTCCTGGTTTCCATGGTACCTGGCCTTGGGACAAAAGGCCAGAAAGGTGTCACTGGCCAACTTCCTTGGTCCCTTTCTAATGATAAAGAGGCCGGTCTGAAGCCCTCCCCCTCGGCACTGGCTGGAGACAGAATGGGGCTGAGGTTTCAGGTGGGGAATTGATATGTTAATGTCGCCCTTGTCTCTTGGGAAGCATTCCTAATAAGTTAAGATGTTCATTTGTCTCAGAAGAGAGGTGCTCTGGTGAATTCAAGACGTGGTGGGGAAAATACCCCTTTATATTTGAGAAAATAATGAGGACTTGGGGACCCAAAATACCCTAACTGCCTACTACCCAGTCTAACTCCTCTCACAGGAGTGGGCGTGGACAGCAGGAAATAGGAGACAAGGCCAGGCATGAGCAGAGGCCTCAGGCTGCCCCCCACCCACAGTATTCCCACCTCCATGTCAACAAGCCTTGGCAGTGCCTCCATCCTGGCAACAGGCAAACCAAGAACCCACCTCAGATATCAGGCCTGGTGTCCCCGAGGGCTCATAAAACACAAGTCTCCCTGGGCCTCTGCCTGAAGCAGAGAAAGGGATGCAAAATAAGTGGCTATTGGGACCCAGAGTACCCCTCTGCAGCACAAACTGGAGACTTGGGTCACCCCTGAGGCCCAAGTCCTTGAGAAGCAGCCCTCTGGGCTCTTTGTGGGAAGGGAGGAATGCATGGAAGCGTCTGTTGCTGCAGAGAGGATCTGCCTTAACCAAAGGCCTGGAATGTGGAATGTGGCAGGTCAGGAGCACGGTCCTGTATAAATGAGCAGGATGTTTGCTGCAAGAGGCCAGCTTTTCCCACACAATGTAAGCCTGCATCTGCTCCAGAGCATGAGCATTCAGGAAGGTAAGGGCTACAGGAAGAGGCTGGCCTACTGGCTTGAGGCCTGGGGCTGGGTGCATCCCACATTATGGAAAGAACTGCAGACACCTGCAGAGGGCAAATTCCTTCCTTCCCTTAAGCCTCTACCTGCATAGAAGACTGGAGATGCCTCTTGTGATCCCTGCCGTGCTAGGAAATAAGGAAGCCTGCCTGTGACCTGACCATTCTCAGAATGGGCTCAGGAGCATGTGCTCCCCTACCATTTGAGCTTCTATAGTGGCAGGGGCCTGGAGCTTTCCCCCTTCCCGTGGGTGAAAATGGTAGGAGAGCAGGGATGCCCTGCTGCCTGCCTTTCCTCGTTGGCTGCTGCTCTAGTCCTCTGGGTAGATCGCCTTGCCGCCACAGCTTAACTCTCTGAGCTCTGCATTCTGGCCTCCCATACAATAGGCATTGGAAATGTCTAGATTAAAGAAATGAAAGGCAGGAAGGGCTGGTTCATCTTGCTGATGCCAGAAGTAATTCTGTCTGTGCCTCAGTTTTCCATGAGTAGGATTGCAGAAACAGGAGATAGTCCTACCCGTCAGGATCTCCACCAAGCCCACTGTGAGTGCCCGGGGTGGAGTGGGGGGGTGCCGTGTCCTTAGGGACAGGCATTCTGGGTGTCCCCACAGTGGCCACTCTCTCTTCTTTCCCTCTTCCCCTCCCAGGCTTTTCCTCCTTCAGGGCAGGAGCCTGGTACAGAGGAAGCAAAAAATTAAAAAATAGAGAAGATTGAACAGATGAGAGCGGAGAGTTGTGACCTGTCTCTCATGACTGGGAGAGGTTTGGTGTCAGGGCACTGTGGTGTTTGCTGCATGTCACTTGAACACTCGGGAGCTGGACATGGTCCCCGCTGGGACACCTACTGTTGTAGGAGTTTTGACCCCGAGTATGGCAGCAACCTCAATTCTTGTCTCGCAGGAAAGAAGAATTTTTGTGCGGACACAGTTTAGTTTTAAAACAAGATTTATTAGAAAAAGTTGAGAAAGGAGACTCCCATCCTAGTGATGGGAGGGGGCTCTGAGATAGAAAGGACCCTTACCCCTGCTACAGTGGCAGGAGGAAAAGTGGAAAAAGGAGACCCATATTAATGGTGGGAAATGCACCTTTCAAAGGTTTACTTCAAAGAGGCTCTCCAAGGACAAAAGGAAATTCCTGGTCCTCCTCGTATCTGGCTTTGGGGCAAAAGACCAGACAGGTGTCAGACCTTGGACATTCCTGGCCTTGGGAATATGAGTACTACACTTTCTCCAGTCTTCTTTTCAATGATAAGGAGATCAGCCTGAGGCCCTCCTATACTATGGCTGGAGATAATGGCTGATGCTTTAGGCGGGGAATTGATATGCTAATGTCACCTTTGTCCCTTGGAAGAGAGGTACTCTGGTGAATCCAAGACATGGTGGGGAAAATGCTCTTTTATATTTGAGGAAGAATGATGACTTGGGGACCCAGAATACCCTAACTGCCTACTACCCAGTCTAACTCCTCTATCACCTCGACAGCCCCACCTCAAAAAGCTGTGACTTGTTTGCAGTCAGGAAGGGACAAGGCGCCTCCTGCAGAGGCCCAGGCATTTGAGGTTGAGGCTCAAGCCCTTGACCACATTCTGCCACAACTGTGGGTTCCTCACTTTCCACCCGGGAGAATAGTAGACTCACCACACAGAGTCCGTAAGGGCTAGGCGAGGTGCAGTGTCTCCAGTGCTGTGTATACCAGTTGCTGTATATCACTGTTATTATGAGGGGCCACAGTCAGCCCCATTTGGGGCGGATGCAGCCAACTTTTTCCTCTGCAGGACAAGAGCGAAGCCGCCAGGGGAGCCCTCTCCAGGAGGCCTTGTCGCCCCAGGCCCAGCTCACTCCCCCCAACCCTGCCTGAGGAGGAGACACGCAGGATCGCACGGATATTTTCTTCTCGGTGCTCCCAGAAAGACTAAGAAGGCCCACGCTCTGCCTTGTCCAGCCTGCCGGAGTAACTGGGCCTGGTTCCCTCAGGACTGGTACAGCCCTGAGAACACCGCCAGGCCAGTCCACCAGTGCCTTGAGATCCAGTCCCAGCACAGACCCACAGCCACCTGCCAGGACTCCTTCTGTGGTGAGGCAGTGGATTCTAGCACCCAAGTGACCCACCCATTATTTGACCAAGGGACCCCAGTTAGGTGCCTTTCTGCCAGGATCCCTACCTAAGCAGACTGCTGACCTTGAGCCCACCCCGCTGCCTCATCAGGGAAGTCCGCTTTGCCTTACAGATTGGGAGGGGCTGTGGGCCTCATGCCTGAAGAGGACCCCCAGAGCTGCCTTCAGTCCACGTGCTTGGGAATAAGGGGCTTATAGATTTCAAGGATTTGTATGCCACATTGAATGAATGAGAGAAGAAGAGGAACTCACCTCCTTCGACCTTTCTTATTTGATTGAGAAACTCTAACCATGCTTTTAATTTATTGTTTTTACTTAGCTTTTGAAGGTCATTATGCCTGCCTGTGTTTGAATAAAATCATATGTTTGTATTCTGTGTGCATTTCCTGGGTTGGCCACTGGAATGGAGGTGTTAAGAATTCACATGAGTTCTTAGAGGAAGTTGGACAGTTGCATAGCCTCTCAGAAGCTCATCCGGAAGACAGCCTAGACCATCCCCATGCAACCTTAGAGACCCTATTGCCCTTCCTCCCTACCAAAAATCAGGTTGGCCCAGATCAGAATGAACCCCATATCTCTCTTGCTGATGCTTGAAGCCTGTTAGAAAAAGACGGGGCCCCCAGAACCTGCCTTGTCTCAGGGGTACTGGATCTGACATAGCTGCACAGAGCCCAAATGTTTGAACAACTACCATTGAGCAAGGCCCTGTGGGAAAGCTAAGATGGGGATGTGGGTATGCAGTGTACAGCAGCTGGGCCACAGGGTTGGAGAGGAACTGACATAAGGGCGTGGTTTCACCCCAAGTGTGTGTCATTTCACTCAGTCCTCCACCTATCTCATGTCAAGGGATGGTTTCTAGTGAAACTGAGACTTCAGGAAGTGCTAAGTGCTTTGCATCTGTTTTCACAGCTAGGAAGTAGTATCCAGAGGTGTCACAAGGCTACCACACTCGGTGGTCAAAGCAGCACAGCCGTGAAGTACTCTGAATTCTGGGAATCCCTGGGAGAAAAACCATAGTCCTTCGAGCCATCAGGGAGGACTTCCTAAGAGAGACTGGTCTTGGCGAGAGAGGACCAGAAGAGTGCCATGGGTCACACACAAGCTGAGGATCCAGAAGTGAGCGGCCAGGCTGTTGCTGCACCTCTATGGCCTCCATAAAGCGTGCTCCCTCTGACAGCCCCAGCTGTGTTCCCAGGGTTGTGGTGGAGATCAAATGAGACACTTGTCAAAGTGCTTTTCCTGCACTTGGCACTCAGGGAGCTTGGGAAATGTCAGCTCCACCCACTGGGCTGGAGCAAACCAGTAGAGCGGCAGGTGCAGGGACCAGAGGCAGAGCCTGCCAGGCTTCAGGGTGCATAGTGATTCCGGAACCTGGAGGAGGAGAGGCTGTTCTTCGCCTGCTGCTCTGCATCTGTTTATCCTGGCTCTCCAAACCTCAGGCTGCCTGTCCTCCCTCACCTCCCACCCCAACTTCTCAGCACAGAGCTTTCAAGGTCAGGGGCTCCACCTCCCTTGGGGGCTCAAGGAATCTACAGAAGGTCAGGCCTGAAGGGTGAAGCTCAGGTAAAGAACATTCCTTCCACTCCCTGCCCCAGCTTCTGGAAATAGCCTGCCAGTGTCAGGGTAAGGTCACGGGAGGACACAGGTCTAGAGCCACCGAGGAGGCAGGCAAAACCCACCGCCCAGTTAGGAAAAGGGAGTGTCTGACCAGGATTGTATCCTGTTCTGCAGTATGGATTAAGGCACTTGTTCCAGAACTGCCCAGTACTCCCTCTACAGAGGCATGGGGAAGGGGTGGGAAATATGGGTGTTTCTGGTCACCCCTCACAGCCTGTTCCAGCCCTGCTTCAGGAAGCTCCCAGGCTGGAACAAACTTAACTCCCCTGCCCACCCTGGGATTCCCCCAGGACCTGTTATCCCCTAGTTTGGGTTCCCACAGTATATTGCTCCCTTGTAAGTTCCCCCGCCACCTCCAGGATGGTAATTCCAGGTGGTCTTCAATAGCCCCAGCAGCTACCGCCCTTGTAGCAGTTACACAGCAAGGACATGGCCTGGTCCAGGGAACGGGACAGGTACAGCCCACACTTCTCACTGGGGCGTCTAGATTTCAGCTCACTTGCCCTGTGTCCGGGGCTCCATGCCCAAGTATAGAAATAGCCTCTACCGAATGCTCTGCACAGAGGCCCCCAACTCCTTTTGCTTCCTGCCCTTCTCCCCACCACCCCCCATGCAACATTCTTTGGCCACTTGAGCAGCAGGTATCCCTAGCATCTGTGGGCTCCAACCCCCTGTGGTTCTGAGACCATCCAGGCCTACTGAGGTCTTGGCCACACCTTCAGGTGGGTGGCCAAAGTATTGCCCACCCATTTCCTAACTGATTAAGAGACCACCAATGGGGAACACCTTACCTGTAGGTTCTCGTCCAACAAGGAAGGGTCAGGGAAGGTTTAAAACCCCAAGATCCTTCCAATGACCCCTTTGATTTATGTCTCTTCTCTCCCCCTTTCGAGATACCCCACCTCCTGACTTTCTCTCTGAAGGTGCTTTCTCCTTCTTCTCCCTTCCCTGCTCACCTGGTCCCTTCACAAACTTTTCTGTCTGCAACCGATTCCAGCTTTTTATTTCTATAATAAGCTGAGGAAAGAACCCACCAGGCTTTTCTGGTAACAGTTCCAGCAGCATCCATCCATGCTGCAGGCATCCATCCATGTATCAGGCCAGGCTGTGCTGTCTGCCAGCTGGAGAACTGGGTAAATCTTACCCTTCCTGGAGTTCTCTTCTCATTTGAAAAATAAAGAATAGTATAATAGATTCACCAGCAATAAAAAGGGAATTCTGATACACACTGCCACATGGGTAAGACGGAATGTACTGCTCAGCTAAAGAGAAGATGCCAGTCACAAAACAGCACATGCTGTGACATTGCTCATATGGAATACTCAGAATAGTTTGAATCCCAGCTGCTCCACTTCTGATCCAGCTTCCTGCTGATATACCTGGTAAAGAAGAGGAAGATGGCCCCTGCACCCAACATGGGAGACTTAGACAAAGCCCCAAGTTCCTGGATTCAGCCTGGCACAGCCCTGGCCCTTACAGCCACTTGGGGAATAATTCAGTAGAAGGAATAGACAGATTTCTCTACTTATCTCTCTCTTCACTCTCTGTGTGTCCTGCTGCCTTTCAGCTAAATCTTTAAAAAAAAATTTTTTTTTAAATAGGCAAATCTTCTGACTAAGTCACAGCATCAACTGATGTGCATGAAGTCAGCCTGTGGCTGGGCTGGGCTCGGCTACAGAATTTATCAGTTTGTGTGAGAGATGGGGTTGGGGCCGAACTGACCAGGCAGGTGCATTCGCTGGTATGTGTGTTGGCAGTGCAGGTGATGGACCAAACCTGACCCTGCACTAGCTGGCACATAGTAGAATCAAGTCTGAGGTCACCTCAGGTGAGGTTTCTTAGAGGACTCCCCAACTAGATCACTGGACTGAAATTCTGGCCACAGGGAAAATCACAGGTTATATGGTCTGACCTTGGAGTGCATGTATCGGGACTGGGCCTCCTCAGTTGCTGATGCCAGTGCAGTGGTCAGCATGCCCAGATGCACACTAGGTACATGACAGCCAACTCCTCTAGGCCAGCAGAGGACATTCTGTCAAAGGATGGAAAGCAGCACAAATTAGACAGCTCTCCTGACCAAGTTTACAGCGTGTTCCTGGATCTATGGCTGTACACTGAGGTGTACTTCGCCAGCTAATAGACCTTGGAAAGATTTTCTCAACCTTGGTACAGTGAAGCTGACAGTGAATGTCTCATATCTACCAAAACTATTCAAGAAGCACCCTCAGAACATTCTTCCCCACATCAGGGTCTCTAAGGTGTCATCAAATGTCTGTCCCCCATCCTTGGGTGCTAATACAGTTGGCCAGCCAGGAACAGTCACCTGCCCTCAACCAGCAGACCAGGAGAATAAAAAGAAAAGAACTGAAACACACATCCCACCCATCTTCCTCCATACCTTCACTTTCTCAACCCTAATAGGAGGCCCACATGGGCACGCATCCCTCTCAATTATGTAAACAATATCAAAAATAAATTACTCCTGGCGCTTTGGTGTAACTAGCTAATCTTCCTCCTTCAATCCCCTACATCCCATATGGGTGCCTGTTCATGTCCAGACTGCTTCACTTCCCATCCAGCTGCCTGCCTGTGGCCCGGGAGAGCAGCAGAGGATGGCTCAAAACTTGTGATCCTGTACCCACATGGGAGACCCAGAGGAAATTCCTGGTTTCTGGCTTCAGACTGACTCAGCTCTGGCCTTGTGGACATTTGGGGAGTGAATCAGCAGATGGAAGATCTTTCTGTCTCTCCTCTCTATAAATCTGCCTTTCAAATAAAAGATAAGTAAAAATGAAATTTTTACAATGAAGAAGTATGTAAATCTCTAGGAGCAGAAAGGAGACTTGCAGTCCCCTGAGGCTGGGGCAATGACGCGATGGCGTTTGGGGGAGTGCAAAAATTGTTCTAAAGTAGATGGTAGCATTGGCTGTATGAGTCTGAAGATAACTAAAAACTATTTGAATCTACACACTTTCAACAGATACTTGTACCACACATGAATTACATCTCAACAGATCTGTCACTTAAAACATCAGGGGGCCCAACACAGTAGCCTAACGGCTAACATCCTCACCTTGAATGCGCTGGGATCCCTTATGGTTACCAGTTCTAATCCCAGCTGCTCAACTTCCCATCTAGCTCCCTGCATGTGGCCTGGGAAAACAGTTGCGGACGGCCCAAAACCTTGGGACCCTGCACCCGCGTGGGAGACCTGGAAGAAGCTCCGGGCTCCTAGCTTCAGATCAGCTCAGCTCCGAATGTTGCGGCTGCTTGGGGAGTGAATCAGCAGATGAAAGATCTTTCTCTGTCTCTCCTCTTTGTATATCTGACTTTCCAATTAAAATAAATAAATCTTAAAATATACATATATGGATAGGGGCCAATTCACCTCTTGTGACATCTACACCTCATATCTGAGTGCCTGGTTCAGTCTCGGCTTCTCCCCTGGGCTTCCTGCTGATGTGCACCTGAGGAGACAGCAGGTGTGGCCAACCAGGCAGGAGCTCCTGGATTCTTGTTTTGGCCCAGGCCCTTATGTTGGAGTTAGCTGATGGAAGATTTCTTTCTCTTCTCCCTACCCCCTCTCTGACACTCTGTCTTTCAGATAAATATATCTTTAAAAACAATTCCAAGTTCTACTAGCGCTGACTCCCAAAGGTGGGAGGTTATGTGCATTAGCTAGCACATAGCAGGCAAGGAGAGATGACACTTGTCTTCCTTCCTGTGATGAAGAGGAGTCCCAGCAAGAAGCCTGCTCAGCCCAGGTAGGAAGCCTGAGGTGACCAGTCGGCCCCCAGGTGCCCCCCGCATGGAGGGGACTCTCCCTTCAGCCTGAAAGAGCTCCATTTGAGGGCGCCACATCCAGGGAACTTGAACACTGTGGATGTTGCCTCCCTGCCCCCACCAGCCTGACTCTTGTCAAGTGATCAGACTGGCACCTGGCTGCTCTGGGATATGGTTTCAGGTCAGCCAGTCTATAAAGACCAGTGCCAAGCTGGAGGCAGCAGAGACCGCGGTGAATGGCCAAGGAGGGGCCCTCAGAACCCAGCTGCTCACCCCAGGGATGGAGCCCTAGGCGGCCGCTGTGCTGCCCCTGCCCTGGCGAGGCCCTCAGGTAGGACCCCCTTTCCCTGCCCCCCACCCGATGTCCTCCTCACCCTCCCTTCTCCCTCTGCCTGTTTATCTCTCATCAGCAGAGGCTGCCGAGGGGCAGGGCTTCTGAGGCAGCACGGCAGGCCCGACCAAGACTCAGCCCAGGCCCCACCGTGTCAAGGTGGGAGCTGCAGCACAAAGGGCACTGGGGCAGACTTAAACCCCAGCACTCATCCTCCTGTGCTCAGGCTGCCCCTGGCAGGATTTCATGATTTCCCATGAACAGGAATCCCATAATCTGCAGAACAGGAAGCCTTCTCCCTTGAGGGTCCTGGGACTTCCTTCCAGACTGGAATGGTGAAGGCTTTCTGTAGGACCTGGCTCAGCAGAATTGTGCATATCAAGTAGCCTGGCAACCCTGAAAGTGCAGTCCAGGAGCCTTAGGTTTGGAAGAAAGGACCCTGCTTTCTCCAGCAAGAGACAGCAGGAAGCATGACCCCCAGGGCCCACCAATGGAGAAAGCAGCGGTAGGATGCTGGGACCCCAAGCAGCCCAGCTCGCTTTATAGGCATGTGGGCAGGGGAATGCCAGGGACTGGGGGGAGGAGGAGGAAGGCTACCGAGACATGCCACTGGGGAAAGTCAGCTGCTCCCACACATACAAAACCCTGCAGGCATTCCAGCTGTGGCCAGGAGCCAGCGCCTCCCTGCTGGGAAGGAGCCAGTCACCTGGCAGCCACTCTTATCTAGGGCAAAGGGGAATGCAGCAGCAGGTGGAGGGTGGCCTAGGGAAGGAATGCATACTCACACCACAGTTCTTGAACTAGCCCTGGCCCAAGGGGCAAAAAACACCACCGCATCCAGGACCTCACTGCCCCAAGAATGAAAATGTAGTGAGCTGGGGTGTCAGCAAGTATGAACTGCTGAGAGCTGACAGCCATCAGCATGAGGGCTTGATGTGTGCAAGGCCAGGCTGTAGCAGCACAGGGCTGCCCTTCACCATGGACCAGCTGCCCAGTGATACCCAAGCTAAGCCAATTGCCTCATAGGTCAGATACCCCTAACTGATTAGCAGTAACATGGCACAGGCAGGGATGTGTGTGTGTGTGTGTGTGTGTGTGTGTGTGTGCGCGCGCGCGCGCACGTCAGTACCTGTGGCAAATATTGGTTCTGGCAGAACAAGGGGAGAAGGCACATTGCTGCGACCTAAGACTGATCCTCCCTAGAGTCTTCACACTGGAGAGAAAGGCAAGTGGGCAGGCAGGCACATCCTCAGCCTCAGGCCCAGGCAGGGATGGGCAGAGCCACTCCTGCAACCCCCAACCACACCAGGTTCTATCCTTCCTTCAGGGGCAGAAGCCTGGTCCAGGAAGCCTGCAGAGTTTGAAGATGCTATCTTTACACACATAGAAGGAATCAGACACTGGGAAGGCTTTTGTTTGTTCCAGGTATAAGTGGTATATGGGATGGGGACCAAGGCAGTGGAGAAGACACAGGCCTGTATCCTCTTCTGGCAGCATCTGAATTCAAGTCTCACCTCACCTCAGCTTCCAATTCCAGCTCCCTGTGAACATGCACCCTGGGAAGCAGCAGGTGCCAGCTCATGTCCCTGGGTGACTGCCACCCATGTGAGACACCTGGTTATAACTCCTAGCTCCTGGGTTACTCCTGGCTTGGCCCAGCTCTGTTATGGCTATGAGGGAGTGAATCAGCAGATAAGAACTTTCTGTCTATATATCTGACTTTTCAATAAAAAATAAATAAATCTTTAAAAATTTAAATATGTTCTAATGTATATTCAGACAACCATAAAATAGAAAGAAGCCATTCTGGACGGACAGCCGCTGGGCTGAGTCACAAGGAGGGGGTTTCACTTTGGTAGAAGAGAAGGGTCTGAATGCATCAGGGAGCAGGCTGAGCACTGGTTTTGGAAGGAGTTATTGGAACATCCCACCCTGGACCCGGCGCCCTTTCTTCTTCCTCACAGCTTACGAAATTCGCCCCAGTCCAGCCATCCACCAATCAGATGTAACCCAGCATTTCGCCTGAGAATCCCACCCCAATCTTCCAGCCCCTTCCCCAACCCCGCCCACTCACCAATCATCCCTAGGCATTCACCGGCAGGCACCAATCCCCTGGGGCCTGCCCTCAATCCCTCCCAATCCCCACCCCCCACACCTTGCAGAGAAAAAGGCCCCCAGGTGCGACTCACTCTTTCTCTTCTTCCGGCCTCCCTTCCTTTTCTCTCCACCAACTCCACCCCGTTCCTGCCCCGCTGGAATAAACCTGCTAAGATACCTCGTTGCGTCTGGTGTTTTCAGCTCACGGTAAAGAACCAGGTTGTGGGAATTAGCTGCAAGTAAAAATATTTTAATAATATAAGAACTAGAACTCTGTTTTAAATAACTAACAGGTTTCCTAGGAATCAGCCAGCAACCCCTGCCTGCCCCCTGGTACAAAGGGGAGAGGTGGGGACAGGGGCAGGATGGCAAGATATGAGAGCTGAGAGAGTGACCAAGTCCACAGTCTGTAGTGTGGTCACAGCCCAACCCGGGCAAGAGGGTACAAAGGGGTGGTACTGGGAAACCACCCTTGACCCTGCCTGCTCCATGAGCCTCCCTGCCAGGACCCCTCCCTCCACAGCATCTCCCTGCACACAAGCCTGGGACCACCAAGCAGCCTGTCTCCGTGGACGTCACCTGGCCCTGGGGCACTAGGGCGGAGCCTTCAGGGACCATGGTGGGCCTGAAGCCCTCTGAGGTGCCCCCCACCACAGCCGTGAAGTTCCTGGGCGCAGGCACTGCAGCCTGCTTCGCTGACCTCCTCACTTTCCCGCTGGACACTGCCAAGGTCCGCCTGCAGGTAGGTGTCCTTTGGCCAAGGCTCAGGGCTGGCGCTCCACCGTGGTACGCCTCCCCCCGCCCCCCCCCGCCACGCACACTCCCCTAGTTCCCAATCTTTCTCCTTGCCCCACCCCATCCTCTGTCGGCTCAGATCCAGGGGGAGAACCCAGTAGCCTTGGCAGCACCAAGTGTGCAGTACCGCGGCGTGCTGGGCACCATCCTGACCATGGTGCGCACCGAGGGCCCGCGCAGCCCCTACAACGGGCTGGTGGCCGGCCTGCAGCGTCAAATGAGCTTCGCCTCAATCCGCATCGGCCTCTATGACTCCGTGAAGCAGTTCTATACCCCTAAGGGAGCTGACCGTGAGTGCTGGGGTGGGGGTGGGGGGGAACCCCAGAAACTCCAAGACCAGGGTGGGTAAGGGAAAGCAGAAGCTGGCGTGGGAGTCAGGGGAGCTGAGTAGATCCCATTCCAGGGCAGAGCTGTACTCAGGGTTGTGTTGTGGTGTGTACAGGGCAGTGGGAAGCCTGGCCCAGCTCAGGGGAGGAACACAGGCAGGAGTGAGTGCATGCCAGCAGAGAGCACCAAGGCCCAGCGCCAGAGCCCCACACTCTGTCCCTGCCTCTTCTTCCCACTCCAGACTCGAGTGTCACTGTCCGGGTTCTGGCAGGCTGCACCACGGGAGCCATGGCAGTGACCTGTGCCCAGCCCACTGACGTGGTAAAGGTCCGATTCCAGGCCAGTGTGCACCTGGGGTCCCGCAGCGACAGGAAGTACAACGGGACTATGGATGCCTACAGAACCATCGCCCGGGAGGAGGGGCTCAGGGGCCTATGGAAAGGTAGGCCTGGGCTCCCGGAGGCCGAGTATGCATGGCCTGGCTGCAGAAAAACACCCCTGGCTGCCATCCTGCCTGCCAAAGTTCCACTGCAAATGCCCTCAGCCTGTGCAGGCGCCCCCTGGGGTGGGGCATGGACAGGACCACTCCTGCACCCTGAGGCTGGCAGCTTGGCCTCAGGTAGGATGTTCTAGGTGTCCTACCAGGTGTGGAAAGAGACCAGACTGGCCTCCCAGGCTGGACCTCAAAGGCCAAGGAGGCATTTATTGAAAAGCACAAATCAAGGAACTGGGAGCTACTGGCTAATTCCCAGGCTCCCTGAGGAGTTAAGGGTGTCTGCCTGTTTTCTGAATTCACTACCTTAAGGGAGTGACCCAGCTGGTCTTCCAAGTTTCTTACAGATTGAAGCTGGGGCTAAGAGGTGTGTGATCAGCTCATGGCCAAGTTCCTGGTTGGCCAGTGGAGCTTGTAACCCTTCCTTTGATTAGTCAGTGATGCCATGCTCTTTAGCAAATTGATGATCACCAGGGGGGCTCCAGCTGTTCTGGGTTTTCAGGGAGGTGGCAGTTACATTCTGCCCATTCCTTGGATTTCCTGCACAAATCACTCCAGGACACACTGGCCATGACATTCTTATCTATTGGAGAAGCAAATGACTCACTAAGTTCAGTGATTAGGTGAGTCACTCCCTTAAGGCAGTGAATTCTGAAGACAGGTAAAGATAAGAGAGACAGACAAGGGGCTGGGTCCTGCTTGTACATGATGGGGGTCTGGTTCCAGGAGGATGCTAAAGGTACCCAAGGGAAGCTGCTGCGATGACTGGGGTACGGCTTCCCTGTACCTGCAGAGTGGCCACCTCAACACATGTCTACCTTTTGCAAATGGACAGGAATTCTTTTGAGTATTGTCAGGACAAGCAATGGCCTGGGAAGTTTCGGGGCAGACACCACGGTCCCTGCCCAGCTCTGTGCTCACTTGCTGCATGTCCACCCAGAGCACTCTTTTGTGATCCCACTCCCTGAGGACCATGCCAGCGCCACATTCTGTCGGACCCCATTCTTCCAAATAATGAACACGTTTCTTGACAGTAGTCCAATCTCACAGAGGCAGATTTTAGGTTATCCTCCAAAGTGTGCCCCACTCCATCCAACACAAATGGGCATCTGCGTGTTCTCTCTCCCTGAAGAAATCACAGCTCATTCAGAGTTGCTGAGCCTGGGAGGCAGATGTGGCTCCTGCTTAGCAGGGGTTAGACTCCTCCAGCTGAGGCACTGGCGGCCCTGCCTATCCCATGCCAGGGTCTGTGGTCTGGTTAATTAATCATCAGTGTCCCATTCACACCCCCGCCCCTCTCCTAACAGGCACTTTGCCCAACATCACAAGAAATGCCATTGTCAACTGCGCTGAGATGGTAACCTACGACATCATCAAAGAGAAGCTGCTGGACTCACACCTGCTCACAGGTGAGGCCTGGGGCTGTTGGTACACAGTCCTCCCTTCTCATTTAAAAGGAATGGGAGGTACCTTCCAGTACAGTATTGGGGTGGGGAGGATAGAAACCTGGAGCCGGTGCCAAATCCAGCACCAGTCCTCACAGTGATCTTGAAGTGAGGATTTCTCACCTCCAGCAAGGTGGTTGAGCTGGATGAATCTGGCTCCAGGATGGCCCAGTTCTAGCTCAGCAAGAGCTTAGAGAGAGCTTTGGTCCCCAGGCACTGAGAGGGAGGATGGGCAAAGTTCCTGGTGGCCCTGGGAACTAATGCTTAGCACAAGGAACAGAGCACAAGTATTTCCCTGATGCTTGGTCCTTCCCCTCCCCACCCGCCACAGACGACTTCCCCTGCCACTTCGTCTCTGCCTTTGGAGCCGGCTTCTGTGCCACGGTGGTGGCCTCACCAGTGGACGTGGTAAAGACCCGATACATGAACTCCCCTCCGGGCCAGTACCTCAGCCCCCTGGACTGCATGCTCAAGATGGTGGCCCAGGAGGGCCCCACAGCCTTCTACAAGGGGTGAGTCACCTCCAGTGTGTAGCTCTCTGTGTGTCCCCAGTGACACCCCTGACAAAGTCTGTCTGGGGAAGCACAGGCGAACAGGCCAGCTGCTACGCCACCAAGGAGAAGTACTAAGAGCTATGACAGTGAGATGGGCAGAAAATGAGCCAAACCTACCTTGGGGAACTAGGGAAAGACCCTAGGAATAGGGACAAGGACTTTCCCCTCTGGACCTTCCTGGGCAGGAGTGGAGGAGGGAAAGGAAGTTAGCACACCCAGTCTCTGCCCACACCCTGGAGGCCACAAAGGTACCTTCGCCACCCTAACTCTCCGCCCACTCTCCTGCTTCTATGTCTGCGGGTTACCCCACCCTCTGTCTGCTTGAACAGAGAGGCCCAAGAACTTGAGCCATTCTCCACTGATTTCCCTGGCCATTAGCATGGGGCTGAATAGGAAGTAGAGCAGCCAGGACTAGCAACTCAGCGATGCAGGTGGAGGTTTAACTTGTTACATCAAGTTGCCAGCCCCTATTTGGTATCATTTTATGGTGTTTATCACCTCCTACCTCATGCTACATATGGTGTTTACAGGCTTAAAGCCTTCCCTTGCACTCCTTACAGCCCAAGGCTGATGGTTTCTGTGACTTTTATCTCCTGGCACTCTTAGTGCAGAGCAAGCACTGGACAGTTTGGGTCACATGAGCTCACATTGGCAGTTGAGTCCCTTACGTTATCTCAGCAACCTCCCTGGGCTGGGCAGCTGTCTCCATGCTTACTGAGGAAGTAGCTGAGTGCTAGAGAAATCAAGTAACTTGTCTAAGATGGCAGAACCAGGGCTCCCCCTCAACCTGGAGCTTCTCCCACAGGTCAGCTCTCCACTGGCCTGTTCACCTCCCACCATGTCTCCATCAGATCATTGTCTATCTGGGACCCTGAGGTTAGGTCACGTCCAATAAGCCAACAGGAACCACTCTGGAAACTCTGGGCATCCATAGTCAAATTGTCTTCCCATGGAGAGGCTACCTGACAGACAGGTGCTCCGCCGTGCCAGTTGTTGGCTGGAACACTTGTCTCAGTTTATTCTTTCACTTGTGAAATTGTTTACTGAACACATATGTGTTCAGGCCCCGTGTCATGCTCCCCTCAAACAGCAGCAGACAGTGGGTGACCTATAATGGGTGTTAGTGGACCCTGCGCAAGGAAATGGGCTCAGAAAGATTAAGGAGGGTTTTTTGTTTAATTGCTTGCTTGTTTTTTGAGCTGGTATAAACTGGTAGACCTAGGATTTACTTATATACATATAATTTTTGTTTACATATATATTTCATTTTTATTTGAAAGAGTTTCAGAGAGAAAGAGAGAGATATCTTCCATCCACTGGTTCACTCCCCAAATAAGCACAATACCCAGACCTGAGCCAATCCCAAGTCAGGAGCCAGGAGCTTCTTCCAGGTCTCCCTCATGGGTGCAGCAGCCCAAAGCCTTGAGTCATCCTCCCCTGCCTTCCCAGGTCATAAGCAGCAAGCTGGATCAAAAGTAAAAGTAGAGCCATAGGAACACATATGAGATGCTGGTGCCATAGACAGAGACTTGGCTTGCTACACCATAGTGCAGGCTTTTAGAGCTAGGATTTTAACTCAAGTTAAAAGTCTGGCTCTGGAGTTCACACATGCTGTGAACCTCTCTGAGCTCTTGGAAAAGGCCACAGCTTGAAACCTGCCAAGCTGAGTCCTTCAGACTGCAGAGTGCCCAGTCAGGCAAGGCAGGAGAGGGTGGAAGATGGTCCAGACACAGGAGAAACGGGCAATGATTAGAGATCCTGGTGTGGCTGGGGAAGTGTTAACTAGCTAAGCCATCAGGGACTGAGCTCTAGAGAGGATTATTGGGGAGGGAGACTGGGGGTGAGGAGGAGAGTGGTAGGTCATGCCCAGGACACCAGTGCCTCTCTGGATCTGTGATTGGCAGCCATAGTGAGGACCACCCCCTTGCTATGTATACTACCATTACCCTGACAGGCTTCTAGGGTCTGGGCAGGCAGCCACCCAGGATGTAAACAAGGCCAGAAAGCCCGCTGGCTGGGAGGGTGGAGTCACATCGGGCCTCTCGGTTGAACCCTAAGTCTGAAATTGACTAGCTATGTGGTTTGGGTTGAGCCACTTCATCTCCCTCTGCCTGTTTCTAAAAAACAAGCAACCTGGCAACAGTGCCCCTAGAGAGCCTGGCATAGTCATCTACTTCAAAGTCAGCTCATTTATTTCCTCCCCTGACTCCAAATTTCTGCCTAAACCCGCCCCCCTCCCCCAAGGGATGAGAAAGACACAGTGAATTGCAGGAATGCTGCTGACTGCAGTGAGGGTCCCTCGGAGGCGCCAGCGCTGGCTGCCGGGCAGGAGAGGGGCAGGCTCTTGGCTGATGTATGGGTTGTCTTTCTCATCAGGTTTACACCTTCCTTTTTGCGTCTGGGAAGCTGGAACGTGATGATGTTTGTCACCTATGAGCAGCTGAAACGGGCTTTGATGAAAGTCCAGATGTTTCGGGAATCTCCGTTTTGAACAAACCCCGGTAGCTCATGTGGGACTGAACTTACGCAAAGCCAGTTAACAGCACAGAGCATGGATGCACACAGGTGCAGGCGCTGACTCACACATGTTTACATAAACTGTTCACTTGTTGCTGATTCAAGAGCTGGAAGCCGTGGCAAGCATTCTTGTCTTCAGTGCTTGGTTTCAAGAGCACTTTCATTTGGCATTGACAAGATGGAGAATAAATTATATTAATTTTTGAAGACCATTAGGTTGGATGCCTAACATTTAGGCAAGAGAAAACTAAATAAATACATAAAAATAAAAATAACAAACATCCATTTGGATAAAACCAAAGCTGGCAAGCTTGTGTGCCCTGGAAAAGCTCATGAGGACAGGACAGGGCCATCAGCCATTATTCTAGAGGGAAGCCATGAATGCCAACACAAAGCTGCAACCACAGCCTTGACCGTCATTGCACACAAAGCACCTGCTTGCTGGCAGTGGGTCTGTCACCAGGCTGTACATGTATTCTGGAAAATGTCCGGAACAAAAGGGAGAACCCATGCCCGGGGCACCATTGTGTCATCATGATGGCCTCACAACAGACTCTGAGGATACTGGAGACCCAGAGAGCAGCCTCAATCTTGTTTCCTGCAAAATGGGACTGTTGAGCCCTTGCCTACCTCCCTCCCTCAGGAATGTTCTGAGGGAGAAGTGGGGAACTGAACAGGAAAGCACTTAATCGAACACCACTGAAGACATCTGCATCCCACATTGGAGTTCCTGGTTCAATCCCCAGCTCCACCTCCTGCCTCTATCTTGGTGCAAATTCATACCCTGGGAGACAGTGAGGCTGGCCCAAGGAATTGGGTTCCTGCCATCCATGGGAGGGACTAGATTTGAGTTCCTGGCTCTTAGCTTCAGCCTGCCCATCTGGGGCATCTAGGGAATAAAGTAGCAGATGAGAGAGACAGACAAAAACAAAGTTCTATTAAGCCTTAAATGTAGGTACTTCAAAAAGTACCATGGGAAAAATGGATGTAAAAGATAACATTTTGTTGCAAAAACAAATTGAATTTCATACATAGCCTTTTAATAACCCCCTTTTCATGAGCTTTGTGGTGTGCCCACATTGAAGGACTAAGCCTTGGGAGAGATTTTGTCAGGGGAAGGGAAACTGCCAGGGGAGACATTTTGGAAAGTCATAGTTGCCTAGAGGCAAGATGGAGGGAAACAGGGCCTGATGCTGGTGCGGACAGCTGGTGGTGCCAAGAAGCTACGGGAGCCTAGTCCCCCACAGCCCCTGCTCCCTGGATCTACCAGGAGGTATCTGGAAGAGTTGTGGGGCTTGGGGAGAAGGTGATGGATACCCCACTGGAGCCAGAACTAACAGGATTTGGGTTTTGTGGAAAATGATGAACAATAAAGGACCTCGCACCTTGGCGTGGGAATGAGCACTGGTTTCATAGCTTCCCTTTCTAGGACAGTTTTCCTTTTTCACCCCTTGCCACGTGTGTGTTGGGTTGGTCCAGGTTTGGTACCCACTGCCCTCTCTTCCCATCACTCCAATCGCAGGTTCTGGGAGCTTTGGCTCCACCAGCTACAAGAGCTGGTTTGAAACAGGTACCCACATCCATGCTGAGTGCTGTAACATAATGCCAACTGGCAGTGCTTTTTTCCTGCTGCTGCCTTGCAGGGTGCTGGGGCCTCTGACAGAGGAGCTCAGCCCAAAACCTCAGCTTCACACTTCCTAGCTTGTGGTCCCCCAGTGCCCTAAATGAGTGCAAGCTCGGCCAACCCCACTTTGTTCACTCCTTGAAGGGCCAATCTAAAATGCGTCCCTGGAAGGGCTGCTCCTTCCCTGTCTATGGTTGTATCACATGGAGCAATAGATCCACTCACCCTCAGCCCTTGCTTCATTTCAGTGACCTCTTCCCCCATGCACATACTCAGACTGGAGAGTTCAAAGCAAATGAACAGATTAACATTTTGATGTAGTGTCTGGCTTGACTTCCTTTTTTTTTTTTTTTTTTAAAGATTTTTAAAAATTTAAGGCAGATCACATTTACAGAAAAAAGGAGAGACAGACAAAAAATATTCCATCCGCTAGTTCACTCCCCAAATGGCTGGAGCTGAGGCAATCTGAAACAAGCAGTTTCTTCCAACCCCACGTGGTGCAGGGCCCCAAAGCTTTAAGCCATCTTCCACTACCTTTCCAGGCCATAAGCAGGAAACTGAATGGGAACTGGAACATCTGGGACACAAATTGGCACCCATATGGGATGAGGATCTAGCTATTGAGCCATTGCCTCTAGCCCTGGCTTGGCTTACGCGTAAAACCCATGTTGTAAAATTTCTCTTACCTTGACCAGTATGAGTACATCACTTGCAGTCCCATTCTCGGCATGTGATTTGAAGGACCAGGAACTAAGTCTTCTAGGAATTTCCACAGGAACATGAACACATCACCTCCCTAGGTGCCATTCAGCAAGGGGGGAGCAAATCCATGTCCAAGGTATTTTTGATTAGAACAGGTGCTCAGGCACCTCTGAGGCCAGCCTTTCAGAAAAGGGAAATCAGGGCTTGTGGGAGGTGTTCTGGGACTTACTGGCCAAAACGCTAGATCTCTCCCTACCTTTTGAAAGCCAAAGTTGAATCAGACAAGCATAAGGATCTATCATTCTGTGACCACAAGAACTGAGTGACTGTTAGCTCTAAGGCACAGAGAGCATGCTCTTCCTAGTCCCAGCCTGGAGGTCTGCCCCAACCAGGAAACCAGGGATGAGCGCTCACTCCGAGCTCACCAACCAAGCGCCCCACAGGGAGGGTGGCATTGGAGTTCTGTGGACCTATCCCCCAAAAACACACATTCAAAGAAACTTTGTTTTTTCAAACTCTTCCAGTACATCAGGCAAAAACGGAGATTGTTGGAAGCCTTAGTCACGTCAGTGACAGAATGGATCACAGACTTCATAGAGATCATTTTTGAGGAGAGGTAATAATCTTTAGAGTAATTTTTTTTTTCAGAAAGAGTGAATGCTAAATTAGGGAAGATAATCATCTTTATAGATGAGTGAGTTTGTGACAATGCATGTTAAAAATGACAGGATGCTACACAAACAAAAGTAAACTCATTTGACAGCCACTAAAAGCCACATGCTGTGGGAACCAGTGCTGTGGCCAGCATCCTATGTGGGTTTCTGTCCCAGCTTTTCATCCAGTTGCATGATTATGACCTGGGAAACAGAAGAGGAAGGCCCAAGTCCTTGGACCCTTAGACTGACATGGGGGACTCAGAGGAAGCTCCTGTTTCCTAGCTTTGTCCTGGCCCAGCCCCAGCTATTGTGGCTACTTGGGGACTAAACAAGCAGAAGAAAGATACACTCTCTCTTTAACACTACCTTTCAAATAAATATATATTTTTAAAGCCACACACTGTGTTATGTGCTGAAGTAAACAAGACCAGTCCCGTTTTCAAGGCGGTCATTGGGTGGAGCTGGTGGGACCTGAAACACAGACCACAAGCCACTGTTCATTACACAGGGTGATAGATCTACAAACAGAGATGCAGTGTCATGCCTCCTCCAGTGGAGCCTGCGTGAGAAATCACCAGGCCGAGGCGGCAGTTCAAGGAAGGATGCCTCCTGGATTAGGCTGCATCCCTAGTGGTCTTGGCATTCCTGGCTGTACTCTCTTTGCTCTTATCTTTATGGCTGGAATAATACTATTTATGTGCGGCAAAGGCTCAGTATTCCTTTATGGTTCTATGAAGCCTTCTGACAAGAGACTGACAAGGATTGCAAGCAGTATGGGATAAAAACTATCAGGTCACTAGCTTTATTTATTTGTTTTTTTTAGAGATTTATTTTATTTTATTTTGAAAGGCGGATATACAGAGAGGAGAGACAGAGAGGAAGATCTTCCGTCCAATGATTCACTCCCCAAGTGAGCGCAACGGCCGATGCTATGCCAATCTGAAGCCAGGAACCTCTTCCAGGCCTCCCACGCGGGTGCAGGGTCCCAAAGCTTTGGGCCGTTCTGCTTTCCCCGGCCATAGGCAGGGAGCTGGATGGGCAGTGGAGCTGCCGGGATTAGAACCAGTGCCCATATGGGATCCCGGGCATGCAAGGTGAGGACCTTAACCACTTGCGCCATCGCGCCGAGCCCCAGGTCACTAGCTTTAATAAACCTACTTGGGACTATTTTTGAGAATTCCTAAAAAGAAGATTATAGTAGAAATCTATAGCTTAAAAAGCCATACAGGGGCCCAGCGCGGTGGCGCAAGTGGTTAAAGGGCCTCGCCTTGAACGCCCGGGATCCCATATGGGCGCCGGTTCTAATCCCGGCAGCCCTGCTTCCCTTCCAGCTCCCTGCCTGTGGCCCGGGAAAGCAGTCGGCCCAAAGCTTTGGGACCCTGCACCCGCGTGGGAGACCCGGAAGAGGCTCCTGGCTTCGGATCGGCATAGTATCGGCCCGTTGCGCTCACTTGGGGAGTGAATCATCGGACGGAAGATCTTCCTCTCTGTCTCTCCTCTCTGTATATCTGCCTTTCCAATAAAAAAATAATAAAAATAAATCTTTAAAAAAAAAAGCCATACAGGAAGAAAAACTAAGAAAAATAGACAGGTTAATATTAGAACCAATGTAAGGCACAAAACACAATGAGAACTAGCCACTTAATGATTAAAACTACAACTGGTGCCAAACCACGTCCACAAGAAATAGCAACTGCAGTCTGTCAGCAGGCTATTAGAGAACAATCTTTTCTCAACAGCCCCGCTTACCTCCCTGGAATAATTGTAGAACTGTAGCCACATGAATAAACAAAGAAAATGTCCCTTTGCAATAATCTATTGTGTATAAGTTGATGCCTTGCTTTTGCAAAAGGCACTCAGATACAACTGCCTTGAGTTGTCGTGTCTGTTTGTCACTAGCTGAATCCTTGCCCACTGTTCCCAAGGTCCTGTTCCCATAGGACGGATTGCTCCCGGCTGAGCCGCTCCATCGCAGTGGTGCATAGTTGAGGGCTGCCTGACTTGATCTGGGGACCACCTAGAGGACAAAGAGGAATTATTCATGCTGAGATGGGTGGGTGAACATCATTCCAGGCAGAGGAATGGCTTGTGCATGGCTTGTACCAAAGAACAGAGATAAGACAAGATACATTCCAGATTCTGCAGCTGTCAGTATGATGGCTGGGATGCAGACTTAAGGGAAGTAGTGAGAAAGATGGAGATAAAGGAAGCAAGGTCTGGAGAAGCCATGAGTTACAGACTGTATGCCTGTGAGTACCCCTCACCCCAACTCATACAAGCTCTAAGCCCCACCTGACAGTGTCTGGAGCAGGAGCTTTCAGGAGGGACTTAAGGTTAGATGACGTCATCAGAGTGGGGCATCTCCATAACAGGGTTAGTGCCATGGTAACAGGAAGAGACCACAGCTCTCTCTCCTCACTATGTGAGGACATGGCAAGAAGGCAGGAAGAGCCTCCCTGTCCCAAACGAAACCAGAAGCAACCTTGACCTCGAATTTCTCAGTCTATAGAACTGAAAGTAAATCCCCATCATTCAAGCCAGTCTACGGTGCTTTGTAGTGGAAGCCTGAGCTAGGCACACATGCGAGATAGGCAGCAGAGCTATTTTATTTTATTTTATTTTTGATGATGTTTACATAGTTGGTCAGGGTGGGAAGGGTTGAGGATCAGGGGATAGTGAGTGAGACCATTGTTTACACAGCAGCAGAACGCTTAAGAAAAATGAAGCTCTGCTGGCTTGCAAGCCCCTCTCACAGAGAACCCAGCCCCTCAGAGTAGGACAGCTCAGCCCCAGAAGTCAGATCCCACTTCCTTGACTGTCCCTGGGTACAAAACTTGAAAAACTATCAGATACTTTTCAAGGTTGTCATTATTATTATTATTATCATTAAATTGTTATGTCTTGGAATCACAGTCCTCAGGTAATTCCTCTGTCACAGGTGCTCACAGAGCTGAACAAGAGAAGTCTTTCCCATCGGGTAAAATCCTAGGAACCTTGCCTTGTGTCACAAATGGGTTCATAAAGCACTGCAAATATGAAGGCACCAACGTGGCCTGCAGGGATTTGGGAGGCTGCATCACGCACTGTTTGGCACTTCGAAAGCTCCAGGATGCCCCTGATGAGAAAGCAGAACTGTCTTGACTTCTGGCGTAGAGCAAACAAGAGTCATTTAGAACAGTCACCAAGGAAGTAACTGGGTTCCCAAACCAAACAGAACTCTGCTGTTACCACAACAGAAGTTGACCAGGCATCCTGAGCTGTGTTTAAGAATTCCCCAGTCTAGTTCTGAGTTCAACGAGAAAGTTTGTAGGCGATCTCCTACACACCACCTTTTCAGAAAAGGAAGCCTTCAAATGTTCTCACGTTCCAGTAGAAAACACTATCCACATTTCCTTAACTTTGCTCACTTAAAGAAAAAAATGTGCATTTTTACTTGAAAGGCACAGAGAAGACTGAGAGGGGTTGATGGAGAGGTCTTCCATTCCCTGATTCACTCTCCAAATTGTTGCAATAACTACAGCTTTGCCTGGCTGAAGGGAGCAACCAAAAACTCCAACCATTTTTCCTACATGGGTGACAAAAAAATCAATCACTTGAGTCAAGTAAGAAACCAGATTGGGAGCAGAGGCACTAAGACTCAGACGCACCCTGGGATATGGCACGCAAGCAGCTTTAACCTGCTGTGCTACACCTCTGTTCCTTGTGCAGTCTTTTCTAGGAAGAAGTTTTGACATTGAAAATCTTCACAATGAATCCCTATTTTTCAAGTTTTCTTAAATTTCCACTTAAGCAGCAGCTTGATCCCAAAGTATTTTTTTATGTTTGTTTTTAGCAATTACCACTGTAATTTTGCCTTGAGACAATTTGTACTTTTTAACATATTGATTAAGAAAATTCTAGGCTTCATAATAATGTAATTGATAAGTAGTCGTTATTGTAATAGTGATTTATATATTTGTCAAATATGTATCTTGCTTAATTTTATATTTTGTCATCTACGTTTCAGAGAAAAATGGGAAGAAATTTAACTCTTCGTCTGAAGAAATTTCTTGGGGCCTGGTGCAGTAGCCTAGTAGCTAAAGTCCTCCCCTTGCACATGTTGATATCCCATATGGGTACTGGTTCGTGTCCTGGTTGCTCCATGCTTCACTTCCCATCCAGCTCTCTGCTTGTGGCCTGGGAAAGCACTAGAGGACAGCCCAAAGCCTTGGGACTTTGCACCCACATGGGAGACCCAGAGGAAGCTCTGGGTTCCTAGCTTCAGATTGGCTCAGCCCTGGCCATTGTGGTCATTTTTGGAGTGAGCCATCAGACGGAAGATCTTCCTCTCTATCTCTCCTCTCTGTATATCTGCCTTTTTAATAAAAATAAATCTTAAAAAAAATTATTGGTATTAAAGTAGCAAAACTATAAAGCAATAAACATCCTCTATTGATACAGGATTTGATATGGCATTAAATATTCCTAAGGGACTGGTGTATAGACTAGCACACCAGTGCTAGTCTTGGAATAGCCACATACCATAGCATAGTGCCTGTGTGTGAGCCCCAGCAGCACCCCCAGTTCCTCCCATGTGGGAGGCCAGCATGGAGTTCCCAGCTCCTGGGTTTGTCCTGCTTCAGTTCTATATGATCCAGACATTTGGGGAATCAACCAGCAGACAGAAGATATGGTGTCTGTCTCACTTCCTTTCTGCCTTTCTAATGAATTAAATAAAAAATTCTAATTAATTTAAATAAAAGGCTTAATTATCTTTTTTCTAAGTATAGATACTTTTTAAAGTATAGATACTTTTAAAAATATTTTAAATTTTTATTTGAAAGGCAAGTTTACGCAGAGAAGGAGAGACATTGAGAGACAGAGAGACAGAAAGGTTTTCTACCTGCTTGTTCACGCCCCAAATGGCCACAGTAGCCAGAGCTAAGCCAATTTGAAGCCAGGAGGCAGAAGATTCGTCCAGGTCTCCCATGGCCCACAAGGATTTGAGCCATCCTCCGCTACTTTCCCAGTCCATAAACAGGGAGTTGGATTGGAAGTGGGGCAGTCAGAATCCGAACTGGAACTCATATGACAGGCCAGTGCTGCAGATAGAACATTAGCCTATTGAGCCAATACGCTAGCCCCCAAACTGCAGGTACTTTTATATTTTTTGTTAGTGGAGAAAAAAACTAATATAAGGTACTTCAAGCAGTTCATAAAGACATGGAATTAGAGGAAGTTTAGGTGTGGGCATTGGCAGCACATTAGGCTGCCACTTGGGATGCCTACATCCCCTCTTGAAGTGCCTGCTGGAGTCCTGGCTCTGCTTCTGAATCAGCTTCCTGATACTACACCTGGGAAGGCAGCAGGTGACGGTTCAGACCTTGGGTTCCTGCCCATGTGGGAGACCTAGGTTGTGCTTGCGATCCTGACTTGGGCTTGGCCCAACCCCAAACTGTGGCAGGCATTTGGAATATGCACCAATGGCTGGAAGCTCTCTCTCTCTCCTCTCTGTCTTTCCCATCATCCCTTTCACTTTGTCTTTCAAATAAATATATCTTAAAGCTAAGTTCTGTGCATTTTTTATGATACTCATTTTCCATGAAGTTTTTGAGGACACACATACAATCCACTTGATATTTTTAGGGAATATTAACTTCTCATCACCTGATGTTTCCCAATTTCTCTGACATTTCTTGAACTTCCCCTTTTCAATGTTTCAAATACTATGTATTTGCATTTAACAATCTTAAAGTTTGAAAAAATGCAAATGTGGTGGATTTGCTGGTATGAGGTTAAAATCATAAAATGAAAAGCCTGAAACTTCATCATTTTAATTATTGGTACTCAACCATGTTGACAAAGAAACACATACCACTCAATGACATGGGTAATCAGTAAGTTTTCAAAATGCACTTGTTTGTGCATGCATTCCCCAATTTATCTGCAGGATACCTTATGAAGTGGGCAAGCTGCTTACTAAAAATACAGAGAAATGCAGTGTCTGTAACCTTACTGTGATCTGTCTGACTGCATTTAAAAAAAGGATTTAACAGAAACCCAGTGATCAGTGATCTCTACTTCCCTTATGTGTTCCGACACCATCCTTTCAACAGCCTCTTCATTCTTGTTTTTTGTTTTTTTTTTTTTTTTTTTTTTTTTAGCCAAGAATAAACACAACTCATGTGTGCATACAGTCTTTTGGAATCCAAATTTTTCCATTTTGACAACCAGGGTTACTTGCATGTGCAAGCCTTTGAACACATCCTTTTCTCTGTGTCTCCTCAAAGCTTACTGACATGTTTGTTGAACACCACCAAAAAACTGGTTGGAGGCATTGTTGTAGAATTCCCAAACTGGGTCAGTTCACCTGATGCACAGAAAGCCAATCACTGACATCAGGGTGGTGGAACAAAGCAGGCAGGTATTGCAAAGCACAGAGCCAGGAGCTGGGCAGCTATTACTTAATTCCCAGGCTCCCTGAGGAGTTAGGGGTGATGAGTCTTACAGATTGAAGCTGGGGCTAAGAGGTGTGTGATCAGCTCATGCTCAAGTTCCTGCTTGGCCAGTGGAGCTTGTAACCTTTCCTTTGATTAGTCAGTGATGCCATGCTCTTTAGCAAATTGATGATCACCAGGGGAGCTCCAGCTGTTCTGGGTTTTCAGGGAGGTGGTAGTAGACTCGCCGCTCCCAAAATGTTAAATTTGCAGACCACCAAGGGAAGAATAACTCAAATATATGAAAAGAATTTAGATGGCTTTTATTTCAGGGAACCATGGGCACGGACTTCCCTTCCCCGTGCAGCAGAAAGACAGACCTGAAGGAGTGAGCTGCAGGGGAATAAGAGCACGGAAGAGACGGGGGAAGGGGCCTTTTAAACTCTCCTTGACATGGAAGCCAAAATGGGGGTCACCTCAGCCCTTATTGGTGGGGAGATATGGGTCTGTGCCCCTCACTGGTGCAAAGATGATCTCACAGCCTGAGGTGCCTGCCAGAATTCCACCATCCATTTTGGGTCTGGTTGGAGGCAAACTCCACCCACCTCCGGTTATCGTTGTAGCATCAGATGGCAGTTACATCCTGCCCATTCCTGGAATTTCCTGCACAATCACTCCAGGGCCCAGTGGCCATGAGTTTCTTATCTATTGGAGGAGAAGCAAATGATTCCTTGAGTCCACTGACTGGGGTCAGCTGGATCACTCAAGTCAGTGAATTCCTTTTGATAGAGGACAGGGCTTTGGGAGAGTGACAGGAGCTGGTCCTGTTTAAACATAATGGGGGGTTCGGTTTCAAGTTCAGCAGTGTCACCCCACGTTCACTGAGCAAGCTGGGAATCAATTCATCACAGGCAGGGATAGACGCTTCCACCCAAAAACTAGATCAGCCCGAGTCCCCAACAATTTTTCACTTTGACTTGAGTCCGGGCTCTTGTGTTCTGCCAGGCCTGTGTACTCAGTGTGTTTGTCTTTTCTGCTGTAGTTATCCACTCCCAGGCCCCCGTTGTGCCCAGACAATGACATCTGCGTGCAGACAATACAAGAAACACACCTATGGTGCCAGACTGACCAGGGCAGAGGTCAAAGATGGCCACTGAGCGGGGTTAGGCTGGTGATTTCACCTCTTTGGAATTCCGTTAAAAATGTCCGTGAACTCGGCCCTCGCAGAGCTTCCTGAAGTTTCCATCTTGACCCCGACACTAAAGCTCATCCCCACGGGATCCTCCTACTGTACTTTCCACAGAGCACTTTCCTCAGCAGCCACAGCCGCCGCCCTAGGGACATGTACCAGAAACACGGGAAATCGCTTCCTGCTTTTGAGGGGCTGACAGTGTAGGCGCGGACACAAAGTCCCATGTCCTCCTGACCCTTAAAATACAGTGAGGCAAACAAGGATGAGAAAAAGCACAGTTAGTCCAAGAGCTGGGCGATTCCTAATTCCTTCTTCCAGTTGTTGGTTTGGATACAGGACCCGCTTACTGTTGTGTTCGTGTCTGTCACCCCCACGAGACAGTCAGCCATCTGACATGCCCACCTAACCCGCCCTGTGCCGGCTCTGCTTCCCCCTCGCTGGGCGCCAGGCCATTTGCTCTCTGGCGACTGGGGACAAGAGGGTCACGCTTGATGTCCCTGTCACGTCCAGGCCTTGAAGTCTCCCGGTCCCAGGGCGAGACGGGCGCTTCCGGAAAAGGCGGGAACGCCACCTGCGCCCCTAGACCCACGGACCGTTGCCGGGCCACCTGCTGCTGCAGCTCGGATTGGTTCCTTCCCTTGGCGACGTGGTGGCCTTAACCAATCGACAGCGAGAGCCGGCGAGCGGTCCCGCCCCACCCCGCGGGAGCCTGGAGCTTCCTCCCAGTACCGAGCGGTTGGGTTTCCCGCCAAGAGCAGCGTTTGGGGTCCCCTGGACCCCCGGGGGAGCTGGGCACTGAGCCCCTCGCCAGCCGCTGAGCCGCGGTTAGAATGTTCCCTGCCTGAGAGGCAGTGCGTGCGTGTGTGTGTGTGTGCCCTAGCCAAGTCTCTCCTGCTTTCCGGGCATCCATCTTGCCAACCTCAGGGAACCGGGGAGCATGTGGGAGGGGGTGACTGGAAGGGATGAGGTGAGGGGGAGTCATCGTCTGGGGCGAGGAGGAAGCGGGTAACGCAGGCTCGGTCCGCAGCGAAATGCAATGGCTCCTAGCTGGAATTCAAGGGTCCCCTCAGCCCGCGGCCGAGCCGGTGGGCCCCGCCCCGGCCCGCCCTCGCCACGCCCCGAACCCTAAGTGCAGCCGCGCGCCTCCTCGGACCCCACTGCAAGGCTGGCCAGCCACCCCTTCGCGTCTCGATCGTCTGCGTTCGCAGCCGTCGCCCACCGCCGCCCGCACACAGAGCCGCCGGCCCTTGGTGTTCTCCCTACGGCCCGGTGAGCTCCGACGGATCCAGGCCTGCACCTGCTCTCTCCCCGCGCTGCTGAGTTTCCCTTCTTTTCTCTCTAGTTTGTGTTTTTGCTCTCTGTCCTCGGTTCTTTTTTCGTATCTTTTTTCCTGACTCTTGCACATTCCCTCTCGCGTCCGCTTGGAAGTTCGATGGCCAGAATGACCTCATGTTTCCCAAGTGGCTGAAGGCCCTGGGCCCCCAGTGTCTCTCCTAGGGCTGTTGGTGCAGGAGGAGGCTCCCAGTTGGTCTATCGGGCCCCTGCAGAGCAGGTACCCCACCCCTCCAACCTACTGCTGCCGGGGCTGGGACCTGACCAAGGTGACCACTTCAAAGGCCCCTCGTATCACCAGATCTGCTGACTTTTGGGAGTGCTTATCTAGAGTGTCAGGAAAACAGAAGTCCTAATGGACTTCTCTCCCACCTCTGGTGTGTGCACTTGACTTAGCCCTAGCTGCCCTGAGGGAATGAACCCCACTTTCCTGTCTCCCCTCAAGGCAAGGACTGAAGGGGCTTTGTGCTGCGGTGTGGTGCTTTCGGGGGTGGGGAACTCTCCTCTTGAGCTCTTCCTGTGCCCTCATCCACAGGTTACATAGTATGAACTTGAGGTATTCCATCTCCGGACCATTTTCTATGGAAAACCCAGGGGACTGGGCCATGATAGCCACTGGCAGCTTTGAAGAGCGGGACACCTTTAGAGAAGCTTGATCTTGGAAGCCTCAGCCTGAGACCTTACGAAGCCGGGTAAGAGTTCAGCCCTGGACAGTGGAAGGAGGTGCTCCTTTGGTGCCCCCTAACCCTGCATGTGGGGGGCCAGAGTCAGCCTTGCCCCAGGAAGTGGCTGGTCACAGTTCACAAGCACTTTCATACACAGTGCCATCACATCTGGTACTTCTGTTTATTTTAACCACCAAAGCTGGTAGGCCTCTCGTAACAAAGGAGGAATCTGTGGCCCAGAGGGGAGGCCAGTTGGTTGGTGTTGGCAGCAGAGCCAGGGCATGGGAACCTGTTATCATTTCATGTCGCTAACTGTCCCTAGGACAGTCAGGTGTACTGTTGGTGTTCTGAATGGGTTATTTGATGGGGGCCTTCAAGTGCAGTGACTTCTTTCTAGGCCTGAGTTTTGTTCACTCTTCTTTATTAGGGTTGTTGACACAGGGGTCCTTGGTCCCCAGGTTCACCCCTCCTTCCCCAGGACCCAACTTTTGCCAAACCCACAGCACTGTTCAGCATGTTGGCTGAGCTTCTGAGCACTTGTTTCTGAGCTGGGCAGTGGCTGGGTCTTGTGACATCCTCAGTGCAGCTCTGGGTTAGGCAGGTGACAGATTAATCATTGCATCTCTGATATCCAAAAAGGGGACACTAGCTGCCTGAACCTCCCTAGAGTCATCGAGTTGGTGTGAGAGAACCTGTCTCATGAAAGGCCTGACCTGTACCTGGGGACAAAACTACAGGGAGACAGGCAGCAGTGCCCAGCCAACAGTATCAGCCACAGCCCTTTCCTGCTAATGCAGTGCCCCCAAGCAGCCAGACCCGGAAAGAAGTAGAGCGCCTCCTGGGGGAGAGAGGGTCTCAGAGCAGGGAAGCAGACAGTTTAGGAAGAGGCTCCTTCATCTATTCTGCTGCCACCTGCACCCGGAGCCTCTTGTGGCCCCTAGCAGCTAGAGTGGAGTCAGACCCTGCCCTGTTAGAGCTCCCAGTGCCACTTGCCATAGTGAAAAACCTCTTGATTGCTTTGTTTTGCCCCAGCCACCTGGGTCTGGAAGCCCCAGAGAGGAAGTAGCTGGGGAAACTGTTTCTTGGTCTCTGGGTTACCCTCCTACCCTGACAGGTCCTTCCTCCTGAGCCCCAGCAACAGCAGCAGCCAATCAGGCTGAGACTCTGAAGCAGCTGCTCCTATGAGCTCGGGGAAGGAGAAGCAGGTGGCCTGCCCTCTCTCCACTCCACCCAAGTGGGTGCTGGGCTCACTTCCTCCCCACAGTAGTGGGAGGAGGACAGGGTGTGTTTTCAAGTCTTGAGAACAAAATGGAGCTTTGGGTTTCCTGTACTGAAACTAAAGTGTCCTGACCTGCCCCTCTGTCTCCCTGCTTCCACCTGTGAAGGTGTGTATTCCCCCCACTCCACCCCTGGTGACAGGAGAAAGAAAACTGGCCACAGATGGAGAGTACTTCCCCCACCCCCAGCATCATGGGGCAGGCAGGCCGGCCAGGAGGAGCCCCAGGGTCGCTGCTTCCTACCAGCTTTTAAGAATTCCCCAGGCGTTCTTTCTAAGACCCAGTGCAAGGTTACTGCCTAAGAAGTCTTTTCTCACCACCCATGCTTCTCTCCCAGCACGGTGAGCTGTTCCACCTACTAGTTTTTTGGTGAGTTTTTTTTAGGCTAGATCCTGCAAGCACCCTATGCGCTTAGCTGTGCCCCATCCTGCCTGCCCTGCCCCACCCCATCCCAGGGTAGATGCTGCTCCCATGTCTCGGTAAACCAATGCCCTGCTGAGTAGTCCCATGGGAAGAGGAACTCTATAGGGAAGGACAACAGTGCAGGGGCCCTGGGGACAGGCTTTCCCAGGTGGACTGGCAAGGGATTGAATTTATCATCTTGTCCTTTTGTTTTCTCTCCAACTAGAGTATATTCCAGAACTAGAGGAGGCGCTCTTGTTGGGAGTGCAGAACGCAGACCTGTGGGGCTGACTGGGCCTGCTATCAGCTCTTGGTGCCACTCAAACTGTGGCCTGTCCTGCCAGGAGACCCCTCCCTACCACCCCTCTACTCCAGAAGCAGGAATATGGGCAGTGGCAGGTTAAGGGCTGGGCTGGTGGCTTAACAAGCCATACACCAGGACAGCCGGGACCCCGTACAGAAAGGGGGACAGCCTGTGCAGAACATCACCTCACTGCTCCAGTCACTGCTTGGGCACCACACTCCTGCTTTCCCTTGTGGGCTGCTCAGAGTCCTGCTGAAGGACTTGCAGCTGTCCAGGAAGGCAGGGGTGGCATGGTGAGCAGGGTGGGTCTTGGGCATCATTGCTGATGGAGTGTCTCTTCTCCTGGGCTCAGATTCCGGCAGAGTTCGTCTATCTCGTCTTGCTGTGGATTGAAGGCGCCGCTTCTCCAATTTCTTCTCCGTCTCCTGGGAGGTAGCAGGAAAGTAGCGCCATGGTTGGGTTCAAGGCTACGGATGTGCCCCCTACTGCCACCGTGAAGTTCCTGGGGGCTGGCACAGCCGCCTGCATCGCAGATCTCATCACCTTCCCCTTGGACACTGCTAAAGTCCGGCTGCAGGTGGGCACATGAAGCCTGCCCCTCTCCCAGCACAACTGGCATGTTGGAACCTAGGGGCAGCCAAGGGGAGGCCAACCTGCCCATCCCTGTAACACGCTGTCCTGACCCTGCAGATTCAAGGAGAGAGTCTGGGGTCAGCACAGGCCGCAGCCAGTGCCCAGTACCGTGGTGTGCTGGGCACCATCCTGACCATGGTGCGCACTGAGGGCCCACGCAGCCTCTACAATGGGCTGGTGGCTGGCCTGCAGCGCCAGATGAGCTTCGCCTCCGTTCGCATCGGTCTTTACGACTCTGTGAAGCAGTTCTACACCAAGGGCTCTGAGCGTGAGTATGCAATAGTCCTTTGGACCTAAGCTCTTGGCAATGATCCGCTTCCAAGGCAGATCAGAGGAACAGAGAACTGCAAGGAGCCCTGATAGTCCCTAGGGTTCCTTATGAGAGGCTCTGAGCAGGGCCTCGTATAGTGACAGTCCTCATGCCCACTGGCACAAGAGGCAGTGTCATTGTGGGGTACAGCTACAGAGGAGGAGACTGGGCTGGAAGTGCTCCTGCACACGGTGGGGAGCCAGAAAACACACCTCAGCCACATGTCGCTAAGACTTGATTCTCACCCTCATCCAGGGGAAAAAATTCTACTTTCCCAAGGCAGTGGGGCAAGGACACCCCAAAATGTCCTAGGGAAGACAGGAAGACAGCACCATCTCTTTCCTGCTTTACTCCTTGATGTGTCCCCAGCAGATGTATATAGTGACATGAAGCAGGGATTCCTCAAGAGTGAAAGTCATTCTGGATCCTAGTCCCAAAAGGCAGGAAATGACAGTATCATTAGAGATGAGACCAGGTGGGGGGGATGAGAGCTAGCCCCTGCTGGCCGCTGCTGACAATCCCCTCCCCTGCGGTACACCCACAGATGCCAGCCTCGGAAGCCGCCTCCTGGCAGGCAGCACCACAGGTGCCCTCGCTGTGGCTGTGGCCCAGCCCACAGACGTGGTGAAGGTCCGCTTCCAGGCTCAGGCACGGGCCGGAGGAGGCCGAAGATACCAAAGCACTGTGGATGCCTATAGAACCATCGCCCGAGAGGAAGGACTCCGGGGGCTCTGGAAAGGTGCGTGCTGGCTGGCTCTCTTCCTTATCCTCTTTCCCTTCCTCCACCTCCCTCTGCCCCCAACCCCTGCTCTCACACGGGCTCACCCTTCCTCCTGCAGGCACCTCTCCCAATGTGGCCCGGAATGCCATTGTCAACTGTGCTGAGCTGGTCACCTATGATCTCATCAAGGACTCCCTACTGAAGGCCAACATCATGTCGGGTGAGCTAGGGGGGTCCATGATGCTGGGGCTCTCCCTTGCCATGCCCAGGGTCCCTCCTGTTCACCCCCAGCTAGCAGAATGTCCTTTCAGCTCCCACTAGCTTGGGATGTAGATTCCAGCTTGCACATTGAGGAACCAAGGCTATAGACTTTCTGAGGTCTGAAGAGGGTCCAACTGCATAAGGCATGTTCTTCCCTTGGAGAGGTGCAGGAAGAGCCCTGTCCAACCTGCCTGTTCCTCCTCCTGGCAGATGACCTCCCGTGCCACTTCACGTCTGCTTTCGGAGCGGGCTTCTGTACTACTGTCATTGCCTCCCCTGTCGACGTGGTCAAGACAAGATACATGAACTCTGCCCAAGGCCAGTACAGCAGCGCCGGCCACTGTGCCCTCGCCATGCTCCAGAAGGAGGGGCCCCAAGCCTTCTACAAAGGGTGAGCCCCTGGTCTACCCATCGACCCCCCTCTCCAGGCCTCCTGGCCACCCCCTCCCATTGCACAGGTGGGAGAGGAAAGGACCACCTGGAAGTGGGTAGAACCACGCGTGGGGCTGTTTTCTTTACCCTGATCCTACTGCTTACTCTCGGAACTGACATCCCTCCTGCTTGTGCCATGCTCAGTAGGCACTCAGGGAACCTCTGGCCACAGCTCCACAGCTGGGAACCTCTGATCCCTGGGCACACTCCATCTCCTTTGCAAACAGAGCAGCCAGCTTGGACTGGATATCTCAGGCCTGGTGGAGAAGCGGGAGGCACCCAAGGGGTCACCAACTGCTCCATGTGTGACTTGTCCTCTTGCCCCTAGGTTCATGCCCTCCTTTCTCCGCCTCGGTTCCTGGAACGTGGTGATGTTCGTCACCTATGAGCAGCTAAAACGGGCCCTCACAGCTGCCTGCACTTCGCGGGAAGCCCCCTTCTGAGCCTGCCTACTGGTGCCCTCGCCGCCGTTGGCCTTACCTGCTCCCCGCCTTTCCCTTCCCTCTTCCCACCTGCATTCTCCTGCATTCTCATCCCACCCCACCCAGTCTCCCCAGTTATGTCTCTGGGCTAGTGTTGTTGATCCCATGTGACAGTGGGAGAAGCCTAGCACCAGCCAGGATACTAGGCCCTCAGTTCCTAGGAAAGCTCAGCTGGAATCTTGGCCTCAGCCCCTCACCCTTCCCAGCTAGCCTGTCACTCATAAAGCAAGCACAACCTTGGTGTCTCTTCCCTCTGTGTAGCTGCTGCCAGAACTCTTGGTCTAATGGGTCCTGTGTTTGGGCATCCGGTGGGCAGGGGAGGAGACACCTTTTACAAGAAAGGGTGTGCCATTCATCCAGCACCTTCAGCATCCAGCCTGAGGCATGATGAGGTCCATCGATCCGTATCTGTGGCAGGGAGTCCAGTGAGCAGGCAACTCAGAGAGCAACAGCAGTGGTTCCACTCTCACTTTCCCTTCCCTGGCCTGGCCACTTGAGCTTTCACTTGCCCAGCACCTGATATTCCAATGCCTGCCATTCTAGTCCCTTACTGGTTTATTCCCCAAATGCCAAGAACAACCAAGGTTTGCCTAGGCTGAAACCAAGAACCCAGAACTCAATCCAAGTCTTCCAAAGTGGCAGGGACCCAAGTATGTGACCCATCACCTACTGCCTCCCTGGGTGCACATTAGCAGGAAGCTGGATCTGAAGTTGGGGGAGGGTAGCCAGGACTACCACAGAATCCCAAGCCCACAGCACCAGATGCCCACCCCTAGTCCAATTTACAAATGAGAAACCTGCCTCCCCATCATCACTCAGAGCAAGCCTGACCACTCCCAACTCTGCAGTGGCAGATAGGAGGAAGTGCTGCTGAACTGGGGGAGGCAGTCCTGACTCAGCAGAGGTCCCAGGGCAGACACCCACACCCGGCCCTGCCTGAGGGTACTTTCAGTTTGCAGTCTTACTGACTCCCAGGGCTGGGGAGCCTTAGGGGATGATGAGCAGGGCTGTGGCTACACAGGGTGTCAGTGTCAGCCCTTGTTCTTGCAGCCTGTCATATAGCAAAACAGGTGGGCAGGTGATTTTTTTTTTTTTTTTTTTTTGTGGGAGGTAGAGATGTAACATGTTCTGAATCACTCACTCCCTAAATGGGTGCACTTAGCTGAGGCTGGGCCAGCTGCAGCCGAGGACTCCATGTTGGGAACACGGACTGACTGAAGCACCTACACCATCAACACCTGCTGCTTCCCAGGTGTGTTAACAGCTATAACCTGAACCAGCACTTGGGATGGTGGCACCCTAAGCTGGAGTTTAACCCTGTGCACTACAGATAGCCCCGGGGAAGGGCTACTTCTACTTCTGGGAAGACCCCAGATCTCCAAGGCATGCTGTGTAGGGCTGGGCCCTTAACATGGAATCACCCAGGCCCATTTTGTTGATATGGGAAGAAGCTGAGGGCCATGACAGGTCCTGCAGGTCAGGACACCCAGAAGGACCACAGTGAGGACTAGACTCACTCCCCTCCTCTTGCCACTGGACTGTAGCCCAGGCACCAGGACTGGGGGTTGCTGGGAACTTGTGTGGAAGCTGTGGGGTCAGCTGAGAGCATAAGACCTTACTGGCACCACCCTCTTTCTCCTGCCTGAAGCATCTGCCAAGTAGACCTATCAAGGGATAGCTAAGTATAGGAGGTTACATGCCATGGGGCTGCAGGAATTGGCATACATGGAGAAGTGGACTCTGTTACATTAGCACTGGGAGGCAGGCCCTTAACTACTCCAGAGAGAAGAGGGACATACTGCTCTAGCGGGCAGCAGTCAGCTGGGTCAGTCCCCAGGCTGTGTTGCAGATTTCCTGGTTCTGAGCTGGGATAGTTGGTAGGAAGTCCTGCAGGTTTCAGTGGAGCCCGGTCCTTTCTCTGATCCTCACACATAACTTCCATGATGTGGGCAGGCACTGCTTGGCCTGACTCCTAGGTAGCGCCGAGGGTCTTCTGGAGCTCATAGGCCTAAGAACCTCACCATGTGGGTGAGACGCAGGCTTTCCTGTTGCCCCACCCAGGACAGGGAGGCTGCCATTAACCCTCTACCTGGGGCCCAGCCAGGCCAGGTAGAGCCCACTCATCCAAATTCCACTCAGGCTTGCAAGCTAGGCTTGTAAACACAAGCTCAGAGAGGGAAGGGGATCTGCCTGGGAACATACAGCTGGTTAGTGATGCACTGAATGAGGCCTGTTGTCTGATCCCAAAATGTATTGCTGGCTTTTTTTTTAAGCTTACAGAGATTTATTGGAAAAAGTTACATAGAGAGGAGAGATAGAGAATTTCCATCTGCTAGTTCACATCCTAAATGGGCATAGTGACCAGAACTAGGCTAAGCTGAAGCCAAGGACTTCATTTGGGTCTCCTGCATGGGTACAGGGTCCCAGGCACATGGGCCATCTTCTGTCACTTTCCCAGAGCACAGACAGGGAGTTGGATTGGTAGAAGAGCATCTGGGATTTGAATTAGCAATCACATGAGATGCTGGTGCCACAGGTGGCTGCTAAGCCTGCTACACCACAGTGCTTTCTAGAATCCTAGGTCCAGAGCCTTCATCTCCATGTCTTCCTGCTGCTGCATTTGTGGTGACCTAAAAAATGGCAGCCGTTGTGGCATAGCAAGCTAAGTCGTTGCCTGTGATGCCAGCATATGGGTACTGGTCCATGTCCTGGCTGTTCTACTTCCTACTCACCTCCCTGCCAATGGCCTAAAAACGCCATGGAGGATGGTCCAGGTGTGTGGTCCCCTGAACCCACATGGGCAACCCAGAAGAAACCCCAGGCTCCTGGCTTCAGCCTGATCCAGCTCTGGCTATTGCAGATATCTAGAGAGTGAACCAGTGAATGGAAGATTTCTCTCTCTCTCTCTCTGTAACTGTGCCTCTCAAATAAATAAATCTTAAAAAAAAATTTAAAAAGGCTGCCCAGTACCACCAAACCTTCAGTTAAGAAAAACACCTGACACTAATATAATGCTTTGGACGGTGGGATTCCAAGCACTTCAGATGACCTGGAGCCTTTTATTGTCACCTCTAGCCTCTCCAGAGGAACGCCCACCCAGTCTCATGAGCCAGAGTATATATCTCACACTCGGGATGGTAGCTTGGGCTGCAGCTGCCCACAAGGCCTGAAGCCTGGGCCTCCTCCAGGCCACATGGCCAGTGATGCTGGAACTCTCCATGAAGTCACCAAGCACTTCCACTTAATCTTCACAGCAAGTCATTAGGGCAGAGGCCCAACCTGGTCTCCTGTCTCCTAGTCTATCCTGTAAAGGCCAGGCCAGAGCTTGTGTGGTCTTGCTGCTGTTACGAAGAGCAGTGTGAGTGGGAAGTAGCTTACCAGGTTCTCAGGCTAGCTTTGTCACTGAAGCCAGAGTGACAGGGCACCCGAGTTTGACTCGTGCTACAGTCTTCCTGTGCTCACGCCATACCACAGAGCCCACCCTTCCAGCATAGCTCCCCTGTGCCAAGATGGGATCCCAGAGACTCCGAGGCCCTCAGGCACTGCCCACATCATGGTGCCAGAACAGGGGCCTTGGTGAGTTCACTTTTCCCTCAGGCCCCCACCAGAAGCAAGGTGGGAGGCTCCTGCCCAACACAATCTTCTGTGTGCAGCTACGGGATAGAAAATAAATCTTTATTATGTTGATGTGAGTCCCCACTCGCATCACAGCTGAGCATAGTGTGGCTGTGGGAGCAGGGCTCATTCAGGCCCAGCTGGCCTCATCCAAGCCCCTGGCCCCAGCCTGTGGAGCTAGGTCAGCAGGGCCTGACGCAGCATCCGCTTCTTCTGTGGTGTGAGGTGGGTGGGAAACTGGATGTCGAAAAAGATGAAGAGATCTCCCTTTTGCTCAGGGTCCTCAGGTAAAGGCATGCCCTCGCCCGGCACCTTCTTAAAGTACTTGGGACTGAGTTGGGAGGATATGGAAGAAGCGGGCTCAGCAAGCAGGGCCCCCTGCTCACTGATCCCAAAGACAAACAGAGTGTGGGGCTCACCGGGACACCTATTCACAGGGGCCCCTGGGTGAGCAAAGGGTGAGCAGACCCTGGGGTGGAGCGAGGGTGCCAGGCTGAAGGACGAACTTTCCCATGCCAAGGGAGACAAGTGGCTCAGAGGGCAGAGACAGCAGAGGGCTAGTACAGCACTGGCAATCTCCAGGCTCCACGGTGGCTTTGTGCAAGTCAGGCAGTCCTGAGCATCAGGGCTAGAGAATGGGCTGTCCCTCAGTCCTCTCCTCCCCTCTCAGAACAGGACTCTAGGACTGACTGCAGCCTGCACACACCGTCCCTGAAGCCCCAGGCCAAGCCTGCCTCTCTGCTACTGGGGCTCAAGGCAGATGAACTCACTGGATGATGTCATTGATAGGGATGTTGAGCAGTCGGTCATCTAATGTCTTCACCTCCACGGTGCAGCAGGTGAGTGCCTGGAGAGGGGCAGGGAGGTAGGGAGGGTCACCGTGGCCATCCTTCTTAAGAAGTCTTGCACCAGGCTATCCAGTGACAGGCCCTGGATTGGGCACCAGGGTGACAAACAACCACTCTGTGACCTCCCTTCCAGGGCTCACAGAGTGGCAGGTAACCCTGAGGCTGATGTAGGAAACATGGTGTGATCAAGATGGCAATAAAAAGTGTGTATGGGAGCTGAGGCCCCTGGACCATGTGCTGGGGCACAGCTGTGATGCCAGGTGATAAGGCCCCTGTGGGACATGGGGGGGAGTGTCCATAGCAACATGAGGATGGAGGTTGAGCAGCAGGACAGGGCAGGATGTGGGCAGGGCAGAGCTGCTGAGACAGGAGTGTGGATTTGCATGCAGGCTTGTGCAGCAGGGAGGAGGGAGCAGGGAGATTGGAGGTGGAGACCCCCACCTGGAACAGAAGCCCTCCCCGCTGACCTCCTGCCTGATCACCTTGCCCAAAGGGATGGGGTTCACAAAGATGAGGTTATCGTTCTCCCGGCGGAAGCGAGGGTGCAGTTTCTCCTTCACAATGAAGATGATGTCGGCTGGGGTGACGTTGGGGCCCTGGGCAGGAGAGGACAAGGAGGGAGAGGGACTAGGTGGACTGGATGTCCTGTGGGCAACTTTTTGCCTCTTCTAACCTCCAGGGCCCTAACTGCACAATGGGAGGATTAGAGCAGGTTTTCCAGGAGAGCCTTTCTGGATAGATTGTGCCCTGGACCCATGACTTCTCTTCTACTGAGCATGCCCATAACAGCCACCCTCAGGTGATGGATGGAGCACAGGGTTCAGCAAGTCCTACTCCAAACTCCTGGACTCGCCAAGCGTAAGTCAACAAAGCCCTGCCATGGTCCCTTCTTCTAGGGAATCAGCCTACTTCCCACTCCCTACAAAGGTTCTGGGTCTAGCGAGGCCAGCCACACTGTGAATCACACTCAAGGCTAAAGGGAAGCCCCAGAGGCTGAGGGCTCTGGGAGGAACTGACCTTCAAGGAGAGGTCAGAGAAGGCTTCCCAGAGGTGGCAAGCATGATAGTTGGGTCTTGCAGGCATTTATTTTTATGGAAACAACTTATTTTTGTAAATGAGAAAGGGGGCAGGCAATGTGGAGAGAAGTCCTTTTTCTCCACCCAGACACTCAAGCCCTTGGCCTCATCTTGGAGCTTCAGTTCTCTTTTGCTTTAAATAAGTGTCTGACTCACCAAGGCTGCTGAGCAACTTTTGTAGCAAGGCTTATTCAGAGAAGTCCGGCAACCAACCGCATGAGGTCAAAGCTTGCTTCTTCTTTTCCAGCCCACTTCTTTTCCCCTGCTCTGCATGAGGCCCCTCCCTCTCTGGCCTTGGCTCCCCAGAAGGACACCAAGGCAGCATCAGGGACTGTCCTTCGTGCTCTGTATCCTGTTCTTCCCTCCTCTGCTTCCCTCAGCCCCTCACCTGGTCCCCTTCCTTCTCAAAGGTAATGCGTGTACCCTGCCTCCAGCCAGGCCGCACGTCGATTGTCAGGATCTTGTCCTTGATGGTGGACGAGTACCTGTCCTCATTCAGCACCTGTGGCAACAGGAGCCAAGAACCCAAGGTTCCAGGTGGCAGGGGTGTCACAGAGCTGAGACCTGAGAGGCCAAGCAGCTGGTACAAGTTAGCTAAACCCACCACTCCCACCCTCAGAAGCTCCCAGGCTTAGCCCATCATGCACGGGAGAATGTACTCAGTTCTTCCCTCCAAACCCCAGAGATGCTGTTCCTGCATAAGTTTCTCATCCCAGAGGGATAAAGCACACAGAAACCAGCACATCTGAGCCTCACCCACGCAATCTCCATTGTGCTGTCCACCCTTGCCCCAGCGGCTGGTCCACAGTATGGCAGTGGCCAGCATCCACTCTACTCTTCCCAGCAAGCATGGGACTCTGGGATCCTCAACCTTGGTCACCCTGCAGACTCTCTGCCCACATGTCCTTCTTACTCCATCAGGCACACACCAGTGGGAACCCTGGAGGTATGGTCTGGTGATGACCAGAGAGCAGGATTCAAGGAGTCTCCTCCCCCTGGTAGCCCTCCAGGTTCCTTCTGGAGGTGGGGATGTGGGAGGGGCTGAGTGGAGGGAAAGTGGATGGTACAGAGAGACTGATGCCCTGGGAAAAAGAGGCTGATGCCCTCAAGGGTTCTACCCAGCTTCTATATCTGGGAGCCCTAAGGACTGTCAAGCTAAGAGTGCCTGATGATTCCATTGAGCCACATCTTAGCTGCCAGGGTGAGGAAGGGAGGTGGCTCTGGGCTTCCATCATGCACCAGCCCAGTACTCACCCGCCGAGAAATCTTAATTTTTTTGGTGCAGCCAAAGAATAAGTCTTCCAGTGATAAATACAGATCTCGTTCAATTGGGGGTTCCTGCTTCTTAACCCCTCGGCCCCGGAGCCCTCCAAAGTTCAAATCCACCTCATTTCCATCTGTGTCAAAAAACTCTATGGGAGGTAAGGAGAGGAGTAACAGAAACCATGTCCTCAGACTTGGATTCAGGGATACACACATCTCCCAGTCTTGCTCTCACCTCCTCTTCAAGGCCCTAAGCATAATTACCACCAGCATCCTAGCCCCACCTCTCAGACTCAGATAACCTAGGCCTTGCCAGATCCCACTGCTTCACCCACCACCTTAGAATCTTCTCTCTCTCCTTCCCCGCACCCCCTCCTGCGTTCCACAGCCAGCTTCTCTGATTCTTCCTCCTCCAATATGGGGAAGTACCTCAACCATCCCCTCCCCTCCAACCCCTCCTCTACTGCAACGTACCAGGAAAGAGAGCTGCATCCTCTAGTGGTGGCACCAGGGAGTGCCAGAAAAGACTCCTGCGGTGTAGGCATATGGGTGCACTGCTATTGTGCCTGGACGGCAGCAGATCAGGGATCCAGTGCTTGGGCCCCTGCTACCCATGTGTGAGACCAGGATGGAGCACTAGGTTCCTAGTTTCACCCTGGTCCACTCTGCCTATTGCAGGCATTAGGGAAGTGAGCCATTGCAGTCTTCCTTCCTTTCTGTTTCATCTCTGCCTTACAAAGGAATGAAACTAAATCCTAGATAGACATTTCAAAATACTCAGTTATAAACTGCCCCTGGTGGATGCACCGGCACCTGGCATTCCGTCCATTCCCCCCTACCCCCTGTACACTCTGCACTGGAGAAATCTGCAGAGCTAATATTTCCCAGACTGCTGCTGAATTGTGTTCATTGGCTAAACTCTGAGCTATTGGGAAGGCAGGAAGAGCCAAAGGAGGCATGTGTCTGTGGCTTCAGCTGGAGCTGTTTAACACTGTCTTGGAGATAGGGGTCTTCTGGGCAGCAGTATTCCCGTGGGCCCCACTCGTTCCATATTTGTTGGAGGTAAGTCAAGCACCACTGGAATCGGGGTTGACCTATGTGATTGCGAGAAAGAACAGCTCTCTTGATAGGCTAATTTGAAACAGCAGTTTTTGAAGGACTTGTTTTCTTGTGCGTTTTTTTGTTGTTGTTGTTGTTTTAAGATTTACTTATTTTTCTTGGAAAGTCAGATGTACAGAAAGAAGAAGAGACAGAGAGAAAGATCTTTCGTCCACTAGTTCACTCGTCAAGTGACCACAATAGGTGGAGCTGAGCCGATCTGAAGCCAGGGGCTTCCTCTGGATTTCCCACATGGGTGCAGGGTCCCAAAGGCTTTGGGCATCTTCTACTGATTTCCCAGGCCACAAGCAGGGAGTTGGATGGCAAGTGGATCAGCTAGGACATAAACTGGTGCCCATATGGGATCCCGGTGAGTGCAAGGCAAGGATTTAGCCACGAGGTTACTGCATCAGATTCCAGCCTTTCAGGTTTTTTTGTTTTTTTTTTTTTTAAAGATTTATTTCTTTGTAAAGTAGAGTCACAGTGTGTGTGTGTGTGTGTGTGTGTGTGTGTGTGTGTGCGTGTGTTGGGGGTAGTTAGAGAATCCTCTATCTGTGGGCTCACTCCCCAAATGGCCTCAATAGTTTGGCAGAAGACAGGAACTTGAAATTCCATTTGGGTCTCCCACATGGGTGGAAGGGGCCCAAAATTTGGGCCATCATTTACTTGCTTTCCCAGGCACAATCAGCAGGGAACCATATCAGAAGTGGAGCAGCTATGACCCAAACTGGTATTCACATGGGATGTAGTCATCCCAAACAGTAACTTAACTAGTTCTGCCACAATACCTGTGTCCTGTTTAACCTTTAAAAACAAAACAAAACAAAACAAAACAAAACAAAACAAAACAAAAAAACACCTATTCTGTGTGTGCACGCGCATCTCAGAATAATAAAACTATCCAAAGAAAGCTGTCTTTTCCAGTTGTATCCCATCAGGCAAGGTAGATGAGCTGTCTTACCACTGAAGGGGTTGTCTCCACCAAAGAACTCATGAAAAACCTTGGTAGGATTGCCGTGGAAGACGTAACCAGTTGTCCACGGGGTCTGGGATCCAAACTCCAGGGGAACTCCGCCCTTCAGGCCCTCCTCTCCAAACTTGTCATAGATGCCTCTCTTCACAGCTGTGGATATGGAATGAGAAGCTGGATGTTCAGGGTCAACTCATGCAGGGTAGACATGGGTATGTCCCCCTCCCCATCCAAACCACCGGAAAGAGAATGGGCCGGAAGTGGATTTGACTGGAAGAGATGAGGCCAAGGTCAGAATCCAGGCTTGGGATTTGCCTTCGGTCTATCCACATGACTCCTGGCTTTGCTGGGATAATGAGAACCGCAGAAACTCATCATTTTAGAGTCTAAGAATATTAGAGTTTTAACATCCTAGCATCTGTGAACCCTGAAATGCTTAACACTCGGGGCTGGAAGCTAGAGAAGCCAGCCACGTTGCTGTCCAGCACCCTCAACTCCAGGACAAGCCCTCAGAGAAAGCTCTAGTCCACCACGGATCCCCATGTCTCACCACTCTTCTGATCTCCACAGAAGAGACATGCTCTCTGCTCCTGGCCTCTCCCTGGCGCTCTGCCCCGGCGGCTCGGGACACGTGATGCGCATGCTTGGCCCCGCCTTCTGCCCCTCGGTTGCGGACGGCTGCCCTTCTCTGAGGGGAGCACGGTGTCCTCCGCCCTCCCGAGGTGTGTCCACGGGGAAGGCGACCATTTGTTGTTTTCTTCGCTGAGGTAGTTTTTTGAGGGATGGTCACTCAGAAAACCCGCCCGTCTAGAGACTCCCTCAGAAACCCGCCCGTCTCGGCTCCAGGTGGGCCCTGCGTGAAGGGTGGGCGTCGCCACAGGCACTCACGGTCGCTCAGCACGTCGTAGGCCTCGGCTATCTGCCTGAAGGTTTCCGCTGCGGACGGCTCACTGGATTTCAACGGGTGGTTCTTCAGAGCCAGCTTCCGGTACCTGCAGGGGAAAGGTAGTGTGCGCCTTTGTCACGGTGGCCGCTGGGCTGAGCCGCGCTGTGCTTTCCCGCCGCGCTTGCAAGTCTGGTGTGAGCTGGGCAATGTTCATCTTCCTGGACAGATACCAGGAGGGCGCAGGGTTGACTGACAGCCCAGCAGGTACCCCAGCCAAGGCCAAAGCTGCCCCTCACCCCCTACCCCTCATACAGGCACTCCCCTAACAGGAGCCCTTGGCTGGAGGTTCAAGGTGACTAGCCCTACTCAATCCTCCCTTCCCTGCCTCCTTTATTATTTATAATATTTCATTTTCAATCGAAAGGCAGAGAGACAGATATCTCTCACCCACTGGTTTCCTCCCCTAATTTCCACAGTATCTGCAGCTGGATCCGGAGCCTGTAGCTCAACCTGGGTCTTCCACAGTGGCAGCAGGGACCAAAGCAAGTACTTGGGCCGTTGCTGACTGCCTCCCAGTGCAACCAAAATCAATGTGTCTTTCATTCCCTTCTCATAGTCTAATCAACAAAAGCTGTTAATCTTGTGGCCAATCAGAATGTTTGTTCTCTAAATACCTAATGCCTGCTTAAGAATTCCAGGTGACAGGGCAGGCATTGTAGACACTACTGCTTAGGCCACCACATCCTGTATCCGAGTGTCAGCTCTGAGCTCAGTTGCTCTGAGTTTCTGATCCAGATTTCTTGCTAATGCAGCTTGGAGGCAGCACATGATGGCTACTGAGGGTCCTCAGAAAGTTCACAGGGGGCGACGTGGTAGCCTAGGGGCTGAATCCTCGCCTTGCATGTACCAGATCCCATATGGGCACTGGTTCATGTCCTGGCGGCTCCATTTTCCATCCAGCTCTCTGCTTGTGGCCTGTGAAAGCAGTAGAAAATGGTTCAAAGCCTTGGAATCCTGCACCTTATGGGAGACCCAAAAGACGCTCCTGGCTCCTGGCTTCGGATCAACTCAGCTCTGGCCATTGCAGCCACTTGGGGAGTGAATTAGCAGACGGACTTTAGCCGCTAGGCCCAAATGGCAGTTCTTTATCTTTCTTTCCCTCTCTCTGTGTAATTTTGCCTCTCACATAAAAATAAATTAATCCTTTTTTTCCTTTTTTTTAAGTTCACAGTCCCAGCTTTAGGCAATTGCCTGGGTTGCCTTGTACCTAGGCAGGTAGGTTACACTGATGGGAGAAAACCAGCCAGTAACTGGTGGGCATTCTGGGCCTGGTTAATGCCAAATTTATGTTAATTATACCATTATCCCAGCATAGTTGCTTATTCCTTTTTTTTTTTTTAAGTTGTGTTTGTTTTTATTGGAAAGGCATATCAAAATTTATGGAGAAAGAGAGACAAATATCTTACTCTCATTGATTTGCTCTCTAAATGGCCTCAGTGGCTGGGGCTGAGCTGATCTAAAGCCAGGGACTCAGGAACTTCTTAAGGTTTTCCATGCAGGTGCAGGTGCAGGGGCCCAAGGCTTTGGGCTCTCCTCTACTGTTTTCTCAGGCCATAAGCAGGGAAGAGGAGCAGGTGGGATGCAAACTGGAGCTCATATGAGATTCTGGCACTTGCAAGGTAAGGATTGGCCATTGAGCTATCAAGCTGTACTCCCGTACCCCCACCCCATGCTTTTTTTTTAAACTGGGGAAGGTGTGGAATGCTTGGCTGGCCCTCAGGTTGGGGGAACTGGGTAGTGCTACAGAATAGACATGTTAGAGTGGGAGTGGCTGAGGGCACGGACTGACTTCTGGGGTCTTCCATAGACCTGGTTACTGTACCCACAGGTAGGCAAGACAGCTGAGACTGGTTTAGAGGGGGAAAATCAGATGGTATGTCTGGGTCAAGTCAAGGCATCCACCCACATGGATGGGTTAAATAACCTGGGCTGGGTTAAATAGTATCATATGCCTGCTGGTGTTTGCAAAAGGTGGAATTGAGGAAATGCCTGGCTAGGCTAAGCCAGAATACCTGCTTGTGAGAGTTGTAGCAGGGGGTGGGCCATGTCAGGCTGGGGTGCAATACCCACCAAAACCTGGATGCCCACCAAGACCTGGATCTGGGGCAGATTCTGTAGTGAACTTGTGGTCTCATCTTTGTGGAATGCTGGGATTGCAGCACCCTCAGGTTCACTTGGAGAGCTAGAAGTGGTAACAGACTGAGCCAGGCTGGATCATAGAACTCACCCAACAAGAATCCACCTGACAGTAATGGGAGATGAGGCTGTGAGGAGGCCAGGCGGGGCCAGGCTGCAGTACCTGGTGGCACATGCAAAGGTCGATAATGAAGGCAGACCATGCCAAGCAGGCCATGGCACCTGCTGGTATGCCATGAGATCCGTGGCTGGGAGTAGGCCTGGTAGGGGAACTTAAAGAACTCCCCTACCAAGCTGCACCTCCCGCTGGTGAGCACAAGAACCAGGGCTGAGTGTGGGCTAGGCCAGGCAAGGCTGCAGCACTTGTCAGTATTTGTGCATGCCAGGTATAGGGGGAGAGAGGCAGGCCAGGTTGGGCTAGGCTGCAGCATCCATGAACTGGCCCACATGAGAGCCAGGACAGGATATAGGCTGCAATTGGCTGGGCTGGACTGCATAACCCATCAGCAAGAGCTAAGACAGCAGGTAGGCCATACCAAGCTGGGTCAAAACACCGATCAGCAGGCAACAAGACCCAGAGCTGGAATGGGGCACTCTGGTAACTCCCTTGTTGGGCTTCAGCTCAGAGTGTGAGAGCTGGGGTTAAGGGGAAGACCATGCTAGGCAAGGCTGCAGCACCCATCAACATATGTGTACGCTGGGACTAGGGTCAGGCCAGATTGGACTAGGCTCCAGCCCCTGTTGGCACTTGCAGAAGCCAGAATGGAATGTGGCATGGGCCAAGCTGGGCTGCAATACCTGCCAGGGTACATGAGAGCCAGAATAGGTAGGGACCAATCAGGTTAGGCTGCAGTATTCATTGGTGAGTACCAGGACTGAGGGCCAGCCATGTCAGTCTAGGCAGCAACACCCACTGGCACATGTAGCTGGCCTGGTAGGAGGACTTGGGGAACTCCCCTGTTAGGCCATAGCTCCTGTTGGTGGGCCTAATGAGCTAGGCTGCTGTATGTGCTAGTGAGAGCTGGGGGCAGACTGTGCTGAGCCTGGCTGTAGTACCTCCTGGTGAATGCCAACACTGGGGACTATCCATCTCAGATTGGGCCACAATACCTACTGGCATACATGGAGCTGGGAGTAGGCCTGGTGGGGGAACTCTGGGGTCTTCCTTGCTGGGCTGCTGCTTCCACTGGTGAGGATGAAAACTGGAACTGAGGGTGGGCCCAGCAGGGCTGGGCTGGGCTGGGCTAGGCTAGGCTGTCACACCCACTGGTACACACAAGAGCTGGACCACAGTACCCTCTGGCAGGTATTGGGAGTATGCCTGGCAGGGGACCTGTGGGTACTACTTTGCTAGGCTGTCACTGTTGCTGGTGAGCACGAGCAAATAGGCGTAAGGATAGGTTGGACAAGGTGGAGGCAGCTGTTGGTGTCTGGAGTAGGTCAGGCTGAACTACGCTGTAGCATCCATGGGTGTGCACAACAGCCAAGCAGGATGCAAGCTGGACTGGACTGGGCTTAGCAGAGGCTGGCATACTCAAAAACCAGGGTTGGGAGAGGCCTGATAAGGGCTATTGGAAGTCACCCAGGCTAGGCTGTAATACCCACTGGTATGCATAAGGACCAGGTCTATGGTGGGCTGGCTGGGCTAGGCTACAGCACTCATCAGTTCATGTGAGATATGAGGCTGGGGTGGAACTGACCAGGCAGCTGCATCCACTGGTATGTGCACTGGCTGATGCAGGTGTTGAACTGAACCTGACCCTGCACTGGCGGGACACGCAAGTCAAGTCTGAGATCACTCAGGCAAAGTTTCTAGATTCAGACCTAGCCACAGGGAAAATCACAGGATGCATGGCTGGCCTTGAAGTGCATGTATTGAGACTGAGCCTCCTCAGTCCCATTCAGTACTTTACTCCTCTTGGTCCCTTGGTTCTCTGCAATACTGTATCCAGGACAAAGTTCAAATGGCTCTTTTGTCCCTATTTCATGCCAGGAAAACTAAAGGACCAAGGACAGGAGATGAAGCATAGATCATAAAGGGAGAAGGAGTTGGGACAGAGTGAAAACTAAGATATCCAAATTTCCAGCCTGGGGCCTGACACAATCCAAAGACAGGGCACAGTATATAAGATGTAAAAGCAGCAAGGATTGCCTTGCTCGCCCTAGCTGTGCTAGAAGCTGGGTTTGGAAAAGATGAGGGAGGCACCTGCTCCGACACACCATGAAACCCAAGACCCCACTCCAACTTACGCCTTCTTGATCTGGGCATCCTCTGAGTTGCGAGTGATCTGGAGCACAGAGTAATAATCCTGGCCCATGGCTGGCTGACACTGAGCCTGGGATCCTCCTCATACTCGAGCAAGGCTGTTGGTCTGTGTTCCTTGGTTGCTCCTGACAACCGCACAAGGGCACCCTGGGAGTTGTAGTCCTTACTTAGCAAACAGCCTCCTTGTTTCTTGTAAAGATTTATTTTTATTATTTTTTCATTGGAAAGGCGGATATACAGAGAGGAGAGACAGAGAGGAAGATCTTCCTACTATGCCGATCCGAAGCCAGGAACCTCTTCAGGGTCTCCCTTGTTTCTTGTAAAGATTTATTTTTATTATTTTTTCATTGGAAAGGCAGATATACAGAGAGGAGAGACAGAGAGGAAGATCTTCCTACTATGCCGATGATTCACTCCCCAAGTGAGCGCAATGGGCCGATACTATGCCAATCCGAAGCCAGGAGCCTCTTCTGGGTCTCCCACGCGGGTGCAGGTTCCCAAAGCTTTGGGCTGTCCTCGACTGCTTTCCCGGGCCACAGGCAGGGAGCTGGAAGGGAAGCAGGGCTGCCGGGATTAGAACCGGCGCCCATATGGGATCCCGGGGGTTCAAGGCGAGGCCCTTTAACCACTTGCGCCACCGCGCCGGGCCCTGCCTCCTTGTTTCTTAAAAGGAGCCAAACACTGGGGCTGATTCTGTGCCTCTGATAAAGATCTCTCAATTCACAAACCTCGGAGTTCAGCAGCTCTATTTAATTTTATTTTGAAGGAGTGCAGCAATTTAAAAGATTATTTTAAATAAGTTTTTGTGATTCATTAATTGATCATCTATAAGAGATGGATTGCTTGTCAACACCTGAGATTGTAAATGTCTCTTTCAACATGGTTTTGCTACATCTCATGAAAAAAAAAAATTATCTCGGGCCCAGAGGCGTGGCCTAGAGGCTAAAGTCCTCGCCTTGAACGCGCCAGGATTCCATATGGGCACTGGTTCTAATCCCGGCAGCTCCACTTCCCATCCAGATCCCTGCTTGTGGCCTGGGAAAGTAGTCGAGGACGGCCCAAAGCTTTGGGACCCTGCACCCATGTGGGATACCTGGAAGAAGTTCCTGGATCCTGGCTTCGGATCAGCACAGCATTGGCCATTGTGCTCACTTAGGGAGTGAATCATTGGACGGAAGATCTTCCTCTCTGTCTCTCCTCCTCTCTGTATATCTGACTTTCCAATAAATAAATAAATCTTTTAAAAAAATTATCTCTTCAAGAGGCAGCTTCATAGAAAGATTGTCTGTCTGCAGATGCACTCCTCAAATGGCTACAATGTCATAAGCCAGGAACCAAGTTTCTTCCAAGTCTTCCCATAGGTGCAGTGGCCCAAACACTTAGGCCATCCTCCACTGTTTTTCCAGGCTATTAACGGGGAGCTAGATTGGATGTGGAACAGCTCAGACTCAAACCTGCACCCATGTGGGATGCAAGGATGCAGGAGGTGGTTTAATTATGGCCCCAGTGATTAATTTTTTTTTAAAGATTTTTTGTCCATTTTTGCATGACATTTTTTAAAAGCATTCATTGTCTTCTTGTGACCTTGGCTTGGGATCCTAAGAGTGAATGTTAAGGTACTCACAGCCTCAGTGAAGGCGTGAAGAGCAGAGCCTTGACAGACACCTACTTTCTTCAGATGGCATTGAATGTTCCTGGTTCTAGCTTCCATATGCCTGGCACACTTTCTGTCACAACTAAATTTTATTTATTTATGTATTTATTTATTTATTCATAAACTTTTTGATGATGTTTGCATAGTCGATCAGGGTGGGAAGGATCTAAGCTTAGGGAGAAGTGAGTGTGATCATGGTTTCCAAGCTTTTTGCATCTTCTTCCTATTTCTGGGGTGAGGAGAGAGAGAAGGGCATAGGCCATACCCACCCTCCCCACAGAAGGGATTTTATTCATCTGCAACTGTGGCCATCATGCACACTTGCAGGATGATGCACTTTGTCTTAGAATACACAGCCTTTTATATCCCTAAAAGCCAAGTTGCCAAAGCTCTCCTTACAAAAGTCAGGATATGCAAAGCTCTACTTAATCATTATTTTCTATTGTTTTTCTTATGTTAGTTAAAATTGAAGAAATCCAGAAAGGGAGGATTAACATAGCTATTTGCAACATGAGAAAGGTGAGAAGAAGAGAGAGCATTGGGGTTAGGGATGCCTTCTGTTATTTACAAGTGGAGGGAGAAATGAAGGAGAGAGAGAATTGGGACTCAGTTGTACAAAGACAAATCATTGCACCAAGTGTTCCTGGCTCGAGGTAAGCCTCCTTGTCCACTGACACACTCAGCTCCTTCACTGTCTCCCAGGTTACATTAATATTTTCTGTTCAGGCTCCCATCCAGGACACCATGCTGGGTTCAGTTGTGATTGATATCTCACTAGGCCCTGCCAGTCTGGGACTGTTTCATGGCTTTTCCATGTTTTTGATGAGCCTGGAAATCTCAGGACTACCAGTCAGTGCTGGAGTCCACCTCCAGCCAAGTTCAGAGCTCGAGAAGGGTTTGTGGAGTCGGTGATAAAGAAAGACACAGACACTTGGTGTGTTCTCACAACAGCTCAAGAAAAAGCTGTCCTTTTTATTTACTCAAAACCTCTCTCAGGCTTCTGCACAAGCAACTATTCTATTTTTACTTCAAGACTAAGGGGACATTTGGTCACTCCGTCTGTACTTCAAGGCTAAGCAGGTGCCCCAAAAGATAATTCTGCAAAATACTGTATTCATCTTCTTCAAAGCAAGCTATTATTTATTCTTCAACAGTAGCCATGGAGCAACAGCCAGGACTCCAAGGCCAAGGCACATGCAATTACCTGCTAATTAGTAGTACTTTCCCACTACATTTCTACTTCTACAATTTACCCATCATTTAATGGGAAAAAAACCTAAAATCCAAAACAGAAATTTCAAATATAAAATCCCTCTACAACTACAGACTCTATAACCCCATAAACAATGAGACAATAATCAAAAGCATTTTTCTTTAATAAAAACATCCTTAATTCCTCTGGCTAAAAATTATAAAACCAGCTAAAATAGTTACATTTTCTATGCTCCAAAAATTTGCAAAGACAGGCTAGCCTTTGAGATAACAGTAACTATATTTATTGCCATAGCAGTTTCAGCTCTCACTCCCATCACTTCCATTACTTTGTAAAATTCTTATTAAGCCATTTCCCAGAAGGCATGCTATATGTTTGGGCCCGATTTCAGGGCAATGGGTAGGTACACAATAAGGTGTCCAAAAATGGCATGGGCTTAATTGTGCTCCTGTGTGTAAATTGTCAAAGGCCCACTCACCAAGACCTTATCAGTGACATTAACTCTCAATCTCACATCAGTGGCAAAAACCGTCTCATAGGGGCAAATAACAATGCCTCAATAAATTACAGAATTCTTAGTGAGGTGCTTGAGTGTCCACGCAAACAGGGGATGAAACTGCATCAAGGTGGTCAGAGAGAAATCTGCCTGGCTCTGCCAAACAGCTGGACGCTCCCCTGGGCCCTGCCAAGCAGGGGAGCTGTTCTCTTCACACCTTTGTGCCACCCACACCTTCCTACATGGACCCCAGCAAGTCAGGTACTTTGTAGATGAGCCTTTGATTGGGGTTGGTTTGGTGCCTTCATTATGATTACATTGAGATTCTGGGCCGTGGGTAGGAAGATGACAGAGTGAAGTTCCAGTCTTACCAGAGCATACCCAAGATACTTTTGGGGAAATGGACTTGAAAGATGAGTTTATCTGAATGCAAACATCTTTGAAATCCTTGTGTATTTTTTCATGATACACATTTTCCATGGACTTTTTGAAGACCCCTTGCATTATCAATGTGACTTGGCACCAGTGGCAAGAACCACAATCACTTGCTCAGGCTGTGTTTGTCAGGTTTCTCCACTGTAAAGCTGGCTTCTCATTCCACGTCAGTCACCAGCCTTAGCCCAGGCTTCATCTTTCAGCAGGACCATGGGATGTCCTCACCATCTGCTGCTTTGCTTCTGCTCTGCAGGTGTCATACACACTTCGCACAGTGGAGGCCAAGCCTCTTCTCTTGGCACATGACCCTCTGTGATCTGCTGCTCCCTTGCCAACCCTGTGGTGCACAACCACCCAGCATCTACCTGCTGCTATTCCAATGGACAGCTACCGGGCTCAGTATTAGCTGTTCTGTCTGTCATGTGTTCTGCAGCTGCTTCCTACTCAGAGCCTTCCTGCCACTCCCTGGCCTGGACTTGACTAAATCCCATTTTGTTTTACTTATGTCAACTTAAATAAAGCAATCTGAGATTCTCCAGGGAATGATATTTATTTAGGATAACAGAGTACTACCTTGGGAACAGGCAGTCTGTGGAATTGAACAGGTGTCTTAGAAAACCACAGGCATACTCAAAGAAGCTAGGGAAAGGAAACATTGTTTGATGCAGAAATGAGGAGCATTACATGGGGGCATTCTGGAACGATCATCTTTGGCCACCATGAACAGCAACCAGGGTGATGTTGGTTCAAAGCAGGACAGCTGTTAGGCAGCTGCCCTTCACGAAGGTTGTTGTGGCCTGCATGCAGACTCGTGGTTCTGGAAGGTTCTGTGGTGGTTACAGCCAGGCAGGCAAGTCTGACATAAGCAGGCCCATGTGGGTTCTGATGATGCTCACATTGTCCACACTTCACAGGAAGTAGCCCATAGCGTGGGCTCAGGACCTGTGGAAGCAGTGTTGCCCCTGTGGTCCCTCCTTCCCTGTTTGTTATTCTCCTTTTCTTCTTTTTTATTGCACACATATATGCTCACAGGTGTGCTGGTAAAGGATTTACCACTGACTCATCAGAAGAAAGGTCCTGGACGGTTGCATTTGCCGATTTTCCCCAAGTGAGCCAGCTCCAACAGCACTGTATCCCTAACAATGTTGGCTTTTTTGTATTTTGAACTTTATATAAATAATATCATTTATACACATAGTGGAGGTGTGTGTGTGTGAGAGAGAAGCATTCTCAGAGGTTGTATAACACTCCGTTGATGAACATGTGCTCTGTGCATTGGCTTTGTTGAGTGACAGCAATTTCCCAATGCAGT